TATTTTTGAAGGGCGTTTGCACTCGATTGAAGTAAATGGGCCACAACACGCAGCATAATATTTAACATATCCAAATATGATAGCATCGAATGGAACCCGAAACTAACTTTTTGGGTTTTGGGTCAGCAATAAACTTGTTTTCTTTGTATCTATGTCAATACAAAGAACTCGGCTTAATATGTAAACTTGTTTTTATTTATATAACATTTTATTTATTCAAAATTGCTGATCCCGATATCAGTATTTATAGGTATGCCTCTATTTTCGTTTGAACATGCACACTTGACACGCACAGTTTATTTATGTTAGAATATATTATTTATTGAGAGCTGAATATCAAACGGTTTGGCAATCAGAATTAATTTCCAAAAATTATTTATCTCTCAAGGATATCGTTGATTGGAGATTAAACGCTGACTGTCAGTGCAATATTAAATGCCCGCAAGGATATAAAATCGGACAACAATTATGCAAACTTTGCAAAAGGCAAAAACAAACGCCAATTAATCTCATGCGCCTCAGTGGACAATTGAGGAAGTGGGGAAGAAAGAGGGGAAATAATATCCGCAAATAGAAATAAAGCGGGCACCGAATGCCAAACAGTTCATCAGCAGAAATAGTTGAATAGTTTCTAGCACACAAACTGTAACTGGAACAGAAAACGATGGGAAAGTTTGCCTTCTGCCAAATGGACAGGAATATCGAAATTAAAGGAAAACAATGACCAAAGATTAACAACAGATACTAACATACAAACACACACACATACACACACAACTATTCTCAAACACAAACGCGACACAAACTACATATAAAATTCGCCATTTTACGATAATAGTAGCTAGTAGTTAGTTTGTTTCTTTTCCATCTACCCTGTATGAATGCAGTACTTAAGGTATCAAGTCTGAATTATTTCTGTAGTAAATAACAGAGATAGTTTCTTAGCACTTAAGACTTAAGTAAGTATTCAGTTTTGTTAAGATATTAATATCTTAACAGTAGAATGCAGTATTTATTTTGTGTTTATTATTACTTTTTTTTGTTGTCAGCTTACAGCGTTTCTTAAATTATTAAAGGGTAACTTTTAGACAAGCACTTTTGCCACGTACCAGGCTGTTCTGCCTGTTTTGTCTTTGTTTGTTTGTTTCCATGTGAAAGGCAGTGAAATAAAATGTGCGACTAAACGTGGTCCAAACGCTGATGGCAAGCGATGGCGATGGCGATGACGATGACCATGGCAATGCCGAGGAAATTGTAGGCGGCGACGTCGGCGGCGTCAGCAACAATGAAAGCGCCAGCAAAAGCAACAAAAGCAATCTAAGGATGTGTGTGAGTGTGTTTGTGTGTGTGTGAGTGTGTTTGTGTGTGTGACGTTTTGTTGCATTAACGGAATTGAACGTTATGTCGGATGCGAGGAAATGTTTGTGTTGTTTCAGCGGAATTGTTCTAAATATGTTTTCATATTTAAGCATTTCTCTGATTTCGGCTTGCCTCTGCACTCTCTCTCTCTCTCTCATTCTGTGTGTGTCTGTGTGTGCTTCATGGTGTGCAACATCCACACGTGCCACATAAACATGCAGACATTATGTCAGAGGCAGTAACGTTGGACTCCACCTGAAAGCGAATGTAAACTCATTTATTTGATATAATTAAAACTTTAGTTTTATAAGTTTGACTAAATTGATTGCAGAAATATATTTTTGCTTGGCGTACGTATAAATATTTTGAATTTAAACGTTGTATAAATTTCTGGAACTATGCAATTTTGATAAAAGTTTAAACAATCAGCCTGTTTAGACATTTGCCGCACATGTGAAAGAAATTTACGAAATCGCTAATAAACAAATTTGATAAACAAAAATTGTTTTCGTTATTTACATAAATTTACATAAATAAGTGGGTTATTCCAAATAAGTAGCTAACTAAATGTTAAATTAACTATTTATTCGACGATCATAATAATAGACATTAAATGCGTGCCCATCTGATTGCGTATTCTGAGCCACAAGGCGCATGGGTATGAATACGAGTACTCATGCTAGATTATACGCTGGAAGTGGGTGTTGGGGGTATCATTATCTGAAACGTGGTTACAGCTGTTGTGTTGATTGTGAAACTACTGGGCAATTGTTTATCACCAATGGTGGAAGTTAAACTGGGGATGAGACGACGCAGCGGGGGGAACGCTTGCAACACTTGCGCCAGCGACAACAACTTGAACTGCCGCGCACACTTACCCCGCCACACTCACACACTCACCACTCATTCACAACTCACTCACTATTCATTTGCAGGCCAGGCCAGGCCAGGCCAAAGCATTAAAACACACACACACACTCATTTACTATTGTGTCTGTCTGTTTGACTGCCTTTGTATGTGTGTGTGTGTGTGTTTTGTGTGTGTAATAAGTGGGGGGCGTGCAAATGGGCTTTTAGGCGTGTTTTGCGTAAATGAATAAGCCCAGTCGAGCATAAGCTGAGTCTCGCCCAGAGTCAGAGTTGGACGACGTGCGGTGAGTGCACTTGCCTACTATAAGTGTGAGGTGTGAGTGAGAGTGAATGCCGCCACAATGTTGAGTGTACTCGCCATGCATGCGTATGAGTAACGGTTACCGTTACGTATGAGTGTATGTGTGTGTGAGTGAATGAGTGTGTGTATCAGTGAGTGAGTGTGCGTGAGTATGCGGGTAACTTCAAGTGCTGCTCTGTGGTGTTCAAGTATTTGATGTATTACAAAATATATACAACGAATACACTGAGAAAACTATTTACTAGTATTAAAACTGGACACCATTAATAGTGATCATATTTTATGAGCTTAACTCATCAGCAACAATCTGTCAAAAGATGAGTTCTTGTATGAAAAGCTTTTTGTTTACCAAGTTATCCTAGTCAAACTCTTCAGTTGTGCGTGTTACCAAGTTATTATAATAGACATCAAACTTCTACATCATATTATTAATTAATTAATACAATTTATGCGTGCCTAAGATAGCCGCTTATTCTTATTCCTTGTGAACTGAAGCAAACAGTTTTTATATCAAATTGCGTAGCCGTAATTGAAGTACAACGTTTTTCTCACAGTGTATACGTAAGCATAGCTGCAATTACAATGCCAAGTGCTGTTGCGGAAGAGAGTGAGTGAAACTAATGCGTGTTTCTCTCTCTATCTCTGTCTCTCTTGCTCTCTCTCTCTCTCCCTTTCTCTCTCTCAAACACACTCACTCTCGCTCTCTCTCTAATTGTATTTGAGTCCCTACCAAACTGTGACTCTTTTGTTGACGTTTGTTTGTTGTTATTTAATAATGCAAACATGTGCGCGACCCGCTGTTGTCTTTTGTTTTATTACATTAATAAACATAAAATTGGCATATTGTTTGCATATGTGTGGCGCGTATACAAAACACACACACATACACACACACACGTACGCACACATATACGTAGTCAAAGTCTGTGCTGCTCCCCTTGAATTGAATTGCCGTAAGTGGCCATTTATTTACATATTTGCGTTGAGCGGGCGCCGCGTTTGCCAAGTGCTCTTCAAACATTGCTGTTGCTGCTCTTCTTGTTATTGTAATTTTATTGTTATTAGTTTGCCACACTTTGTGTTGTTGTTGTAGCTTTTATTGTTACTGGCACTTTTGCGTCATTTTGTGCAATTTATGAGTTTATCGATAGCACCATTGGAGAGTAGTGCAAAATCCCGCATAGAACTGCGTTTGTTATTGGCTGCTGCTGCTGCCTCTAATTGGCACTTCTGGTTGAAGATTGTGTATTTAATGCAAAAGCAACTGTTTATCTAACTATACCCAATGCCAGTAAGTACGAGGCAGCTATTGCCGTTGCTTTAATTGCAGCTCAATTTGCATAAACTTGGCGGCGCCACGAATCTCGCTGCTCTCGATACAGCTGCTGTGGCTCTTTTAATGGACAACGTGCGCCTAATTAACGTAAAACACTCCTCCTGTCTCGCCCTATCTTTGTCCCCCTACAATTTGCTACTTTCTCATTATACACTTCCAAATTGTACCATAATTTTGCTATGCAATCTGTAAACTTTATGTATATAATAAATTCTGGGATGCAAAAGTTAATTGTATTTTCCAAGATATCAATTACGGGTGCTGTGGCTCTCTATTTTCAATAGGTATACATCTCTTTTTTATACGCATCTTTATTGTTTTTCCAGATTTCTGGAAATAATTTTGGATCTGACCACCCCCATAATACTACCCCTAGTAGGCAAGGGTGTATAATATTCGGCATAGCGAACAAAAGCAGTTCCTTCCCATTCTATTTGTTGTGTTGTTTGCATGTGTGCTAGTTTATAGCATGCGCTGTGTCTGCTTCTGTTTGCCTTAAGATAACATTTGGCAGGGTGGGAGCTAATGAGGGGAGGGGAGTTGGCAAATTCGTAGCTGTACAACGGTGCGTATGCTTAACTTTATTAGTGCAATTTATCTGTGACAGCCGAAAATACGCGCATGCAGCGTATAAGCGCATTATAGTCGTGACATGAATGAGCATGAGTGTGTGTGTGTGTGTGTGTGTGTGTGTGTGTGTGTGTGTGTGTTTGCTGTGTGTTGTGTGTGCTTCTGTTGTCATCTTAATTCGCTTAATTTATAGACTGTTTATTTTCGAAGCGACAGACTTGGGTTTGTCTCAATTACGAAATGGTTGCCATACTCCAACCATCTCCATTTGATAATTTATTCTGTATCACTCACAGATTGCCATGTGCAACTAATAGATAAATTGAGTAACTCACTTAAATGCATTTTGTTCATTCATTCGTCATGAAAACCAACAAGAAGAAACATTAAAAAATCATTTGCAACGAAATCTTTGTCTTGCTTTCAACTGCTTCCTTTTCTTTAGGTTTGCACGTTGAATTCCTTTTGGCACTTTTGCCCAAAAGTTCGCTTAATCAAAATAACTTAATGATGATATTTGTACAGTTTTCTAATTCCGTGCACGCTTTGCTCCTTTCTTTTCAGGAAACACGAACTACTCTTTGGAGGCGCTGCAGCAAACGCGCAGCGGATAATTGAATCATAAAAGGACACAGTGAGCCAGACAGACAGACAGTCAGACAAATCGGAGCCAAGTTCTCGACAGCGGGCAATGTTAACAAAGCCAAGCGAATAATTGGTGCAGGACGAGGACGAGGACCGACCGCAGGGGGGCAGCAGCAGCACAGAGCGGGTTGTGAGGCAAGGAGGCTAAGAAATGACAGCCGCGCTGCTTTAATTAAAGTTTGCACGCGCGGAGGAGGCGCGTGGAGGCTGTGCCTACAGAGAGAGCGAGAGCGAGTGCGAGTGCGAGTGCGAGTGCGAGAGAGAGACAGAGAGCAAGCGGCGGGTGTGCGAGCGAGAGAGAGTGAGAGGAAATTGGAAACGCAATGTGGCTGATGCCGCGCACTGTGCACAACAGAACAAAGTGGACGAAATTGCTTTTGGAACTGAACGAGCTGCGTTTACCGGATATAACGCATATATAGACAGAGGAGAGGGAGCGAACAGCGCGAAGCCGACATTTCATTTTGATTACATTTACCTTTTACACAAAGCGGCATTGAAATATTAGCCAAAAAAAAACAAAAAAAAATAAATAAATAAAATTACATATATTGAGAAACAAGAAGAACAACAACAACAACAAGTAAGCAAGGACCAACCAAGCAGTAGCCAAATATCAAGGAGCAGCGGTACCAGCACAAAGTTTTAAGCTGTTGAATTTAACGCCTGAAATAGCCGCAAACAAAGCAGTCACATTTGCATGCCTCAAGGATTTGAAAGGAGTCACCCATCAACAGTTACACATGAACACGCCGCTGTGACGAACACGACGACGACGACGAAGGAGTACGTGGCGAGAAGAGAGAGGAGCACGCGCAACACTCAACACTTGGCGCCACGGCACCACATTTAAGCCAACTTTAGCGAAGCGTCAGCGGACGCAACGTGGCAGACCCGCAACGAATTGGCTTCGAAGCATCATCAACCCCACCCCCCCAAACCCACCATCGCCAACACCATCACCACCAGCCCTTGCTCAAAACCAAACCAAATCAAAAACACCATCATCATCAGGAAGACGCAAACGAAACCGCAGCCGAAGCAAGCAACTTGTCATAGTCAGCCAGCAATTGTCATTGCAACTGCAACTGAAGCATAAACAGCACACATACACAATCCCCCCTATACCCATTATCCATTACCAGCAGTGGCAGCAGTAGCAGCAGCAACAACAATCCGATGAATCTTCTATGCTGTTGTTGTTGCAGTAACATGGCACCAAACCAGCGCGTCACACGCAAATGGGAACTGTTTGCCGGACGCAATAAATTCTACTGCGATGGATTGCTAATGTCCGCACCGCACACGGGTGTCTTCTACTTGACGTGCATCCTGATTACCGGCACCAGTGCCCTCTTCTTTGCCTTCGAGTGAGTATTCCATACACGTCGCAAAATAATTAGATATGAAGTGCAAGCATTGTCAATATCTGATCCTTGACCGCAGACCATACACGTTGCAAAATAATTAGATACAAGCGTTGTCAATATCTGGTCCTTGACCAGAGAACGAAATTCGCATTTCAAAAATGGTTTTTCTTTTTAAATCTTTACACTCCTAAATGTAGGATATTCAATCAAAACACATTCAAATAATTCCTAAATCGAAATGTATTTCTTTCACTCAAATTCTGTAGAACTGAATTTTTCTCGCAGTGATTTTTTGCACATTTGCCAGAGTTTCTGTTTTCCCTCTCAATGGCGCTCACTGCGGTTGCATTGTTTGCAAAATGAATACGTTGCTAATTAAGCATCGCCAATCCCACAGTCTTTCCCTGACCTCAGTCCTGAGCCGGTTCTCTTCCTTTTGGTTTTACTTGGTTTCCAATTACGCCCACATTAATGGTCACTGAATCTGTTGGTCTGTCACACTAACTCTGACTGTCCGGACGTACTGCACCGTACGTATCCAATGCCATTTAATTATTGCTGTGCAACGTAGCGTATGCGTTATGCTTGGCCGGATGGCAAAGGATGTTCTTGCCTCAACGAAAGCAGGGATTAAGCTTTGCATATTTGCCAGCAACCTTTACGTCCATTGGCTGTCCACACAGACTGGAAAATACTTTCTGGTTCGCTTTTCGGATTTGTCAATTTGTTGCATAGCAAATGCACTGCACACAAATGTTGTTAGTGATCAAATCTCTAAGGTACCAAAGTTGTTAGAGCAAATTACCCTAGATTAGAGTTAAACGGACTCAATTATTTAGCTGTTGGTTGCTTCTAATTGAGCATTAAGGTTTTTCATGTTAAGGTTTTTCCTTAAAATGTTTATTGGCTTAAAAGGAAAAATGCATTGACTTTTATTAATAATATTATTATATCGACAAGTTGCACAGATATAAATTTGGTAATTTGATGTGTTGCCTAAATTTGAATTTCCAATTGCTGTTGCACTTAAAACTACAGCAGCTAGAATTGGTAAATAAATATATGTTACTAAATAAATATTAGTTGCTAAATGGATTGTCATTTCTATTGGACGAGTTCCATGCATAAGTTTAGTTTATATTTAGTTGAAAGCGTCGTATGTGCATTGCGCTAACCGGGCAAATAACGTATACCTCACGTAGCACAAATACAAATAGAAACACGATGGGAGGGTAGCCACATGGAGATGTAGCAGCATGCAGTTATTTTCTATTCACATGTGCATACATCCTGATGGCGTGCGTGGGTTGAAAGGATAATGATGCGATTTCCAACAGCGCGCGATTAGAAAAAATTATGCTCAACATTTTCTGCACGAGTTCGTTTCAACAGCGCCAAGAAAACTGCATGTGTATAAAAAAAAAATGAATAAAAAAAATTGGAATTCTCGGTTTGCTGCTGCTATTGTTGTTGTTGTTGTTGTTGTGGCTGTTGTTGCCGCCTTAAACTCACTATCCAAATTTATGCGCTCCCGAAAAAGCTCCAAGAACAACAATAACGACGGCAACTGCAACGTTATAGCGCCGACGGCACGGCTCTGTTTTTGTATACTCTTTGCTTAGAGTATTACGATTGTCTCACCAACTATGTAAGCCAGTGAAGAAGACATCTTTGAGTCTATACCCGCGTTGCATTTCATATATCCATCAATCAAAAGATTACTTCTTAATGAAAAAGTTTCATGTTGGCCAAAAATAGCTAAACAAAATTTTGGTCTATCAGAGTATTTAAGCTTTGGCTTGCCAAATCTCATTTCTTTTGTATAAAAAAATTTTTTTTATGTGCGGCAACGCGAAATTTATTTTCATTGCTTGCCTTTTATATTAGCGCACAGTCGAGCAGGTAACAACAACAATGATGATGGTAGCAACCTATAAGAAGTAGAATATATCCTATGCTTTTAAGTGCTTCAGCATCTGTTGTTGCATCTACAGCTGCACCTGCATCTGTCGCCTGTGGGCTATGGCCAAATTGTATTCTGCTCAACGCGCTCCGCAATGCAAATCGCTAAAAGGTAGCACACAAAAGCAATGGTTGGCTTCCTTTTTATGTTGCCATTGTCAGCGATTTGCCAGCTGAATGCAAGCAAAAACCTCTTCTGAATGCTTTACCGTGTGTGAATCGATGGGGATGTGACAGGATACGGGAGGAAGGATGCTGCTGTTAGCCATTGTCATGACAAATGTATTTAACTGGTTAGTTTTACTGTCGCTCGCACATTCGGCTGGCCCCAAAATGCAGCAGCTGCAATTCAAAACTCCGAGCACTGGGGCTTGTCACACATTACTTTCATTATGCTCGGGTCCTCTGGGCAACTGTCAGCAGAAGTGTGTGTGTGTGCGTATGTGGGCGTGTGTGCTATTGCTATTCACAAATCGGTGGCACGCATGGGCGGCATAATGTAACAATGCTGGGCAACAACAACAGCAGCAGCCGCATCATTATTGTCGCAATTCCCTCACTGGCTTCTGCAACATGCTTCGTGCCACAGTTTTTGCTTATTTTCGGCGCCTGGACGACGCTCAACGAAAGTCCCTTGTTGCATATTTGTGCGGGCTCACGACATTTGGGACATTTGCCAAAACCCTCTAGAGACAATTTGCATGAATCTTTGAACAAAAGAGGGCCACATCACCCTCAAGCGGAAAATGACACTTTAAGACCAGTCTTTAGTCGAGTCTTTAGTTGGATAATCCATCATATAGTTGAGTCTTATTGAATTAGTTTTAATAAAATACACAAATATTGATTAAATAGTTTTTATATTTTTTGTCTACATTTCAGACTAGTATTGAGAACAACTTAACTAGATATTCCCCTATCGCTTACTCCTGCCCTTAACCATTTTTGCCCATTGACAGCATTTTGTAAAGATCAATTAGTTAAGCTTGTCCTTAATTATTAGCCCTTTTACTAATTATCTCTTTATCCTCCCCTGCTCCGTCTTTATCTTTTCAATAGCTGCCCGTTTCTGGCGACGCGCATTAATCCAGTTATACCAATTGTGGGAGCCGTTTTATACTTCTTCACGATGAGCTCGCTGCTGCGCACAACCTTCACGGATCCTGGCGTCATACCTCGTGCCTCCAATGATGAGGCTGCCTATATTGAAAAGCAAATTGGTAAGTCCTCCATTCTCCCCTTTTGCTTTGCCTAGGTGCTTCGGTCCACTCAAAAAATGAATGTGGACAAGGTCGTTTTTGCCTGTTGATTTGCTCAGGACTTGTCACGCCCACAAAACACAAACACACACAGCCAGACACACACACACATATGCATTTATTCATTTGTATATATTTGTTTTCACTTCATTAAGTTGGTGAGTGTGTTTGCGTTTGTGTATGTGCCTGTGCCTCTGCCTGTGAAGGCTCACATAAAAAGTAATGAGCGTGTCCTGGCATAGAAATGCTGCAAAAATATGTATAAAAATCATCAAAGCGAATGCTGCTGCCACAACGCCGCTGCCTTTACTCTAATGAGTTTTTGTTGCTGCCTGGAAAATATTTAAAATGAGAAAACTTTTGCCCTCTATCTATCTCTCATTCTTGCTCTCTCTCTCTCTCTCTCTCACTCTCTCTTTTACTTGCATGTCAACAACAACAACAACAACAACGACAACTTTTGTCGCTGTTGCTGATGCTGCATTTCCGTTGGCATCGCAACGCGCGCGCATTTTCCGTTTCCCGTTGACTACAGAAGTGCCAAACTCGCTGAACAGCCCCACATACCGACCGCCGCCTCGCACCAAGGAGGTGCTCGTCAAGGGGCAGACGGTCAAGCTGAAGTACTGTTTCACCTGCAAGATCTTCAGGCCACCACGCGCCTCGCACTGCAGCCTGTGCGATAATTGCGTGGATCGCTTCGATCACCACTGTCCCTGGGTAAGTACATAGCTGCTAATCTTGCCGCAAATATGTGGCACACACACAAACACACACACACCCACATCCACACACACACACAAACAAAAACAACTTTCGCTCTTTGCCCAGCAGCGGCAGCGCTGACTTTAACCCAATTTCGGCGCCAACTGCTGTGCAAAATGATTTCAACATGCAAAAGGACTACCCGACCACAGCAAGCTCTCCCAGCAGCAAGCCATCCCCGCCAACTACTATCCACCTATCCAAATTTGAATTTTTTTTCACTGTCGCGAGTTTCCCGCAAGCGCCTAAAAAATGCAACAAGATGTGGCGGGTGGCTGTCCAAACAAACAAACCGCTGCACACAAGGCACATAGACACAACCACACACACACACACACACAAATATACTTGCATACTTGTACTTGAGTAGGCGCACAGTAGCCATTGCAGTGTGTGAGTGTGTGTGTAAGGGGTATGTTGCAATTAAGTGTAACGCGCTTTTTCAGGCAACATTGTCGTCGTTGCCTTTATACCCTCTCTTATTAATTATACGATAAATATCTTTGGATCTCCTTGAGCATATTATTTGCTCGTTTTATTTTATCGGTAATCAACTTATCTACTTGAATTTTGTTATTATTGCACAATTAACTATCAAATCAAGTGAAAAGGTATACATTTTTTTGTCTTTATTATATTTATGAGCCCCTTGTCAAAATGTTGACAGCTAGATTTGGTACTGAAAGGGATAGCATAGGAAAGACAGGATTAAAGTTTGACATTTATTTTTATATTATGCCACAAAAGTTATGGAAATGATTAATAAGAGTTTCATTTTATTTTGACATATTTTATATCCGTAACTAGATTTTGCTGTAAAGCTAAATGCAGGGTATCTCAGAGCCTAAACAGCTGAAGAGGGGCTCGCTCATTTTTTCGCCAGGTTCGCTGGCGCCAACCCGCATTAAAAAGTGGGGTTTTTTTTTCATTCGCTCGGACGACCCGAGTCCAAACCCAAACCCAGCCCCAGCCCCAGCCTCAACCCCAATCGCAAGCCTCCCGACGGCTTGATTATGAGCTGGTGGAACTGCTACTCAGCGCTGAAGGTCGCCTCGTGTTCGCGGCTCGTGTGTCTTTTGGGCCTTAAAGCAGCGGGCGGCGATGGCTGGAAAATTGAGGCATTTCCCTCTCTCTCTATCTCTCTCTCTCCCTCTCTCTCTCCTCCTCTCTCTCGCAGTGATGCAAGACGCGTAATTTCATTTTGTCGCCAATTATGGATGCGATACCACCCATTAAGTGGGTGGGTTGCATGTACGGGTGTGGGTCATGAAAGGGCAATTAACCTTATTGTGTGTGATGATGCCTTGGCATAATGAGCATTATGTAGATTTTTAGAAAAGAGAACGTTCGCTTTTTCTTGTTGTTTTTAATTTGGTTCATTGAAATTAACAATTTTCGTCTCGTTGTCTCTTTGCAGGTGGGCAATTGCGTGGGCAAGCGAAATTATCGGTTCTTTTATTTGTTTCTAGTCTCGCTGGCATTTTTAGCCGTATTTATATTCTCGTGCTCTGTGACGCATTTAGTTTTATGTGAGTATATACGATATATATTCCGAAAATAATATATATTAACATGCATATGTGTGTAGTGATGAAAACGGAACAGGAGGTCTTCGAAGTAATAAAGAAGGCGCCCTTCACTGTGATTGTTGTGTTCATTTGTTTCTTCTCCATTTGGTCGGTTATCGGACTGGCTGGATTTCACACATATCTGACCACCAGCGATCAGACAACGAATGAGGATGTAAGTGTGCTTCTTGAATCTAAATTGCATCTGCATTTGGAAATAAATTCTCCCCTGGCTTGACTTAACTTGACTTACCTGTTTCCATCACATAGCTCAAGGGTTCGTTTTCATCGAAGGGCGGTCCGCGCACACAGAATCCCTATTCGCGTGGCAACATTTGCCTCAACTGCTGCCACATCCTGTGCGGACCCATGACGCCCTCGCTGATCGACAGGTAAACCAATGATTTTCAGACTTTGCATTACTTGCAACATTTGCTAACACCCAAAAACAAAAAAAAAAAACATTTCACAGGCGCGGCATTGCCACCGATGAGTATATACAACAGATGCATCATTCCAGTCCGCGGCATGCATTAAGCGATGTCATCAGCGCCTCACAATTGGTCACCACAGCGCAGCCAATGCTGGGTGGCATGTCGGGCATTGGTGGTGCCGGCGGTGGTGTCAGCATTGGCGGTGGTGCCGGCGCTGAGCTCAAGCCGCGCTTCTACGATGAGGTAAGCGAACAGACCAAATGGACTTTTAATCAATTCGAGCACCTACTCCAACTAAATCTCAATCTGAATGTCTCGGCACCAGTGCTTGCTTATCTCAAATCTCTCTTTCTCTCTCTCTCTCTCTCTCTATCTCTCTGTATAACTCTCTCAATCTCTCTATCTCTCTCTCTCATTCTGTCTCTATCTAACTCGATGAACTTATGTGCACCACATTTTAACGCTGTATTTCTGTCTCTTCTTTTTTGTTCGTCTTTTGGTTTTTGCTCAATAATCATTTTGGTAACAACTCGTTATATATCTATATATATATATATATATACAAATATGAACACTCAACTACAATCGCCAAAACAACAACAATCAACCACATTATTGCATCAAAACACAACAACAACAACAAAACTCAGTCGAATCCCTCATCCTCAACCATGGAGAGCAACGGACTAGCAGCTGCTGCTGCTGCAGCTGGAGGAGCTGTTAACGGTCATGGGCATGGCCATAATGGGACTCATGGCTTCGATCGTCCGCCCAGCTATGATATGCTGCAGAACGGTAAGTCCAAGTCACGTCGCCAGCAGCATCAACGCTGCTCCCTGCAAACATTGCTGCCCGCCAGTGCACAGCAACAGTTCAAAGCCAACAAACACAAACAACTCAAACACCAAACACACCAACAACAACAACAACCGCAACAAAAGCAACAACTTTTGGCCGCCGAACTGCAGCTACATCTGCAGCAGGAGGCACTTGCCTCCGGCCTAGTGACGCCACCATCTGTGCAACGCTCGCCGGCCACCTCCTCCTCATACCGTCTAAATCTGAAGCGTTCGCTGCATCTGCCCTTGACACCCTCGTATGATGCGAGGAACTCACCGCTGCCCCTACTCCATCATCATGTGCATGCACAGCAAACCACTGCCATTGGCAGCGTCTCAGCAACGGGTGGTGGAGCAACTGGAGTCGGATGCGGCTCATCATCGTCGACGACAACAACGAGTGGGCCGGTATCCACATCGTTGGCGCCGACGCTGGCACCACGTCGTCCCTCAACGCTGCAGCTGATGGGCTCCGCTTCCAATGTGAGCATACAAACAACCGCACCACAGCCGCCGGCGCCAAGCGATTTTAAATACTATTCCCCGCAACGCACCACCAACTATCCATTCCCGAAGCAGGCACGCACCATGCGACGCCAATCCACGCAGTCCGTGGACTCGCAAAAGGTCAACATCGCCGGCTATCATCCGCTGCCGATGCGAAAGCCCTACAAGCATCAGGAGGTCATGTTTGAGCTGAAATCACCGACGAATCGACTGACAATTCGCGAATGCGACTTTGGCGGTGGCGGCGAACCCTGTGACGACGATCAGTCGATCAAGGATAGCCAGATCTTTCGTGTTAGTAAACGAAATCTTTATATGAATCATCGATCGCCATGGAAGGAGCGCGATCGTTACTCAAATCTCTACGAGTACTCGTTCAACATCGATCTTAACTCGATTATCGAGGATGCCGCGGGCAGCGATTCGTCCTAGTACGCAGCTAATCACAGCTACTACTACTACTACTATCAAGCAAACACTGCCGCCTCTAACTGTGACTACATTGATTGGTTGTTTAAAGCTGTACCCTCTTCTATTAAGGGATCGCCCACGCTCACGCTCATGCTCACGCTCACGCTCCACGCTGCTGGCGTCCTGGCAGCATGCCTCCGATTCCTACTGCTGCCAGGCTTCACGGGCTAGTTACATATATATATATATGCTGTGCAGGCAATAGTTAGGTCGTAACGCACGGATTGTCCTATATACAGTCGAACTTTTCTATAACTCGAACATCTTCCAAAATAATAATACCAAACCATATTTGACTAATCGAAAAATGTTTCTAAATCAAAATCAATCACATCAATTTAAAACAAAAAGTTGAAAATTTGGAAAACTTCAAAAATGTGTGGACAAATTGCATCAAATCGCAAATTTAACAATACTCAAAGTGAATTATGAAGATCGATTTATGAAAATTGCATTAAATTTTGATATGTTCTGCATAAGAAAATTCGACTTATAAAAGTTTTAGAGAAGTTCGATTGTATTTGAAGTTCGTAAAAATTTGCTAGAGTCTGATGACATTTACATATACGTATATATTCCTTGGTTATTACCCAACACTGGCTGAATAAATTGGCTTTCGTGTCGCGCGCTTTTTAGGATAGTTGAATGTTTGGTAGCGTTAGTTGAAACCTTTTTATGATTTTGCACGCGTAGTTTTGCAGCCAAGATATCGCGAATTTTTCACTTATGATTTTCTTGGAAAATTTTTGGACACCCTGCAATACACCAAGCCCCAAACCCCCTGTACCCCTGTACTGTACTCGTAGTACCCTCGACCTATCCCCAAACTGAAATACAACTTGGTTCATACAAACTTTTGCGTTTATGTAGCACTTATATATCATAGGCAGTGTCACGCTGACGCATCGCTGTTGCAGCGGAGCACCAGTGTGACCAGAGATACCTTCCTTTTTTTTTTGAGTTCTTGCAGCAATTAAACACACTTAACACACTATATATAATGTATAAAGTCCATATCCCGACGCCGCCACCTCCAAAATAGTAAATAACTTAAACCAAATTATAACGAAAACTAATAACTAAACTGAAAAGCAATGCATTTTGAAGACACCTGCATGTTTGAAACTCAGTTCGTAGTCGATTGAGATTTTAATTTGTTTAAAATATATATATATATATATATAAACATATATATATATCTATATATATATGTATAGATAGAGAGAGAGCCCTCGAATTGTGGCAGTCACTTGTGCAATTTAGTTGAAATATAATTTGTAAGGTTTCAATTCAATGAAGTCGAAAAGTAAACTTAGCAAGCAATTATTCAAAATAGCCAAACAACTGCCATTTATCGAAAACAATGACACATTTTGTTGTTAGTATATTAATTTGTTTTTTACAACAATGAAAATAAAAACCAGTTTCGAAATTCAATAAGAATTTGATATGTGTAGTGTTGTATAACAATTTTAAACGATCTGTAATTTATACTAAAAATTATGAGAAAATAAAAAACAAACTAGTCAAACCAAATAATGCATTAATGCGAATGCGAATGCAATGCAATGGAATATTGGATATTTATTAGGGTTAACAAATTGCCAAGTGACTGCAAATATGTCATAAAACAAACATATATGTTAAAAACTGAGAGACAAATATTTATACATAACATAAGTAGTTTGTAAATGTTACAGAAAGCTCATCCCTTTGGCAAAACCAAAATGAAAATAGAAACTTTGTATGTTTGTGGGGCCAGAGGGAAGCTTGGATTTTAAGCGAAAATTCAATATAGAACAATAAGTCAGCTTACTGTAAAACGGCGCATTAGCAGCTCGTGCCCCAGTCTTAAAGGCTATTAATGTTACGCATTAACAATACACATATATATTATATATATACATAAATGAGTTCCTTTAGCAATGGAAGAGTTATACAAATTGTATTCATGCATTATGTTGAATACGATCAGAATGACTCATGTTAAATAATATATATATATAATATATATACATATTATATATACTTACGTATGTGCTTATGTATGTAATAATAAAATGATGATATACATATACACACACACACACACACACACACATATAATTATACTTAAATGTTGGGCAATAAAATGTACTCTAGCGTATTTATGAAATTGAAATGTTAATGAATTACGGAACAAACAGAAACAAACACAAATAATTATTATGTATGTATGTAAACAACAAAGCAGTGATTTCTGCAAACATTTTCCTTATCTTCTTCAGTAGAAAAGGTGCTTGACGATATATAAAATCGAACAGTTTACATTGACTTTGATTTTTTAACTATCTTCGTTTGTGTGTACAACATTGCTATTCAGCCAAAAATGTGTATTATGATTTCCATTAATATATATCTGCCAGGCAAAGTGCTTGTCTCTCACCAAAAAGACTGCCAAAAATAAGGTGACAGGTTTCTGATAGAAGATAAAAAAAAGATGTTTGCAAGAATAAAACAGTAAAAAACTGCTGACTTGAAGATCAAGACTAGACACACACACACACAAACACACACACACATATATACACACAGACAGTGGCAACTGTGTACGGTTACCATTACAATGTGGCAGCCATTCTGTTAAGCTTACGCGCTTCTTCTTCTTCTTCTTGTTCTTCGTACAACGCTGCAAAAATCGCCGCCATATTTGAGTTTCCATTTAGCGTGATATAATTTCGCATGAATTCACTTCAAGGTACAGGCGCGCCCATACAAAAGCAGACGCACCACCCCAATTCTACCCAATTTTACCCGAATGAACTCACAGAAAACAAAAACAACAAATAAAATACCAAGCAATACTAGTTTGCAAATACATGATTGATTTTTCTCTTGGTTATTGCACATACACACAGTCATACACTAATGTCAAACTCTTTTTTATATCTTTCAATACAACTTGTGACTATGGAACAAAAAAAAAAAAAATCTAACAAACAACAACAATAAAACCATAAACATTTTGTGTCTTAATAATTATATAAAACAAAAAAAAATTGCAATCCAATCAAAATTGCAACTAAAAACTAAATGCAATTGAGTGAAAGCTTTCGAGGGCCGCTTAATACATAGAGTAAAACATAAATGCCTCAATTGGGTGAGTTTGCCTTCCACAAAACACAAAAAAAAAGTAAATTAATTGAAAAATACATTTTTGTTGTTGTACTTTATAATGGTAAATCAAATTCAAGTATTTTAACAACGCTTCCGACATTTATTTTCCAAGCTAAAGCTATATATACGTACAATATATTAATCCGACATATGCCGTACTTTTTTTTATCTTTTTAAAATAGCGCAATTAGCTAAAATGAAATCGTGTAAACCAAAAGCGTTCGAATACCCTGTACAATACTATAATTTTTCAAAGCTGCCTTTCGTTGCTTAGTCTTGTTTTACATCTACACATACCCAGTTCACAAGAATTATTTATGATTTGCTTTCAAACAAAGAACAAAAACCAACCCAACATTAAACCACACACACGCAAATCTCTACACAGACTTCGAAATCACCAAACGATTTTTCATTATACATTAATAGCAATGTTTATTTTTAAATTCATCTGTATGTATTTTGAAATATTGGCTAACTGAACTTTCTATAACTATACACAAAATTATTGAAGCATGCATTGAATTGTTGCATTTATTTGAATTGGTACTGCATAGAAAATTCATTTGGTTTTCCCAAAACAAAAATAATCAAACAAACAGAACATAAATCATAACTCATAAATGTATATTTTATTAGAGCTATTGTCGACACATTGATTTATGTGATTGTCAAATTATATTATGTATTTTTAATTATGTTAATACCCATCTGATCCAAACGGACGTCTGGTCAACCTCAATAATTTACCATACACATATTTGTTTGAGTTGTTTTGTGCATTGGACATATGAACACACATATATATATTAGTTTATCATTTGCCACCTTTTCAGAACTTACAATTGTTTGCATATTTAAATAGCAGCTACCCCCCCACCCCAAAAAAAAAAGAAAAAATAAATAAAACCACCAGCCACGACCACAGAGAACACACTAGCGAAAAAAAAAATACACCCAAAATTCAAATACGAATTTTTAATTAGTTGTCAAATTTGTTGTAATGAGAGTTTTTAACCATTTTTATAAATGTGTCACATTAATTATGTATGCAATTCGAGAAACCACAATAGTAAACCACCAATAATTATTATGAACTAACCTGTTGCACTTCTCTTCTGTACAGGTAATTCCAATAGTCTAGCTCAGCTCGTCGACAACGAGATTCCGTTGGCCCAAATGGACATGCCGGCGTATACGCAACAAACGGCCACACAGACACGTCAGTTCCGGCACCACAAGCAGCGTCAGCTTTCGAATGGTGGCTCTGCGATTGCAGATTTGGCATATGAAAACCAATTGGCAGCCGCCGCCAGCAGCGAGGATGAGCTGGACACTGCTGATGTCGTTGTGGTCGCCGGCACCGAAGTAGTTGCTGCCGTCTCCGCCATCGCTGCGTCAAGCAGGGCGCGTGAGATGCGCAACCGCAACCGCAGCGGCAGTTACAGCAATCTCTTCGATGTGGACTTTGATGCAGCACTGGTGAATGCCCCAATGGCGGGTGAAACCCAGCATAAACCCTCTGCGGGTGCCGCTCTGCTCGCAGCTGCCATCAACGGTGAACAGCAGACGCTGATTAAGTCCGTGTCGCAGCCAGAGAATATGTACAGCAATGTGCCGCAAGTGGCAGCCACAGATGCTGCCCTGCATGTCTACTCGAACATCATCGATGAACAACAGGCTCATCAGCAACAGCAGCAACAGCTACGGCAGCAGCAGCACAGTGAACAACAGGCTGTGCTCTCATCGACGCTGCTCAGTGACGATCTCGATCTGGACGATCCCGTCAGCGCCTCCTTCCATCACCGCAAATCGGTGGGTGATGGAGCCGAACAAGCAAAATCGGCGGATCGACTGAGGATGCTCCATGATACGACAATGATTGATACCGCGCTCGATCTCGATAGCTTGGACGGCTCCAGTATGGGCAACAACTCACAGTCGTGCTTAGTGAAGACACCAAAAGCGACAACAACCAACTCCACTTGTGCGCCAATTGTCTGAGCTTAGTCGGGTATACCCTGTAAATAGCCAAGTATTTACCATTGTGCATCAGCTTTTAAATTAGACTTAAACAAGGCCAATCCCAGCAGATTAAAGTATTATTCCCCTAAATACTTAAACTGTCCACGTTTTAGCTTTTTGATTAAAAATTTTATGATTTAATGTGCGGACACTTTAAAAATCAACCTATCAAGAGATGCAACTAAAATATTACCTTAAGGCGTTACGCATTCATAAATATATAAATAAATCTATATACATATACAGATTATAAAAGATAAACAATTAAAGCATACAAGTACATATACATATACAAAACGTGGTGAACAATGTTAACAATTCAAATGCATTAAAAATGAATGAATAAATCCATACTATATTATTAACTGAAACTGTTTATACAAATACACGCATTCATGTAAAGCAAACATATATATATATATATATATACTATACAGACATAAAGATATACATAGATCCGTTGTATATGGTTAGTTATAGCATATAATTTTTGTATATTTAAGTTTTTACAAAAGGTAAACAAGACGAGCGTGTTCTCCGTTTTTTTCAGAGTTTATTACGAAGAATAAATTGAAAGCGGAAAATTCCATGCAATATATTTATGTGTAAGTCATGTTATAAATATAAATAATAAACAATGAAGTACACCACAAAAAAATAACAGCATAAGAGATAAAATAAATAATAATAAAAACAGTGTAACGTATGTTTATTTACATATTATACTTTACCATGTAATTCAAATTTAAGTGTATGTGCGTGGTGTACAATGTTATCTGAACATATTAAATTTGACAACATGTTAAGAGAGTATGTTATGCGAAACTAACGAACTACAATTATACAAAGAATACAATTTATAAATAGAAAAATGAGATAAATTGAGTTTACTTTATCGAGCGGGAAACATTGTCATTCAATGAAATCGTTTTCCTTTCTGGTTCCTGTTTAAGACACCGCGCGCACACACCAGTTCCAAACATGTGGTTGATGTATTGGATAAATTTCCCTCAAGAAAAGCGTGGCATACTTTTAGGGGATCCTAAAGACAAATGACTCGTCTGAATTTGCAGATATGGTCGAAATATACCCAACTTTTAATTTCGTTGCTTAAAGGACTTTCCCGTTTACAAAAGTGCCTCTATCTCGGCCTAATAATTACGAATTTTCAAAGGTCGCAATTCCCTACCCAATCGATGATTATTGGGCCATCTAAGAACCCAACGACTTGAAAGAAAATAATTTTTAGATTTTATTATTAAAAAATTAGGCGACATATTAAATTCATATTATTGATCATTCAATACATTAAGATATGTGCCTTATAAGGGTATACCGTGTGCATATCAGCATGAAGACATTTGCAAGTAGTACATATTATTATTATTTGTAAATTTGCTGTCTTTTAATTACATTACTGTATTGTGTTTATGCAGCGTTGAATTATAAATTTCTAAATTTATATTTATATTTATTACCAGTCAATTCTTGAAAGAATTTTGAACTTTAATTCCATGTACAATTGGTATTTTTGGTGAACAACAAAAGCTCATTGGACAAATTTCTGTAAATGTTTACATAAATATTAACATATACAATATTAGCTGCCGTTGTGGTTCGGAATATTGAGCATTTACGTGCGAATTCGTCCAATTTTGACAATAATGAATAGCAAACCAATAAATTTAAATCGTTATCGTTATCGCTAATAAAATACATGTATGGAGCATGAGCAATTTAGCAAGGATTAGCATGAGATTAGAGTTAAGCGCTTGCATTCCCGTCGGCTGTAGAATTAAAGTGATATATTATTACAATTAATTAAAAAAGGCAAAACTTTCGCTTAAGTTTAACTCGCCACCTCGCATCCCTCTCTCACATCCATATCTATAACTGTGTCACGTATGTGCGTGTACATGACAACAGTGGCAGTTATTTATCGCCGATAGCGGCCCAAATACGCCTTGCAGTTGGGGCACGTGTGGTGCACGTCCATGCAGTCATCAATGCAGCAAGGTATTAAGCAGCAGCCCAGCCAGCAACTGCAATGAGCAACAACGTGTCAGACAGAAGTACATATATAGGTAAATGACAGTATCGCTCACCCAAGCAATGCAATTACAAATCCGGACAGATAGGCAATCATTCCTGGCTCCGTACGTGTCGTAGACTCAATCTCTGCGTGGCATGAGGGGCATAGCATGTGTGTCGATGTGCGTCCAATTGGCACCACTGTGGTCAATATGTTTGTGCCAACGGTGGCTGGGGCAGCAAGTGGCGTATATGGTCCCACTGGCTTCACCCCGCCCATAGCCTCCAGATAGGATGGAGGCGCCGATGGCGGCGGAACGTATGTGAACGGTGGCGCATTGCCCGTTGATTTGCTCATGTTTGCCTTTATAATTTATGTAAATGCACGTGCCCGATAGAGACCTGCAAAAAGAAAAACATAAATCAATAACCATTCTACAATCAACAATTACCAGAGCAACGAATATCACCAGCATAAGCAGACATAAGTTATAAATAGCAAACACCACTATCGATGACTCATAGTCCACGAGAATTAAAAAAGTATTTCAAAATACACAAACATCAACAGAGAGCAAGGCCAATATAGTTTATACTCACAGCGGATGAAACTAAGGCCCGAGTCTGTTGGTACAGTGGATGAAGAGTAAACAAAATGCGACCCACCCTTGGTAAACTGGAAAACCTAATTAATAATCAAGTTTCCGTATTATTGAGAAGGCTGTACACTTGAAACAAAAGTTTTGGATGTATCGTAAACCATACAGTTTAAAATCTCTTTGAGAAAAACAGCATTTCATAATGTCGAGTGCCCACTGTAGATTCTTATTAATTCACCAACGGTTCATGTGACAAATTCAATTGAAATTGGTGTTCATATTTATATTCATATTCATATATTGTATACATGTATAATTAAATGCCTATATTTGTTTGATTGTTGTGCTGTCTGACGGATTCATCAGCTAGCCGCCACGTCGAGATAAGAACTACGTGTGCACAGTGAAATTTTAATATTAAAATATGTACTTCATATTGATAATTGGAATCATACGTTTGAGCAGCTGCGAGTAGTAAACAGCAAGGTCAAAATCTAATGGCAGTGATAACAAGACAAAACAAGCCGTGCCATTGCAATTGCTGGGACTGTACAAAATTGCAACTTTCTCGAACCAAAAAAACTCGAGCCACAAAACAAGTGAGCAGAGAGAGTACGAGAAACATGGTAACAAGCGTAACCGGAAGTCTATGCCAAATGACAATGACAGCAAAATCTATTGGTGGGTGTTGCATGCAGTAAGTTGCCTAGGAAAAGGAAAAACGAGCCCACAGCTAAATTGAGTCAATTCATAAAATGTGCTAATGCTATTAGCAGCGAGGCGGCAAAAGTTCAATTAAATCACGAGGCAATTTGATTACATTTTTTGGTTGTTCCGTTGCAAATTAAGTCATTATAATTTAGAACAAAGGCCAACTTTTATTTTATCACATATTCATCAAATAGAAGTTAGCATTCGCATTTTGGTCTAATTTCTCATTCATGATGTCATTGGGTCAAAAAGATATTTATACAAGCACACACAAAAAAAGGTTATTGCAATAGTTTGTAGCTATCTGTTTAGGCCAGCTCAACAATCCACAGTGTATTATGAAATGCTAATAAGTCAATTAAATACATGTGCACAGATGTATTTCATTAGAATGACTATTTATGCAAGATCACCAGTTATAAATGAAGCCATGTTAACACGTTGCCAAACGGTTAGCAAAGCTATTTAATATTCGCAGTTTTAATTGAATTAACAACAAAAAAATTATTGTGATTTTAACTACATTTAAACAGATGTTGCGAGAATCGCCTCGACGATGACGTCGTCATGCTAAATTTGGAGAGAGATTGCTGAGAGCTGAGAGCCGAGAGCAGGCACAAAAGTAGTAGTAATTTAGGTGTGCTAATGCTGGTGTTGTTGTTGTGTTTATTTGTTGTGCAGCAAACATATTTTTAGCCATATCTATATGCATAGATAAACAGGTGTACACATTTGAATAAATATTGAGCGCACACATCTGCACACTTGTTCATAAATCATCAAATTTGATGTACATAGGAATAATTTAAATTCATCTGAAATTAATTTCACTTTTAGATAAATTTTCATCGAGTATTTTTAATGGGAGGCACTCACATATACACATATACATATATGTACACATGTAGAAGCTAAGCGAGTGTGTTAGCAACGCTGACACTTTGATTACGCGACAAAAAATAAATAAAACCCAGACAATAATAAATAGTCGAACGATTCCCTGAACAAGTCGGATCCGAAATAGAAGTGGAAACACACATTCTACGTAATTTATTGCAGAAAATGCGGCCTTCTAAATCAAAATAAATATGTATATTTATATATACATATATAAAAATTGATATATGCACATGTGCAATACATATGCATGCAAATATTTGTGTGCATGCATGTATCTGACGTATTTACGCATTTTACGTAAATCCTATTTAACACTCACGACCTTCATATCTTGCCCTCATATACAAACAAAAGTATATACATATTTGATTCTAAGTAAATTGTTGTTCAAATTACCTCTAATATTCAAACCGAGCAAACTTTTGCACAACAACACGAGAACGGCAACACGCTAACTAGTGATGCAAAATATGCAAGTATTCTGCAAAAACAAAATCGAGTATCGATAAGTTCAGTTTTATATTGTTTGCTTAGTGCTGGCACGACTAATATTCGCAGCTCGATATCAGTAATGATGACTAGAGCTATCGATACTATTCAAATTTTAAATTTAGCGACGTTGGCAACTCTGCAAGTTGTTTCTGTTATTGCAGATTTTCGAGGGATTGCAGTAATTGTATTTATTGTGTCCATGTCATGTAAACGCACGCCTGACATCACCGAGTTGCTGCCAGTGCGAGAGTACCGCTGCGAGCACTGCAGCGATCAGGTATTCGGGAACCAGAGCCACTATCAACTGCATCTGCGACGACGCCACAATTTGGTGCCCATCAACAGCGAGGTGGACATTACTGAGTACCATTGTCCAGTGGCCAACTGTATTTACCATGTCGAGCGAGCAAACAGCCGCAGTTTCATGAACATTCGGTTCCTGCGTCAACACTACCAGAAGACTCACATGGTCAAGGATTTCAAGTGCAATGAATGCAACGGAACATTTCTGCTCGCACGTCATCTGGAGAAGCATCTGTGCTGCACAGTCTTCCCATGCCACGTCTGCGGGCTCACCTATTCCAGCAAGGCGAGCCTTGCCACTCACATGCGACGCAAGAATCATCTGGAACACAATGAGGTGCCATCAACGAAAGTTGCGATTCCCTCTTTAGAGTCATGGAGAAACCATCAGAATTCTACAAAAAATTATGCTAGAAACAAAGCGGAGCCAGTTGGTGATTTAGATGGTCCCAGCGAGAAACAGATAGCCCTAGTGCATTCGCCATACGGCAAGGAGCAAAAGACTGCGTCAAATTCAACAATTGATGCCACAATCAAATCGGAGCCAGTAAGCCATTTAGATACACCCATTCGGAAACAGAAACCAGTTGCTGTTGTAGATGACCCTATTGAGGAACAGATAGCCCCAGTGGATTCGCCTATACAACCATCATTCTATTGCCTGCCAGATATTGAAGTTCCCTTTGTGTTGCAGACTGCGACACAAACGGACGATAGCATCGACATGGATGATGCCGTACAACAAGCACTGAACGTTGCCCTGGCGGAGCGTGCGAGGCAGGAGAGCGAACTTGCCTTGTCCAACTTCACTGTCGAGGAAGTGGAGAGACTGTTACGCGACATGGAAACTCAAACGGATGACGTTGATTTCAATGAAATTGTGATGAACAATGCGGACGAGCTGGCTCCACTGCTGCGTGACACACAGACCCAAACGCTTGACAATCGGCTCGACCAGGGCACAATGACGGATCTCGATCTGGAGACGGACAGCGTCGTCTATGGGGCATATCAAGCGGCAGAGCCAATGTTTGGCCCACAGACCTCGGCACACATGCACACCCAGACTTGCGACGAGCTGTTCGAGGAGCTTGGCCTATCCCACATCCAGACACAGACGCACTGGCCCGACGAAGACGACGATGGACTTTACAATACGCAGCATACGCAGACCTGCGACGAGATGCTCGACGAGTTGCTGGAAAACTTTCAGTCGACTTGTACGCAAACTGGCGGTTGGATTAAGTGGCAGGAGACCGAAGGAGCTGCCAACTGATAACTGTATATATTATTTGAATCTGAATAGACTTTTACCGATTTATGGAGGCTTCCGAACTTATTTAATATATAAATACAACTGTTGCCATCTATGCAGTCTTGAGTATTTTTATTGTATCTCGAACAGGAGTCATCGACTAGGTCATTGACAACATCCGTAGACTAGCCATGTGTTTAAGCAGTCTATCTATATACATTATTTACTTATATTTATAATAATCAGTTGGCTTTAGTCTTTTTCTTGTTGATCTTGATTAGCAGCAGCTCGGAGCATTGAAAGAAACAATAGCTGCAAAAGGATAGCGCCAAATAGTTGCCCACTCCGCTCAGGTAGGCTCCACGCATCAGAAAGCTGCCAATATCCTGGCCGGCAATGAAGTAGACGTTGGAGAAGGCGGCTGGTATAAAGAGCTGTGTGGCAAGCAGCGCATGGAAACGTTGAGCGCCGGCGGCACCGAACATCTTCAGCGACCATCTCTGATAGGCTGGTCGCGCGACCAAGGTCTTGAAGATCTTCTCCGCCGCCAGGCACACAAAGTTCAGCACACTCCAGATGAGCACATACGTGTAGCAGCCATGCCAAATGAAGACAAAGACAAAAGTCAAGGCAGTCGCGCAGAGCTTGGCAGCTGGAGAGGATTTCTTGCCGCACAATTCCGCGTAGATGTGCCGGAAGAGGAACTCGTACAGACCCTCATCAAAGTACTTCCACATATCCGAGTAGAAGTGAATGCGTCCGATGCAACGTGGCCTCCTCGGTGCCGCAATCCCATCGTGCTCGGCAAACGCAATCCCCAAGCCATAGGTAACCACATAGTAGACGAAAAAGAATTGACCCATAAAGTAGCCGGCCGCATGTTGCCAGAACACAGACTCCATCATCGCCACAGTGCGCACATCGCGCTCCATGTAATGGATAAAGAAGTAATGCAGCGACCACATCATCATCAGCCACCAGAATCCCACACGCAGCAGGGCCACAGCGAATCTCCGCCATTGTAGTGGGCGAGTGGATTTCTCTTGCTGCTTAAAGCGCTCATAGCTGATAAGCGGTCCGTAGGTGAGACAGGGAAAGTACATGGTGTATGCCAGGTAATCAATCACATTATCCTCGTTGCCACCTCCACTTAGGGAGTAACTGCAGCCGCGCAATAAACTCCAGGAGGCGGTGATTATCATCATTGCATACTCCGCATAACCAACTTCATCCAGCCACCACGTGCTCTCCTTGGCCACATTGATGATTACAATCCAGACGCCAGTCAGCAGCCAAGTCAAACGTTTTGACCGTCTCCTGGCAGTCCAAAAATAACTCACCAACAGCATGACGAACATGATCAGTGATGTCCAGTGCAGATGTAAGCCCAGCGATAGTGCGCAGATGGCAATGTGTCCATAACGACGCAGATGAGTCCATTTCCAGCTGCAGACGCACGTCACAATGCCATGCAACAGGTAATAGGGCCATAATTTGGCAATAAAATCAGCGAAATTCTCCAATTCGTCATTGCTGTCATCGCGCAAACGCACAACGCCATCGCCTTGGAGCAGGCGCCAGCCTTCGACGAACCGGAAATTCGCTGTGTTCTCAATGCGATCGCGTAGTGCATAGATTTTATACAGCCCTATAACTATATAGACAATATAAACCGAAAAGTATATCAAGATTTCGAATTTATTTAACAAGCCGGCAGACATTGCAGTATCGATAACACTGCCAGAGTATCGACAGAGATGCGCGCGTGTCGTGTTTGAAATCATACTAATTCGTACTAATTTTCCCACCAGATAGCTTGTTGAAAGCCATTCTATAAGTTTAGTGTAACAACTTGATATATTCGTAATTTTGCTGTAGACACTATATAAGACAAAGTGAACCGCATAGGACCCTTAAATCATATAGCTGCCAGAGGAATTATTGGCAATCTCTTGTTTTCCAAACTCTCTTAACCTAACTCATCCGTTCCAAATAATATAAAATTGTTGAAAAGGTTCACAAAGGAACAATCGGTGGTAAGATGTATTATAAATTCGGCAAGAATATCAAAATGCTTGTTAGCTGGTCATTTTCATATAATCTATGATTAAGATTAATATGTAAGCATTTTTAATGACATATTTGCCATAATGACATAGCTTAAAGTTAAATTATCTCTACAAGGGTTGCAAGATGAAAACTATGTTAAAGTGTTAAAATGTACATGAATGTGTGTGTACGAATGTATGGATGTTTTGTATGTATGTTTAGTTAAGCCCATCCTCCTCGTCGTCCTCCTCCTGCTCCTCCTTGACTTTTCGCTCAGCTTCGGTGACGCGTCGCTGTAAATGTCGCCAAAGTGTGCTCTTGGGTATTTCGAAGAGATTCGCGGCATGGTTCTGTGACATGCCACCGCTGATGCAGGCATGTAATGCCTTTGCCAGCTTGTCGCGCAGCTCATCCTTGGGCGTGCTGTCTCGCCGCCGACAGGCGACGGAGTCAGGCAGTCGTCCTTGGGCCGCCAGGCGTACCTTGTGCCTGTGCAGCGTTGACATCGGTATGTGCAGATCCTGGCTGATGCTCTTCAGAGAGTCGCCGTTCTTCAGACGTTCGTAGGCCTCCGATAGCGATGGCTTCTCTCGCTTGATTCGCATGTACGCCGGATTGGAGCGCACCCGTCGCCATAATACGGTTTTGGATATGTCAAAACGATCGGCAGCCTTCTGCAGACTCAGTCCCTCGTGGAGGACAGCGTCTGCGGCCAGATCAAGGGCATCATTGATATCTTCCTTGAGCTCCCTTTTCAGTGCCACATGCTCTTGATGCTGTTTCGTTATCGCTTTTTTGGACGCAGCTTTTGTGGGCGTGGCGCGCTGGCGTACCTTTGTTTTTAACATTTTTATGTCTAGGTGGGATTTGCGTGGCTTCACATCCAGCAGTTCTTCATCGTCTTCCTCCTCGTCGCCGGCACCCACTTCATGCATTACATCCTCGGTCATATCAGCATCGGCATCTGCATCTGCACTGATCTCTATCAAAGGATCCGCGGATGCCCCGTACTCTTCCTCGATTAACTGGGATTCGGATTCGTCGTGATCATCGGTGACATCCGCCTCGACTTCATCGTCAACCAGTTCACCGCTGTGCGTCGCTGTATCCATTACGGGATTAACTGTATCGCCCAATTTATTTACGGAAGATGCCGATTGTGTAATGGTGAAGGTGCCCGTGTTCTCCGTTAATATATACTGATTGCCATTGCTAGTGCCGCCCATATGCTCAATGGAATACGTTATTTTCGGCTGATCACTGTACACATCAAGAAACTCTAACGTTCGTCCCTGCTGCTGATCGTGATGCTGTTGCTGCTGGGGATTAGCGAGCACTGTGTTATCCATCTGAAGTTTGCCAACCACCGCGCCAGCATCCTCTTCCTCCTCCTCCTCGACAAGCGATGCATTTGCAATTTGCAATCCACTAATTGACTTTGCTGCCTCGATGGCCATAGCGCCGCTGATCACATCTGTGCTGGTCATGGCTATTGGATTCGTTTCAAAACTAATGGCAGACTTGATGCCCAGCAGATTGATGGCTTCGAGGAATTCGGAGAGCAGGGCAGAGGGCAAACTCGTTTCACCCATATAAATGAAAGACAACATGCTCTCCAGGAGCTCGCCGCGTATGTCGGGCAGGATGACTGTTGCCTCCTGGCCAGTCGGTAAATCGACGAGGAGATTGCGCATCAGATCGCTGCACGTGCTTAGCACGAACAGATGGGCGCGCACACTGATGCCATCTTTGGCCACCAGCAGGACCTCGCAGCTTTGATTGTTGCTTTGCTGATGGAGCAGAACGCGCTGGATATCCATTATTGTGGACGAGTGGCCCATCCATCTGAGGTGATTCTGTGGAAAGATTAGCACAGCTCAGATGTAAACAAACCCGTGTCAATGTTTGTTTTTACATTTGTTCCAAAAACCATTACCATTTTCGTTTGTTGTGTTTTATTTTCCAAAAATCTGTTTCTATTCTATTCCAGCGCACGAAGCGAAACGCGACGAAAATGAAGAGCGTCAGGGTTGTCAACTGTGTTCCGATTATTGCTGCTGTTGCGATTAAAAATATATTCAATCATAAATTTGCAATTCAATTAATAAAATATATTATATATTATATTATCATATTATATATTTAGATTTATATCCAAATTAACTTGCACTATCTAATTTATGGAATATGGAATTATTACAAAGCTGATGACAACACTAACGCGTCAAATTTGCGCTTGCTGATTCAATAAATGAGCTGAACCTGTTCATTATTTTGTTTTGTTTTGTTCGGACTTAGCAGTAATGTTAATGTTTTCTAATTTTGGAGCTAATAATTGTTCTATGGTATGTTATTAAAAAAAACTTCTTTATAATTGTAACAGTAAAATTCATAAAAAATATTTTATAAGCTAGTGCTCCTCTGAGTCTACTTCTGAAATTTGCTTCATAGTTAGTTTCCTGACCTTTCAGCTGGAGTTGAAATATACACAGATTGCAGACCTCCAGGCATTTAAATATCATTGAATATTAAACATTTTGGAATCAAATTTGAAAGTATCACGCAAATCGTTCTTTCAACAATGAACTAGTTCACAAAATAAATCGAGCTTGGCCAACACTGGCACCTTGACGTTTTGTTGTTACATAAACTGTCAAATATTGTGCAGAATATTAGATTTGTACGCAAATATTTAACTTCAAACGAGCGTATGGCCGCCTTAATTAGAAGTCTGGGTGCCAGAATTGCTTCCGCCGCCTTGACGGCCAAGCATGGTAACTAACCAAAGCCTGCACAGCATTATAATTAATAATACCAAATCTATAACATATTCTTTACGTATATATAGTGGTGCCCGCTGGAACAGCTGCTCTGCGCTTGTCCAGCACTGCTGCCGTCGATGCCAAAGCCCCCGAGAAACGTAAGTAGTCCGTAAGAAGCGCAATGGATTTTTATATAATTCTAACTGTTTTGACAGCCACTATACGCAAACCGGACGCCGCTGCTCGGACATCGCTCTCCGATTTTGGTCGCTATGTTGCCGAGTGCATGCCGAAGTACGTGCAAAAGGTGCAATTGACCTCAGGCGATGAGCTGGAGATACTCATTGCGCCCGAGGGCATTGTGCCTGTGCTTCAGTTTTTGAAGGATCACCATCAGGCACAATTTACTAATTTAGTTGACATTGCTGGTATGGATGTGCCGTGCCGCCAGCATCGCTTTGAGGTTATTTATAATTTGCTGTCGCTGCGCTTTAACGCTCGCATTCGGGTCAAGACCTACACTGATGAGCTGACCCCGTTAGACTCGGCCTGTGAGGTGCACAAGGCGGCAAATTGGTATGAGCGTGAGATTTGGGATATGTATGGTGTTTTCTTTGCCAATCATCCCGATTTGCGACGCATTCTCACTGACTACGGCTTCGAGGGACATCCACAGCGTCGCGACTTTCCGTTGTCCGGCTATGTTGAGCTGCGCTATGACGACGAGAAGAAACGCGTCGTCTGCGAACCCTTGGAGCTGGCACAGGAATTTAGAAAGTTTGATCTGTCGGCACCGTGGGAGCAGTTCCCCAATTTCCGCAATGCAAACCCACCAGCCGAGGTGGTGGAGCCAGCCAAGAAGTAAGCGAACCGCATCACAAGTATTTTGCAGTTTGTTTGTTTAATGGTAATTACTAGATGAATACATCAATAAAAACGATATGTAGAAATTGTAAATTTAAAAACAATGATTTATTGATAGAGGCCACAAAGTTAAATCCTTCATTCAGGCTTCGAGAGTCCGGTTCTAATAGTAAGAAAATAGACAATGTCAAGTTTTATAAAATATGTTTTTTTGTAACTTAGAAACTTTTGACAATTTCACAATTTTTTTCCTTTTTTTTTTTTTTTTTGATTCATGCTTTGAGTTTTACATGATATTCTTAAATTCTCATGAGCTGATTAAAAAGTATACACATATATATATTTATATATCGAATTACAACATCAATATTTGAAATCGCATAAATTTCCATCTAGAATTGAATTCATTTAAATGTTATTCGCTTGGTTTAGTTGGCATTACGTTTCTGTTTGACATATTTGCAAACCTCACTTTGTACTCTTCATATTTAATAACCAAGCTTAACATTAAACAGCAGAGAAAATGTTGAGAATTGTATTTGATTTTTTGATTCTCGTTTTTAAAAATACCTATTAACATTTAAGTTTACACAGATGTGCTTGGATTAATGCATATATGACCACGATACATGCATATGCATGGGGATTTCTTCTTTTTTTCTTTCTTTTTTTTAATTGTTTTGTTATTGTTATTGTTACGCTTACAAAACAGTTATTAACACAAAAATTCAGTTTACCAGGTTATCATATTGAAAAATCGTGCGCCTGCGCAGCGGTGCCTGGCTTCTCCTGCAATCCTAGTTGTTTGGCGGGACGTTAATAAGTATGTAGTACTACAAATACAGTGATCGCTCGAAAATAAAATATTCCAGAAATTTGAATTGTGATTTCTTAATTTTGAAATCATTTTCTTCACAATTATTCATTATTCATTACACCTATAAATCCGAAGCTTTCTATTTGCCTAGCGACCACTCTGTGTACAAATATAGTATACAAGTTGAATTTTTGTTGCTGTATATATGTGTATGTATATATATATATATAACTTTTGATTCGAGCTTGATTAGTTGCACATACTATTTAGCTGCACCGCTGATGCTTTATTTCTTTGATTCTTTTTTTTTTGTATTTTTACTTCTGCAATTTGTACAAGAATATACATACATATGTACGTAACAATTACTTTACATTTACATAGCTTGGTTACGATTAATTTAAAATGTGTCAAAACATACATATGCGTATGTATTTATGCATGTACATATGTACTTTACATCACTGCGACCACAAATTTGGCGCAGAGGTACAAAACAAATTTAGCTGCGCTTAGAGCGCGCTTGAACAGTCCTTGTGCTGGCGGCATTATATCCGTCCAAGACAGTGGAACTGCGACAAATGAAAAATTTTCGATGCAGGATGAAAAGTGCGCTAATGCTGGCCGTGCTTAATGCTTCAGCAACCGGTAGCGGCACTTCCTGGCGACAAACAACAAATTTGACAGACGCCCATTTTGATCCGTCGTGCCACAAAATACAAATGTGTGTGTGTAAAGCCAAAGCACTCGATTCCACGGTGCGGCTTATATCGATTCGGTTTTCGTGTAAAGCCGAGCAGCTGGACCGCCACCACCACCACCACCAGCAGCTGCCGCATAGGTAGAGGTGCCTTTGCTGCTGCTGGTGTTGGCGTGACTCTCGCTGCTGCTGCTGCTTGTGGCGGCGGCGGCTGCCTCATTGTTAAGCCGCTCGTGGTACTCCTGGAAACAGGGTACGATGCATAAATTCGTTTGACACTCGGGACAATGGTATTTCGTTTTGCGGCGCAAAATGCGTCCATGTCCATCGATGGTATTCCAACAGAAATTGCAGCCCAGCGCTGGACCTGGTCGTATGACCGGACAATGACTAGAACGTGGATTCTCCAAGGTAATGATTTCACGTTGGGTCTGCAAGCAATTCAATTAATAAAAATCTTCAAAGGATTATGTTTTATTTACATACCTGTGGTGAAGACACTGAACGCTGCAGTTCCTCGTTCTTCACGCGCAGCGTGGGCAAATGCTCAAATGAACTGCTCGTCGTCGTCTGGCTGGGATGCAGGTGAATGTTGCTGCTGCTGCTGCCAGTTGACTTTGAGCTGCGCAGCTTGTTGACAACTCCACCACCAACGCCACCACCATTCGCTGTTTCGACCTTTGCACTGCTGCGCTCCACAATGTGTGTGAGCGGAGAGTGCGGCGAGCGACGTTCCGGAATGGGAGACGGCTCCGTACTGCCGCCGTATGTGGGCGAGAAAGGCTGGCGACTGCTGCCTGCAGGTGGCGATGTGACCACTGAAACTGGCGTGCCACCTGAGTTTGTTGGCGTCGCCGCTGCCTCACTCGACGTGCTGACGACGCGCGTGGGGACCAGGTACTGCGAGGAGCCGGCTGGCGGCGGCGAGCTGGAGGCATAAATTGCCTCGGGCAGCGAGATATGATGTGGATGATGCAGCGGAGCTGGCGGCACATATCCAGCATTAGTTCCCGATAGCGGATGCGAGTATTGCCGGTGTAATGGCGCAAATGGATTTGTGCCCGTAATGCTGCCGGTGGAGTGCAGCGAGTGCTGGCGCGGCAACAGCGGATCCGAGTGCTGCTTAATCAGATATGGCGTGCTGGACGGCACACTCAGCAGATGCGGGGTCGGAGGAGATGCGAGACTGGGCGCAGGCTCAGATGCGTGCCGCTCAATTCGAGGTGGTACTGTCAACAGATGCGGATGATGCGGACTATGATGATGATGGTGCTGCTGCTGCTGAGCCTGATGATGATGATGTGTCGAGTAGTCCCTGGCTATGGCAGTTGTCGTGCCCGCGGCATTGAACGGATCAAAGTCGAGCGTTGTTGCAGCCGTATCCGGTGAAATCTGATTGGTCGACGAGAGGCTGTCGCTGTCCCGTTTCACCCTTGGCTGTCGCGTAAGCACACGATTCCTCTTCGAACCCATCACGCCCGGCGACTGCGTTGTCTGCAGATCTGTGGCCGTCTCCGTTTCGCTTGGTGTGCGCTCAAAGCTACCACTGCTGCTGCTGGTGCCCTGGCTGTGCATAATGGCCAGCGTCGGATGATGCTGAGTCACATGCGCCGGACTGGGCTCTGTAATGAAAAGCGGTACAAAAAAAAAACACATTAAATCATCGTGATTAAACAAATCAAATAAAATTATACAATTAATCGAAAGTAAAGCTATGAATTGGATTTATACATGAATGACAAGTTTTTTTTTTTAAATTTTATTCGTTTCTTGCACATTGAAGAAGCCTAAAATCTAAAAGGTTCGTTTCGTTAGTTACATTATATCGTACATAAATTTTCCGTAACTTATTTTACAGTCGTTTCTTTTTTATTTACTACCGATGACTAATAGTACAGTAATTGTAAATAATTAAATATATATATAACTGTATATGTTAAACACGCAATTGTAGGAAACAGAGTTAGTCATAATTATTGTTTATGCTATTTTTTCGTTTGCGTTGTTTTTGATGAATTAGTATTCGTTTTATTGGCGTGTGTAAGATCTATGCATCTAGATGTAGGAATTAAAATGCATTACCAAAGTTTTACGTTTATAATTACAATACAAATGACTTCTAACAAATCACGCTTGGTTTTTAGTTTGCCTTCCGACAGACAATATAAAAAGTTCTCTATTTTATTACATACATATTTATAAGTATTTGATTTTATTGTATATATATATATATTTATATATATATGTATTGTATTAAAAACACACTATTCTTATTCGATTTTTCCATTACTTTCTGCAGTCTCCATTTAGGATTTTGGGTGGTTACGAGTTATCTTAGTTTTGTATATTGCGTATATGGCTTGCCCATTTAGTCCTATTTGTTATCGTATGCGTATGGCTCTCCATAAGTACATATGTATATATATAGTAAAACATATATAATGTATATGGAATATGTACAATAAATTAATTCCAAAATTATAAAACCAAGAATCCCTTTAAGATATGTTTAGTGTATGTGTTTAATTGCACTCCAAAAATAATAACAAATTGTACAAACATACATATATACAATATGTATATTTAAGTTTGAGTAGAATTTATAAAATTTTCAACAGAAACTCTTAGTGGAATGGTGTAAACATTTTATTGGGCCAATATTGAACTGTTTAAATACAGTCTCTGTATAAATTGTGGCTTCCATGATTCAGAAAATTCAGAACAAAAAACCATCCCAAAATCGAAAATACAAAATGAATGCGTACATTTACAAATATATATATTGGTACGTACATATATATCATACATTATTGAGTTGGCTTAATTAATTATTTAATTACGGTTTATTTTATACGGATTATAACACTATCCGTCTAACGACTGATCCTTTTTCCCCCAAATTAGATACAAACATCCATTTCAACTAAAACTGTTTGACCTTTATCTGTACAAAAAATATATATTCACGATATATATATATATATACATATATATATATATATTTAATTATGCGAGTTAGAATGTATACGTAATAAGGGTTTGCTTTTGTAACACGAGTGCCGGGATTTAAAGGGAGAACGGGGGAACTTCTTTTACATTGATGAAAATAATTAGGCCGTTTTTGATGTAGTTTATATTTAAAAGTTGTATATACATACTAGCTAAGTCGATATATCATAAATCATTTGCTTTTCGATGATTTAACACTAATAAAAATGTATATAACTTTATGTACAAATACAAATTGGGTTTGCATATACAATTACTGTAATACCGATTCCTTAGCTCAACAACGGTAAAAATAATGTTCGGCTTGAAACATGTTGTTTAAGGAATTAAGTTCTATGAATTATTACATACATATGTGTGTGTGTGTGTATTATCGGCACATTTGCTTATTTTTAGGGACACACTATATCCTAGTGGGTGTACATGTTTTTCCATTGCCTGACATCACGCTATATCCATATACCCCCTGCTGTTCCGATTCGCAATGCCTTATATATTGACTGTAGTTCACACTAGTAGCTGCCGTTGCCCTAATACCTGTATCGAGAGACGGCTGTGCGCCTGGATTGAGGGAGTCGAGGTTCTTCTTAGGATTTGTCTAAGTATTGCAGGCCAGTGTTAACCAGCGGCGCAAACGTACTGGCAACCAATGGTGGTGGCTGCGACGGCGACGGATGTGTTGGCGCCGCCACAGTTACAAAATTATTGAAAAGAAAAGCGGTAGCCGCTGCGCTATGCGCAGTTCCCATTGCTGAGACCGATACGGGCACGGCTGATATGCTCATTGGTTCTGGGTCGTTGGCAGCCATCACAGCGGCCGCCTGCAGCAACTGGGCTGGCCCTGGCCCGTGCGCAGACTCGCCACCGCCGCCGCCGCTGCCTATGCTCAGTTGGTCAACCTGCAAAGGCATTACACCTGCCGCTGCGGCGGCGGCGGCGGCAACAACGCCCATGTGATTGGAAATCGTATTCTATATTGAGTTGAAGTTAATACTCTGTAGATTCATTGCAGCGGCCGGATTAACATTGATTGTGCCCGCTCCCGACGCTGCAGCAGCTGCACCGGCGCCCGTCGCATCGATATACCTCTGCCGGGACATGGTGTGCACGCTGGCCGGTGAGTCCATGTAGCGGGCATCGAAGAGGCTCATCACGCCGATGGTCGGATGCGTGTTGGCCCCACCGGCTGAGGTGGCCGCTCCTGCGCTCGCATGATGCGGCGCGCACATCAGCGATGGCGTCGGCGTCTCCGTCTGCGGCGGTATCTGCATGTTGAGCGCAGCTGTTTGTGCTGCGGCAACGGCTGCAGCGGTTAGATGATCATATGTTTCGTTGGTCGTATCGTCGCCGGGATTTGTGGATGGTGTGGGCGATGGCGATAGATTCGGCTCCTGTTTGACGACGCGCGCCTTTATGCTCGGTCTCGACACCGGATAACCGCGTTTCTTGTACTCCAGCCAAAGCGTGCGATTGTTCACGCCGTAGAGGCGAGCAGCCTTGCAGAATCCGATGCCGCCGGTGCGCACCGCTTCCAATGCCCTGATGAAATTCTCATCGCCCTGGGGATTTACGGATCGCTTGCGTTTGGTCACTTGACTGCTGCTGCCGCCACCGCCACTGCTGCTATTGCCACCACCGCCGCCGCCAGCACTGCCCGCACTTCCACCCGCACTGCTGCCGCCGCCGCCGCCCACGCCGGAGTGGACAGGCGACTGTGTGGGTGTCGGACCCTGACTGTAGACGGACTGCACCATATTGGACTCGTTGGGCGATGTGGGCGACAGATTTTGAGCGGCCGTTGCATACCCGCTGACCAGATTATTTACGGTTATGATTTGTGACGAGTACGCCTGACCAGCTGTGGCGCCCTGTTGCTGCTGTTGTTGTTGCTGCTGCTGCTGCTGATAGTGCAGCTGCTGCAGATGCTGTTGTTGCTGCTGCTGCGTCGCCTGCTGCTGAGCTTCGTGCTGCTGCTGTTGCTGTTGACGCTGGTCGGCGGTGGTGCCGGCGGTACCGACGCCGGCATTGCTATTCGCGGCGCTGTTTTGATTGCCGTTGCCGTTGCCATTGCCAATCAAATTGGACTGGCAGGCGGGCATCGAAAAGCGCGAATAGTTTGAATCAACAACTGTCCACTGCAGACCTGGGAAGGGGAGAGAGAGAGAGAGAGACAGGCGTAAGATTTGGTTTTGTCTTTAGTACGGGTTTGAAATCGAAACAAAATTACTCTCTATAAAATTTACTCTCAATTATCGTTTTGTTTAGGGACGGGGCTCTTCAATTGGCCAAGATCTGAGTTTTGGAAATATAAGGGCAAACCATTGGACAACAGGCATAGAGTATAGTAAGTGGTTTACAGAGTAGATAGAATGGTATTTGGTATTCGGTATCGAGTAGTAGAAAGATTGCTAATGCTAAATCATTATCATTCGAAAACCGCTCTTTAAAATGCTTTCCCCAAGAAAAAACAAAAAAAAAAGATCAAAAAATTAAAAAGAAAACAAAAACAGAAATTGCCAAACAAAAGAGTTTAGTAATCAAATCGACAATAACAAAAAAATTAGAAATATTCAAATCAGTAAAATACAGTTATTTAGTTTTTGGACTCTGTGCTAGCTCTCTCCCATTCCCAAGTTCAGGTAGGATTTCGTTTTTGAATAGAATACACAATAGTAGTTAATTATATACACATGTACATACAAATGCATTAATTTGATGTAACATAATTAATTTAATCGCACTTAATCGGTATAACGGTAGTCTTTATGCTTTATGTTTTTTTTTTGTATTTTTTTTTTTCATATTTAGCTTTAGCATTCATTTCTCCAAGCGCTTTGAATCGCACTTAAATTGTTTGAACGTAATTGTAGTTGTATGTGGAGTATGTGTGTCTGTGTATGTATGTATGTATGTGTGTGTGTATGTGTGTACGTATATGGAATGAGTGACATGTGAATGAGCGATAGCAGAGTAACAACAGGAGTAGCTACATTCGAGCAAAATCTTAAGAATGAAATAATGATTAATGATGGCAAAATCAACAAGAAATAAACAAAAAACGTAGGGACCAAAATTGGAGCACCTCAACTCGACTCCCGCATTGGCAGCCTGATATAGGCAATATAGAAAGTACAACCCCTTAATGAAGCATGATCGATCTTGGCGTATGATTTTTTATGTAAGTGTTTTTTTTTTTTCAGCGCATCAATTTCTTGTAACTCATTCAGTGCATAGGCACATTAAAAATGAATCGCACAGTTTACAAATATTTAACTTAATGTGTCATTTAAAGAGATCATCAATAATAATTCAATTCAAAATAAAATATACTTTCTTTGTAACAGTAAATATACAATTTTGTTTTTTGCTCAGTGCTTTTAGCTGTCAAGAATTTTGATTATAGCTAAACACTTAGAATTAAGTTTCTTTGAATTTTCTTAACCCTTACCAACATTTCTTAAAAGTGCCAATATCATTTACAAAATGTATTTTATTTTTTTAAATTTAATTTCTATTGCCTTAAAAATCAGTTGAGTTTCTGTTGTGCGATTCATTTTTAGCAAGTACGCTGTACAAATATTTTAGGACTTACCAGAGTGCGACGATTGTGAATTGGGCGCGTCGTGTTCCGATGGTGTTGTGGTGCCAGAAATATCCAGGGGCATCGTTTGATTCACACTGCCGATGTCCACCTCCGGCTTCTGCACGGCCAGCAATAAATGGGATGAGAGAGATGAAGTTCAGTAAAATGCTTCAAAATTGATATAGGATTAACGTGACCAATTTCATTACAATTTGCATATGTATGTGTCCGTGGGCATCGTCCAGATCCGAATCCTGCGGCTGTTGCTCTAGCTCAGTGTTTGCTGACTCCTTAAGCAGCTTGGAGGCATGCATCGAGTGTCCCGCGAGGTTACCAAGTGATGCAGTCGAATTATTACCCGCTCCACCGCCAAACGACATTTGACTCATCTGTGCCAGACTCAGCCCAGCAGCGCTGCCAGCGGCGCCAGTTGCATCCAGTGAGCTGCTGTGCTGCTCCTCCGAGTTGTTGCGATCACCAGAACCTGTTCAATGCCCAATAACAAATTAAATGATTAACATCTGGACTACTAATTTACATTATTCGATGTACGATGCTTTACCCAAGTCACACTCACCGTTATTCGAGGATTTACGCAAGCGCTTGCGCCGCGTGGCCGGGGAGGTGCCAGCACTTAGCGGCGATGGCGTTCGCCTCAGCTGATGGTGATGCGTCTGCGAACCCTGCGCTTGGCTGCCCCCTTGCTGCTGTTGTTGTTGCTGTTGTGCTTGGTGATGATGATGGTGATGATGATGCTGTTGTTGCTGCTGCTGCTGTTGTTGTTGCTGCTGCTGCTGTTGTTGTTGTTGCGCCTGCTGCTGCTGCTGTTGTTGTTGCTGTTGCGCCTGTTGTTGCTGCTGTTGTGCCTGCTGCTGTTGCTGCTGCAGTTGTTGCTGCAGCTGTTGCTGATGATGCTGCTGAAATTGCTGCGCCTCACTGCTGCTCCAAAGCGAATCGCCTGCACTGCTGCTGCCGCTGGCTGCTCCTAGACTAGACGCTGCAGCACCAGCACCAGTGCCGGCCACATTGGCACCAGCCTGACCGAGCAACTCGGTCGCCTCACTGGACGATTTGCTGTCGGACTTGGTGAGGTTGGCCGGATCAGTGGGCATTTCGGCCAGGCCCTTGATCTTGAGCATTTCCGCCGTTTTCAGAATGTGCGGCAGTTGTTCCTGTGACACATTCACCTCGCCGTAGTACATGAAATCCACCATCGTCTTGAGATCATCGTACTGCACGTCTTTCAGTATGACAATCGGATGCTGGCACGGATTCGTTGTAAAGAGCGCCTGTACGAAAGATACAGTTTTAAATTTATATATTCAGTTGGTATTTGATGTTCGACTCACCTGAAAGTAAGAACTGCACGCGGAGAGCACAATTTTGTGAGCCTGCAGCTGGCGGCCCTCCGCAGCGAGCGTGACATCGACTAGCGTCCCATTGTGCAGCAGGGATGAGCAGACCGATATGAAGTTGGGCTGGTGATTGTTCCAGCGCAGGCAGAACTGCTGCACAGACATTGTCAGCGTCAACGTCGTCTCCAGCAACAAAGCGCGATGCCGTTGCCGCTGCCGCGTACTTTGTCTCGCGGCAGCAACAACAATATGTCGCAAATACTAACGAAGCACAGAAACCCAATTCCAGTTCCAATTCCAAAACGTAATGACGAAAACACGCTGATAACAACACTTTCTTTATCACCTATTGATTTCTGCGTTTTTTTCCTCGTTGATATTACCTTTTTTTTTTGGGTTCTTTTGTTTTGCTTTAATTAAAATGTATGTGCAATATTATTTTCGGGGACTCTTCAAGTGATGTTTTGTTGCTGTTCTTCTGGTCGTTGTCTGTTGGTATGTATTGCATCTACTGACACACATATATATGTAGGTATGAACTTTTGGCGTTTGGCGGCGGTTTCTATGCCGCACCGTTGTACATATACACATACACATATGCACGCAACATCTTATGTGGTGCTGAAATGTGGAGTATTTAATATAAGTATACACTTCTATATACTAATATATGTAGACATATTTATTTGATAAGAGCAATATTAAAATTTGTTTGGTTAAACTATTTCGAGTTCTTCTTCTTGTTTTCCGCCGTTTTCTGTGTGTGAAGTTATCTCTTCTCTACTTGTCTACGCGCGCATTCTTTCGCTCTCTCTCTCTCTCCCACTCTCTTTCTCTATGCGCTCACTCACGTTGCTGCTTACAACAAAAACAGCAGTGCCAACAGCAACAACAAAATACGTACGTCAATTTATATGTGTGTAATTATACAGTCGCGAATAACATACACACACACATACATGCATATACATACACGGGGACAGATGCTCGGATATTTAACAGAAAGTCTGTGTACTGTTTTTTTTTGTTGGTTTAGTTTGCCCTAAGTTTTATTTTTAATGAAAACGTAACGAAATCTAATACATAGGCTTCATATCTGTGATGTGCGCTATGGAGACCTTGAATTTTCTTTGATTGTTATGACGTAATTAGCGCGTCTGACCCTCTGCCTCTGCCCCTGTCTCTGCCAACAGGCACGACCACGACCGACGTCGTCGTATTAATCGCTGCTTCGTTTATTCATCGTATTGACATTTTCAGCAGCCTTTATTTAGGTATGTACACACGTATGTGCATGTGTCGCGCGTTTTTACTATATAATTGCTTTTCAGGTATACATTTACATTTTTATTAGTCGAGCAATTGGCAATGTTTTCGATTCTTTTTTTCGGTGGTAATGGGGGGGAGGTTTTATTATTTTGCACAAAAGAAAACACGGCGAGAAGTAGAAAGTCCAAAAACAAAATGGCGCGCTTGTAAGAAAAATTATTGGTTTGCAAAAGCTATCAAAAGGCATATTAAACACATTCTATTTCAAACAGTATTTATGCATTATTCATTTTCACTTTTAATTGTTCACATTGTGCGTAAATTCGCTTTATTTAGCTTGCGTTTAAATTAATTATGGAAGTAATGCAATTCTTACGTTTTACTTCTTTATTCTTTTATTGCGATATTAGGCCTGATAATCAGGGTTGCTTAGCAGATCTGGAAAGCATTGAATATAGCTATCGATAGCTCCGAATAAATTTTTAAATCGATATATTACTATGCGATAGTTCTTGTACTGTGCTCTGTACATTTTAAGACCGTGCTGCAACGAAATACAGCACATTTGGTATAACATTTTTTAATGATTTTATTTTGATAATTGTAATCCCCAAGCTGAAATAAAAATGTGTGTTTAGCATTGAAATATGATAGCTGAATACCCTTATTACTTCTCAATATGATAGTAATAACATATATTGTGACTATCGAATACAGACATCAGAGAGTTACAAGCCATTCTTGTGCGATATTAGTGTTGTTAAATGAGGCGAGTGCAGCATTTCAATGACGATAGCAGTAGAGTTGCTCTTTGCGGGAATGCCAAATTTTGTTTTACTTCAAATTCTAGCGATAACGTTTTCAACCGTATTTGTTGGTTTGTTTATGAACAAATTCTTTTTTTTTATCAACACATAAACAAAAATAACTGGAAATTAGCAAGAGATTTTCAATAAATGTACAATTTTTCTCGGGCATTGCTATATGTATTGGATATAAAATGATGATTCATATGGGGTAGATCATACAAATCAGCTGTTTATTACTTATTATTTATTTATTGTTTAAATTGCTTATGCTATGTTGTAAAAGAATATTAATACATTTCACAATAATTGCCATCTATTTGTTTATCCGTTTTGGTCTTCCAAATGCTAATTTATATTTTAATTCGATAAGATGATCATGGGAATGGCGACTGATAAAAGTCAGTATATAGGCAATAAAACGTATCTTATATTTATATTATATCTGATAGTTATCATATGAGATATATAGACCGAAATCAATAGGTATTGTTATTAAGTGTTGTTATTTTGCTCTGAAAGATAAGCTCATGCATTCACCAAAGAGTTATGACCTTTATAAACTGGAATTAGTATACATCTTTTTTTTTTTGCGTAATACTAAAGCATTCGGTGCTGAAGTAAAGCTCAATTAAGACGGTTTTACCACAAATAGCATATTTGTGAATGCAGTGTAAAACGCGGTCAGATTCATATTTTAGATACGTAAATTAATAATTCCGTAAATTAATAATCTTTTAATATGAATATTTACTAAGTTAAAGCCGTTGCGGTGTTGTAGGTGTAGGTCAAATTTTCCAGCTAAGTCTGTTATAAAAGTCATGTATTTTCTGATTTGGACATCAGTATCATCTGCAATATCAATCCGTGCAATACGAATTTAGTTAAAGTCACAAGAAATATGAACAAAATTGTAAGTGAAATATATATAATATATATTTTCTTGAGAATACGACATCTTAACCGAAACTATATTATCTTCCTTTAGAGTCTTATCTTTGGAGTAATATGCCTAATTTCAGGCTGCATTGCAGGCGATGAGTCGGGTGCGGTTATTACCAAGTATACAAGTCATATCAGCCAGGATGGCAGCTATGGCTACGAATTTGGCACATCGAACAATATTCAGGCAGCGGAAACAGGAGTGGGCAGTTCGTATGCCGAAGGATCTGTTCAGTACATAGCACCCGATGGACAACCCATTCACCTGGAGTATACAGCCGATGTCAATGGCTATCAACCTAAAGGCGATCATCTGCCAACACCTCCACCAATTCCAGATTACATTCTGCGGGGACTGGCTTACATTGAGTCACATCCGTTTCAAGTAATTCAGGTCAAGAAATAAGATTGTATAACAAACTAATGATAATGTTAAGATTAAGATAGTAAATTTTAATTAATTTTTTAATTTTGTGTTTATTTGTACTTTTACGAAGAAAGGCGGGTGCGCCCAACTGGGCCATACTCTGCATACCCTTATTTTGAAGATAGCTGAGGGAGATTAACTATAAAAAAAACCTTGAGCTACACTGGCAACGTCCATCCAATATGGGTCGTTTGGCTTCTACATTAAGTGAGATATGATTAAATTCATAGACATTGCGTCGGCAACAATTAAAACACTAAAGATTACAGAGATTGGAGTTGCCAGTATTAGCAACAGAAGTCACCAACTGATACACCTCGTATGTTGGCCAAATGTCGTTCGGCCGTTACCTGTTTTGATGTTAATGAAATGCAAAAGCAAGCGTTATACTTAGTCAACTTGGACGCTGACAATAGACTTGAAGGTGGTAAATATTTGTGTGTCGAGTCAGTTTTATAACGAGCTACCGATTATAACGCAAATTGATGGCTGACAGGGCTAACGTGTTTTTAATTGCTTTAAATTACAGTTGAGTACTTTTGCTGAACTGTTCTCGTCTGCTTCGCTTGAGCAGACGAATGGCAGAAACAAAAATCTCCAATATAAATGGGTTTAGTTTTGATAAAGTTGTGGCAGTTCGAAGTCCTTTAGGAATATTATCCAGTGGATTGGTTTGAATAAGGATTAGAAGCCAAAAAAAAAGTCAGTTGGAAAATAAAAATACATTTCCTCATAACTACTTCTTTTGTAAAAATGCAGGCAAACAACTCTTTCAGTCATGTTATGTATGTATGTATGTGTAGAAAAATAACTTACTATATGTGTTTGCTTTAATATAACTCTTGTATTCTTCTACCAAATTGTTTGAATTTTTCAATAGTCCATAGCATACTTTCAGGGATTTTCTGTGTTTTAAGATATATCGAACGGGCAAATTATTGATTCAATAGTATAATATAGAATACATAAAATGCGTTTCTTATTGTGCTGATCAAAAAATGATAAATACACATTGCAATTTCAGTATATACTCCACATTACATATGTTTATTTCAAATAATACATATCAACAAGGCTTTCAGAAAATCGAGAGACTCTTTAACTCCTAACCGACAAGTTTGCGCTGGTTGGAGAACCGCCTGGAGTCTGGACGCTGTTGGTACTGACGGGGCTGTTGGAACTGTTGGACGTTACGGGACTGGTGGGCCGCCTCGTCGTATTGTGGGTGAGTGCGAATGTACTCCAAGGATTTCAGGATAGCCGCTGGAATTGGTGGTGGTGTGGGCAGATGGGCACCTGATGGCTGGAAACCGTTCTCATCGGCAACATAGGAGACCTGGATGAGTTGTCCTTCCGGAGAGTAGTAAGAGTATCCACCACTTGCAGAGTAGCCACCAACTCCTTGCTCCTGAGCAGCTATGCCATTGGAAGTTTCATAATTGTTGCTGTAGCTGCCATCTGGACGGATATCGCTAGCGCTCTTGGCAGTGGCATAGGCATCGTTGCTTAAGGATGCACCATAGGCGCATGCAATGAATGCAGAGGCTACAAGGAGCTAGAAGAGGTAGATGCTCAGTTAGAATTTGTAGCTTTTGCGTTGCGAACGAAATACTTACGAAGCGGAACATCTTTCAAATGATTTGTGTATCTTCGACTGATAGACAAGCTGGATTGCTGACTTAGTTGTGAATTGCAAGCGAATTTATACTAAAAATCACAATTCTCAAAAAACCTGATCGATTCAACCATTTGTACGTCGGATGCTTGTTAAATTAATCTAAAAAACTATAACAATAAAAAAGCAGTCCAATAACCCGAATTGACCAAAACCGGAGAATCTGTGTACGCATAAAAGCAGCAACAGCAGCCCCAAACCGTTTCGACGTCAACCTTTTGAGTGGGCTAAAAGTTAAGCGAAAGAAACTAAAAGCATCGCCGCATGCAGCAGTGTCAATGTCGAGCTACTCCCTCCTTGTACTTCCCCGCCGTGATGGGCGGAACAACCGGCACACCCAAAACTCAATTTGACTAAATTAAGTGTACATATATATCGCTATAAATATTTAGCATAATTTATTGTCTCACTTGGCTCCATGCTTGCTTTAGTTTTTTTTTTTCCTTTAAGTTTTCATTTCGATTTCATTGTCCGGTTTTTTTTTTTTGTTTGGGCAGACATGTTAATTCACTTTTTTGAATGGAAGTGCTAAATGTATGCGCTTAATAAATTGGACATTGGAGATAATTTAATGGCCACAAATAAAATATTAGAAAACAGGATTTAGTCTCGTGTCCAAGTATTAAATTCATCTAGATTTGTCGTTAGCTCGTATTCTAGTCGGTGTGGGTTTGTATTTATTGAAGTGTTGTATCTTTTGCATATTCAGATTAGATAATTTGATTTGTGGACAAACTGTTGTTTTTATTGCATACTCCATTTCATTCTTATTATAATTAAAAAAGATTATGTCAGAAAATGTCAATATATGAACGCCTCAGCAGTAATATAAATATTTATATTTAGTATTGACCCACAAAAGCGTTCATTGGTCATCTATAATAATACTAATCGGCTAATTTAAAATGCATAACGAACTATAAGTATATTAAAATTAGTTACTGTCAATCAGTTATGAAAGTTCCAAACATAGCAGCCGCCAACTGCTTAACATTTGAAAATGATCCATAAGCTCGCAAACTAGTTTATGAATGATAAAGTGACTTTATTTCTTTGACTGAATTTTAAGAGCCAGTTTAGTGTCGCTTTTTAAAATGCATGGCTGTCAGAGTTCACACCGATTAGGAGTTTGATTCTGAATTGACGGTCGAATATTTTGTTAGCTGTCCACATAAAACAATAATAAGCAGGTTAGATAATATGAATTTTGATAACACTAACCAACACACTTAAGATTTTTATTCCACATTATAAAATGCGAGAATCAAACGAAATATATTAAATTTAATCCTTTGTAATTTATGTAGATTAATGCATTAATATTGCTATTTTAATAAACGCGGAATGCGTATAGGATTATTATAGTATTATAGAACTGGACTTTAGAAATTTATAGTCCACTTTATAGCAAGTCTTAAGCACTATTCAAAATATGCACTGTATTGAATACCAGAAGCACAATAACTGTATGTGAATAACTATTTATACATATAGTTTGAGTTTTGAACTTTAGAATTTATAAATATGGCTTTTAGCGGGAGATTGACAAAGCTGGTTTCGCTTCCGGGATAGGTTGCAATAAACATTTACCTCATCCATTTTATTGATGCGCTAACTAAATACCAATAAAAGTATCCCATACATAACTGCCATGTTAATTTAACCACTTTATGATTATGCTCGTCTGTTTAATTGGACATCTACCAATAGAACTCCTAAAATTCAAAACGTCGAAATACCATTTATAATTTTGGTGAATTTTGAATAAACTAAAATGTTTCATTAAAATTTAAGCTAAGATCAAATTTAATTTTAAAATCATGCTATTTGTGAACTTACAAATAACTGCCAGTTATTAAAAAATTATCAAGAACATATACAGTTTGATGGATGAAGTTCTTTATTTCCAAGAAGCTACAAAAATAGCTTGTACGACGTTTTATTATTATTCGTTTGGTAGCTTGAAGCTTCCAGAATGTGTAAGTTAATGTTTTAAAAATAAAAATGCAAACAACTATGACTGGTTTTTGCAAGGTATAACAACTTAGAAGAAGCGATTTCCCTGACGCTGCTCCTGCTGCGGATGGGTGCGAATGTACTCCAAGGATCTGAGGATAGCTGCTGGAATTGGTGGCGGTGTGGGCAGATGAGCGCCCTGTGGATGGTAACCAGTCTCATCGGCCGTGTAGGTCAGCTGGATCAGCTGACCATCAGGACTGTAGTAGGCGGATGAGCCGCTCGCATAGTGTCCTCCGACGCCCTGCTCCTGTTGTGCAATGCCATTGGATGTCTGATACTGATAGGAATAGCTGCCGTCTTCCTGCAGATCACTCTTAAATTCACGCGTCTCGGCGTTGGCATCAAAGGAGTCGGGGCGTGCCTGGGCAACGGCCAGAAGTGCAACGGTCAGGATGAACTATTAGAGTTGATTAGAAATTGGCTATTTAGATTGTGCTTCTTCCGATTGGCTTGTAAACTTACGAATTTCATGGTGCTTCTTGGTTTGCAGTCGATGCGAGAATGAATACTGCCGAAATGGAGTACCAGTCCATTTATAGTCAGCTTTTTACAAACTACCAGGCAGCGACAACTTTTTATGGTGTTCAGCATTGAACCTGAAACTACACTCAAAAGATATACAAGACAGTCATTGCAGGCCCTGCTGCGACTCTCACACATACACAGACATGCCCATAAATTGTTTAAATTTTATGCTCATGCGGTTTTTGTTTTAGTTTTGCCGGTTTTTAACCAAGTTCTGCCTTTGATCCGCACATCAAATCAAATTTTTATGAATGCTTTGCTTAATGATTCATTAGCACCTTGCCCAAAATTTTGTGTCGTCTGAATGGGAAATTGTTAATGAAATATCTTCACATGCATGTAGTTGAAGATGACTCCTTCGCTTAAATACATATATACAGATGTTCTATTAATGTTACTGCAATCAAATATTCGTTAAAAAATCTATAATAAATCTTATGCAACATTGTTGTTGTGCAAAAGTCGATTAAAACTGAGCGCATTCATTTATTACAAAATCACTGAGAATTGCCACATAGGAGCCAAAATTCCAGCCATGTCAGAGCTTCAGCGCTTAGGCCATGACCTTGCCACAGCAACATGTGTCGACTTCTGGTTTGGCTAAAAATTTTGCGCATATGACAGGGATGGTCGGATGGAGGTTTGGTGCTGTTGCAGCTCAAGCACTGTATAAGGTAACTTCCAGTCACGACTATTTGATGCCTAACAATTATCGGTTAACCAAATTATAACTTGGCTGTGCTAATTAAAAAATTAGGCGTTCAACTAGTTTAAATATGAATTTGGGCATTAATTGCAATAAAATATAATTAAAAACGTTTGATTTCCGCAATAGGGAATCAGTAACAAAGTCGGAAAGTTTGTTGATGATTATTAAAAATTATTAAGTATTATTAATATTATCTTTATAAATTGGAAAATTGGGTCATGTGTTGATAATATGCATAAATATATACTGGTAAAATATGTACATATATGTCGGGTAAACAAGTAATAAAAAAAAACATGTACATTTTTCTCAGGTATCTACACCACTGTAGGTCAAATCCTGTACAATATGCCAATTTGACGTGATTTAGTGGTGCATCACTATTGCGAATAAGTGGCTAAAGGGAAAGCAACGAAATAAGCTACAGCTACATGCTGTTCCATTTATAAGATTTGTGAACGCTTTTTATGAATACTCGTATTCGCATATGGGCGAGTGCTGGTCGGAGAGTCAAGACCGGCCGACGCTTCAGCCAGAGTTGGGCTTGCCTGCAACATAATCTTCTTTTGCTTTTTGTTTTTTCGTATTTTCTGTGTTTTTTTTTGTTGTTGTCGGAACCGGCTGTTCGGAGCCAATTGGTCGGGTGGCGTCTGCCGCTTGGCTGAGCTTAAATGAAAGAAGAAAAACTTGTTACGATTCTCAGGCACTTCCTTGCCTCGAAGCCTCGATGCCTGCTGCCTAAGTGGCTTCCGCTGGAGTCTTTATTTCAATCTTGTTTGGGGGGCGCATTAAAGTCATATAAAAAGGAGCACTTGCTCCACGTTCAGTTGTTGCCAGCCAAAATCAAAAAAAAAAAAATAATAATAAAATTGACCTAAATATTGTGGTTGCGACAAGTCTCAAGGTCATGGATACAAAAAAGCAATATCAATTTTGTATTTCATTTAATGTGAACTCATGCTCGCACTTCCAATTCTCGTTCGTCGGATGATCATCATAAAAGTCTAATAAGACCTGGCATTTGAATATTTTTTATACTCTAATTTACATTTGGTCTGCCGATGCATGCATTAAGACCAAATTTATGGCCATTCATTAACTATAAATCCCATTGTTGTTTTCGGCATGCAGCTGCCAATAGATACAAAATTGTTGAATATGGGTTGTTGATAACTTTATCCAGCCTCTATTACTGATGACTTTCACACGGGCTTTAGATTAGGTTGGCTTATAAGTGCCACAATGTCAACTACTTTCAAAAACATCATACATTCTAACGCTGACCTTCGTATGAAAGACAAACCTTAAAATTTGGCACTAATTGGTGTCTATTATTTACAAAATTACAAAGTCGCACCTTCGCGATTGTCTTTTGTCTTGAAAAATCTGATTTTTTGGCGTGTACACATATGAGTTTGTGTATCATTTGTCAATGGGAATTAATACTTTATAGCTGTGAATGATTGTGAAAACATGAGATACATTTCGGTGTTTTTAATTAATAGTGAATCGATAGCCCATATATTCGATTTAACATAAACTTGACCTGATACAAATGAACATTGTTTTGATAACAAATACATTACAATCTTTCACATTTTTGTTATTATAAATATTTGAAGGGGCCAAGTGACGCCTAACTCTGGATTGCTTTGAACCGCTCATGTTTTAAAGCAAGCCATCAAACCAAAAACAAAATAAGCCTCACAGATAGCGTTTATTGTTTTTCTTTTACATAAATTACCAAAATGGTGTTTATAATATTAATTAAATTGTATCATGCTAGCTAACGCCCACTCAAATTGCAGTTGCATTAAATATTTGGGAGATGGATGTAAATAACTAAAACAACATACAGAGTATGATTTGCATTTCATTTAAAAAGTTTATAAGGCTTAATAAAGTTTTACCAGCATATTTGTCTAAATAATCGCAGTACAAATGTATATATCACTTAGCCCACATATTATGCATACTTCCATTGTACATATGTATATATGAATGTGAATATACAAACTGTGGAACGAATACTAATTTCAGACAAGCACCCAAATATAGATTTAATCAAATAGAGCAGCTCATCCAACACGTAAACCGTCAAATGGACGCGGAGTAACAAATTAGGAAACAGATACATTTAGTGAGCATCGTTGGGAAGGGAAGGGAAGGGAACTGCTTTCATTTCTAAGTGAATACATATATGTAGCAACTGTAATTAATGAATTAACACCAACACTTAATTACTTTAATAGCCGCAACGAAGCGCAGACCGCGTACCTTGCGGAGTTTCTTGAACCCCGGGCTCCCCACATCACAAAAAAAGTGTGCTGCCAGCCAGATTGTTGTTGGTTTTGTTTAAGGTTTCGATTTCTGTCTGGGTTTCAGTTTCAGTTGGCAGAGTGAGAAAGCATTAGTGTTGAAAATGAAAATGATTGTTGATTAGGGTTTAAGCTTAAGCTTTAAAGCCATATCGACACGCAGCTGTCATAATTGGGAATGCAACCGTTTGGATTTGGCCTCTAGCCTCCAATCATCATTATCATTGGTTAATGGATGCACACACACTCACCTTTCCAACTTTCATAGATATTCCATTTTTGGGGGTATATAAAACTGAGGTCGACCCAAAGTCAAACATCAAACATAGTTTAGCTCTTAGGCTTTTAACAGCTAACAAAAATCTACAAATCTCCAAAACATACCCCAAGCCAGGCAATAATGTTCAAATACGTAAGTTGTAACAGGAGGAAATTTCGAGTCGTGGATATTGACTAGTTCCTTTCCATTTGCAGCAACTCGTCGTGCTTGCTGCCGTTGTTTTCCTGGGCACCTCGCATTCAGCACCATCAGATTCCGCGGATGCGCACGCCGAGATTCGCAGCTATGTGAATGAAATCAAGCAGGATGATAATAGCTACAAGTACCAGTTCGAGACAAGCAATGGCATTGCACAGCAGGAGCAGGGAGTGGGCGGTTACTATGCAAGCGGCTCATCGCAGTATTACACGCCGGAAGGCCAGCTCATTCAATTGACATACACGGCCGATGAGAACGGATTCCAACCGCAGGGTGAGCATCTGCCAACACCACATCCAATTCCTGAGGCGATTCTCAAGTCATTGGAATGGAACCAAGCCCATCCCGAGGAAGAGGTCGAGGAGCATCATCATGGACATGGTGGCGGCGGCCACTCCTTTGGCGACCAGGGCCATCAATTCCCAGCATCGGGTCTTCCCTACGAGAAGAAATTTTAAATTGATGCACTCTGCCCTTAACATGTTCATCTTGTAGTTTAAGTCCGCCTCGCTCTATCTCTCTTTCTTGGCCTTCATGTGTTCGAGTGTGTGTGTGTGTGTGTGTGTCGTGCTGTGTGTTGTGATATGCTGTGTCTTTGCATATGCTTATTGCGTGGCCGAGGCAACAAACATGAGCAAACAATCAGAGCGACTTTGACAACTTTGACTCTGGACCTGAAGCAGCTGCTGGAGCTGGTGAGCTGAGGGATGCCCACGCACATGTCGGGACATGCACTCTCACTCACACATACGCACACACGCACATAGGCACATACAAACACTTACATTCGCTTTGTACATACATATATAAAAAAAAACACACCCACATACAAACATATTTAGTCGTCCGCTCCTGGGCGCAGTGTGTCCTTTGTCGGCTCTCGTTGACGTTGACATTTATTGCCAGAGATAATAATAATGTAATAAAAGAAAAAATACAATTTAATATTGTTGTTTATACTATGTACGAATGGCATTGCTCTTGCCTACCGACACCATATGGCCAACAAACAAATCCACCCAACAACCCACAACACGACCAGCTGCCTCATAATTCGCACGTTTACAGGGTTCTTCCCCGCACAATAACTTACATACATATATATCAGCATATATTTAAGAGTATGTTCATCTGAATTTCGTGTAAATTAAATTATAAATTCGTTTACTATTGTTGTTGCCGCTTGCCTTAGTATTAATTTGCATTCGAGTTTTGTTTGACTGGATTGACTCGTTTAATGTTGCAACATCGAGTTTGCTGCTCTTCATTGCGTCGCGACTCGATTCAATTAACATGCCAGCGTTGATTGTCTCTTGAGTGATTTTCAGTGTCTGGAGTCACATTTGATTTTGGGTCATCGGCAATTTGTCTCTTTTGGGTAGAGTAGCTATGGTACTTAAGCTACTATGATATGAGTTTTGTAGACTACCAAATATTTAAAAGATGGACAGATTGAGAGATATATCGTTGTATATATCATTGGTAAGCGTAGTTAAATCTCGCAGCGCCATTTGATAAGTCACAAGTTAATCTTTTGTTGATAAGTATGTCATTTATCTAGGTCGCTCATCAAGTTTGATTTACATATTGAGTGTTTATTGCTGATATCGAGGTTTTGTATTTGGAATAGTATAAATACTGGAGATAACGAGCAAAGAGTTCATATTAAAACTTACAGACTAAAGCTAGCATCATGTACAAAATTGTAATTTGCCTTGCTATTTCATTTAATAATCCTGATTTATATTGATTGATACATATTTTATTGACAGTTTCTGCTCGCTGCACTCTTGGCTTGTGCCGCCGCCGCTCCCAGGACAGAAGCTGACGCTAGTATTCAAGTTACAAGATTAGAATCAAATGCTGATCCGGATGGAAACTACTCCTACAATATTGAGAAAACCGATGGCAGTGCTGTCAGCGAGACAGGACAAGCCGGCCACTCTGCTGTCGGAAGTTTCAGCTACACTTCACCTGAAGGAGTTCCAGTCCATGTGAGCTATGTGGCTGATGAAAATGGCTTCCAGCCGCAATCTGACTTGCTGCCCGTTGCACCACCAATCCCATTTGAAATACAGCGTGCACTTGAATACATTGAAAAGAATCCCACGCCCGAGGAACAAGAGGATAGACTTCGGCGTCAACAGCAGTATTAAGCGAGTCATCAAATAACAATAGATCTAAGCTGGGTATTAATTTTTCCCATTTTTTATTCAACATCCATTGAATTTGTACAAATAAACTACGGCACATAATCGTATAGTTTGCCGATTAAACGCTGCTAATTGAACTGATTTCCTGTCAATTCATTATCAATTGCGCAAAAACTTAATTTGTGTCTTAATGACAGTCGAGAAACCACCAAATTGCCAACAGCTATATGTATATACCATAAGCAAAGGCCTTGTGCGCCTTAACGATGAGTGCTACACCGTGCAAGCAGCGCACAGTGGGACCAAATAACTCTAAATGTCTAACTGACATAACTTCGTCAAAATTGAATGGATTTTGAAATCTAATACCTCTAGGATCGTAGTTTGAGCAGTGGATAAATGCTACATACAAAGCTCGAAATTTATGCTGAAGTTATACACTTAACAAGTGTTTATAGAGTTTGTTCATATAATGAAAAACTTCAATAATTTTGAATTTGATTTTAGTGCTTCGTTTTTGGAATATATTTGCACCACCAACAGTAATATATGATTTCACAGCCGACAGTTCATGCAGCTCCTTTGTTTAAATGGGATTTCATTAAGAATCTAACAGGAGTATTAGCGCACTAACATCCAATCGCACACACGGATAATCACACACACAAGCACAAGCAGCGCACGCAACGAACTGTGGCAAATGGGGGGAATCGCAAAACCAGGCAAATAGTCTCCCCATATCAATTAGACATGCTCGGTGGCGGATATGAGTAGTTAATTAAAAAGATTAAGGCACATGTGGAAATTAAATATATTTGTGCAAACACACATATCTGTGTGGATATATTCTCTATCTGCTATAGGCGTTATATAATAAGTGGGTGTCCGTTACAATTGGGTTAGTATAAACTTGTGCAAATAAACACCCAAGCAAGTATATATAAACATATTAGCATATCTGATAGATTCAAGCATTTGGCTGATTTTTGCATAAATATTTTTAACGTTTGTTAACACTTGTGTAAATTCACGTTCAGAGGCCCATTCACAGGAAACGAAAGGTAAACACAATCGCTCTTTATATGTTTCGGTCGTTCGCGTCCCTATTCTCTCCGTCCTACCACAGGTGGGTCGTGCTCGACTGCTGATGCTGCTTGTCGTTCGACTTCCTGCAAAAACAATGCCTGCCTGCTGTGTAATCAAAAACTTCTATTTAACATTTTATTTTCAACTTGATGATAAATGCTTTGTGGAAATGTGGGCCCTATCTGGGCAACAAAAGCGTTCCAAATTTTATATGCTGGGCTTGACAAAAGTGTGTGTGTATGGGTGTGTGCGTGTGTGTTAATATCTGATAGCAGTCCTTTAGCACATGATGTTTATACATTTCAAAATAGATGCGTTATTATCATTTGTTTTGTTTTTCATATTTGTATGTGTACTTATACATTCATACATATTATTAAATAATACACAACTGTTCAAACAATATATATTTTCTCTAAACTTGATTTGCTTGTTTGCTTAAATACTGTTGGAAAACCTTCCTGGGAGCAACAGTTACAATGTTAATTGAGAAGATAAATATGTGATTTTTATTATCAACTATACCAATTGTTACTTTTTGTTATTCTTTGCCCACGCATAAAATTCCACCTTTCAACAGCTATGATAACAGGATCGCATATAGACAAAGGAGCAGAGGGATTGAATTAGAAATAGAGAAAATATTGTTAGGGGCAGCCCACTTGTGCCTGTTAATATGCAAACAGGTCTCTCTGTCTCTCCGAAATGGCTACCATTTGTATTTACCTACATAGTAGTGGTAGTATACAGGGCCCCAAATGTTCATATTTAACCAAAGAGAAAAAAAGAGAAAAATAGCTTTGTTTGTCACTCCTAGCTGGATTCTGTTTTTGGGGTGCGCCTCAAGGGGGGGATATGGTTTTTGTAACGGCATGTGTCACGTAGCCGGAAAAATATGCGAGCGAATGACCGAAAATGATACGGCCCAAAAGCACTACTCGGAAGTAGCTATTGCAAGAAATGGGTAGGCAAAAACAAGCATTTCAATTAAGCTAAAAGTGGATAAAGCAGCATTGAGAAGGGCAAGGGTTTTTGGAACTTTTATTGTGTACTTGGTTGCACGACCGTAATCTTTAGCATTTCATTTAAGCTGAAATTTTTTTAAACACCCATTAAAACATATTTCGGAAAACATGGGATTTGGCAATATAATACATTTACTTTCAGTTTGTGACGCTGGTCTACTTCACTTTTCATTTGGACTGCAATATTTCCAGTTGTACAGCAATGCGTTGAGCTATATTAATAACAATAGTTGACTGCTGGAGGCGATGACAGGGCGACCAAATGAAAAATAATCTCAAGCAATAATTGCTATAGAAAACTTTTTGGCTAGTCGAGGCGCAATACAATGAACGATGCCAGGAGCTGTCGACAGCAAAATAGCAGTGCAGACAAACGAAACCAATTTATTTTTAAGTAAAAATCAATAGCCAAGAACCAACACACACAGTCAGTAATGGACGCACATCCGACACTAACGTCGTCATCGTTGCTCCATTAAAAAGTTGAACTGTGAACTGTGGTGTAGTGCCCTTTTGGTCAGCCCCAAAAATGTAATCCAGAAAAAAACGCCAAAAACCATCAACGTGTTACCTGCAGTAAAGATGCCGCCCAATTGACACGTTCCACATTTCGTGAGAGTCATCGCGCTTATGTTTTTTTATTTAACAACTCAACAATGTGTAGAAAAACTTGATGATAAAACATGCATTTGACAGGCGGTGAAATTCAATAACGCTTCATAACAGCTCTTTCGGCTAAACGGTTTCTCCTCCCTTTTTAGCAGCTGCCCTGAGCGATCATAAATTATTGCAATTTAACTTAAATCAATGGACACAAAGTGCTAAATTAAATATTAATCAGGTACTTTTAGCATAATTACTTCTATATAACATTAAGAGCCACCAAGAGGAGTGCAATTAAGATTACCTGCACTCTGTTTCATTGTGTTGTTGCCGGCGAATTTTCCACCTATTAATGCACAATGGAGGATTAACGAGCATTTTCACACACAACCTCGTTTGCATGCAACAAACAACAGTGGCATAACAGCGGCCTGTTAAGCTTAACAGCGCACAGGAAACGCGCCATTTAAATGGACAACATGGCGCTCCTCGGGCTTTCAGTTCCCTTCCGTTGACTACTCGTGGCTGTAGTGCGACGCCTCGTCGCTAGTTTAAAAACGAGAAAGAAAAAAAATACGTCGTTCTTTTGTGTGCTAATGGAGTACGTAAATATTCATGCTTGATAAGCTACTCTATGCGTCCTGCTTGGGATATCTTTCGTTTTTCTGCGTATTGCTGTTGTGCTTGGTTTGTGTGTGTGTGAGCGCAAAACTACATTAAAAAGTTCACAAACAAATTGCATTATTTCAGTGCTACAATATATTGGCGCGCGTTTTTTTAAAGCTCCTGCCACAAAGAACATAAAGTATGCACATGCACGAAAGTTATATATGTATTAAGGGTATGCATACATTTTTTACTTACACCAAATAAATTAAAGTCCTTATCCGTTGTGGTTGTTGTTGTACATTCGAGGATTCGCCAGCATGTGCATATAAGTGTACATATGTGGTATCGTTTATTAAAAAATTTCCATTAAAATTCTTGAAATGATTGCGGTTGCGATTTACGATTTACGGTCCGATTCGTAAGGCCACTTAAAGTCGATTGTTTGGATTTTACTTTTGGGATCCTTAACACCTGGCTTGGCTTGGTTTGGTTGGGCTTAAGGCGTTGAGACGACGTTGCAAATTAGTTAAAAGCACTGCTGACTTACAGTAAGTTTAGGCGCATTAAGGCATTACCCGCAAGGCAAGAGGGTGGGCATTGGGGTCACATCCTGATGCTAATGCTGATGCCGCAGTCAAAGTTGGGTCGTTCGTTGGCATATTGGTAATGTGATTTTCAGAGCACTTTTGTTCACGCCCGGCGACACATGTTGTGGTTCACACACACACTCAAACACACACACACACATACACTAGCACACAAACTTGAAGCAGTGTGTATGGCCCGAGGGCGGTATTTCCATATCTCCGCTCGATTCCCTCCTTTGTGGCTGACCAAGTTTCTGCTGCAACTTTCGTGTCAAGTAATATACATAATTCTATATATAGATATATAGATGCCATATAATATGGCAATACAGACAGTGTTAAAATGCTCCTTCACTGCCCTAGCTAATAATGCCCTTAAATTGTATTGCTGGTCAGCTAACTTTTCCTAAGGCCACTCAGCCAATTTAATCGATATATGGTAGCAGCAGCAACAGCAGCAGAAGCCAACAGTTGGGAGCTTGCCACATACGTGTACTTATATGTAAATATTTGATGTCCATTTTTGGGACAGTTAGCCGTGACTTGGCTGCCATTCAGGACACGCTTGATTTGAAGCACACAGCCTGCCGCATTTTGACTGTAAGCGGGCCATTTAGTAAATGGTGATGGGACACGAACAGCATCCGACGCCAGTCAGCATTAAATCTGAGTTCTTCCAATCCATCTGAATCAGCAGCGGCAAAAGTGAAAGTGTGCTCTGGTCAAGCACCGTTGCGGCGACAACTAATTAAATCTAATTGCGTCTGGCTAATGTCCTAGTCCTCACCTACACTCAGCTAAAAGATGTTGGGGAAAAGCAAATAAAATAATGGTATGTAGAAGCTTAAAATATATTCAAGCAATTTGCACAAATCTTTATAGTACTATTAAAATTAACTGAAATTAAGGTGCATAATAAGTCTGTCTATTTTCTATAATCTGTGTTACATTTTATCTAAGTGTACTAACTTTCTGACTGAATACCTGACTAATTGACGGACTTGAAGTTGCGGTTGCAAGTGTTTCTTGCAATAAATTGTTATTTAATTAGTTTTCATTGCTCGTCAAGCTACCCACGCATAGCCAGAGTTAATAAAGTAGGCGACTGTTTACCTGCCGTGTTGGGGATTTTCTCAACACCCCATCGATCCGACGACGCTTCAGGTCTCCACTCTCTTGATAATATTCACATTTATTGGCTTTTAATTAATGAGAAATTGTTGGGGATTATGAATACTTGTGAGCAGCTATAGCGAGGCAATTAATTTGATTATAAAAACGTTTTAAATTCTCTGCCTACTAATGAGATCTTCTTGCTAATAGAGCCTTGACTGAAATGGAATGATAGCCATCGCCCTGTGATTCGTGTTAGTTATAAGAGAGCGACAGACATGCTGTCAGTATGTCATTCCTTGGAGAGATTTAACATGTTAAGCGTTACATTAGCCCCATGCGTTTTCTGTTTTCATTTCAATTGTCAAGTGATGCTATAGTCAGGTTTGTTGCCTCCCTTTTATCATGTTTGTTCTGTGTGTGTGTGTTGATTTTGCTCGCTATTGGTTTGTGTGCAGGACTATTGCAGTTACATATAATATATATATATATATATCTGTTGCTATACAATATACAACGCTTTCATAGCAAACAGTTGCATTCATCATGGCCGGGTGCCGTTCATTGACTGACTTTGTATTATTATCCTCCACCCTTTTGTATCCTCGAACAATGCACATCATGTCATTGATATCTGTGTTTATGTTTGTGTATTCTTACACGCCTGCAGACAACACACGCAAACGAAGAATGTTGGCCCTCATCACTCATTGCCATTGATGGCTGTTCGACTGGTTATTGCTTATTGATATAAAATCTGATTATCTATTCTGCTTTCTCTGCTCTCATGCAAAATTCCGATATCTTCTTTGCACGTGCATTCAAGTGTACCGGCTTAAAGTAGCCACTCCCACTCCATACTTGAGCCAACCATTTTCTGCACGGTGCAATATAAACGTTGTCTTCCACTTAAACGTTTGCTTGAGTGCTAAATGGCCTTTGAACTTATGCTCAAGTGAGTATAAATAGTGCATAAAAATACAAGCTATATGTGTTCTCAGAGAGTACTTCAATTCAATTCATTGGAAAATCCTTAAGCAAAAAAGGTGTTGGTTTTTTATTGCATTTTTAGAGAAAATCATTATTAACTTGTGAAAATCTGGTTTCCAAATTGAACTGTATTATTATTTTTAAAGTCAGAGCCTTATCAGTAAGCCATTGCAATTCAGATGAAATTCGAAATATCATCGCGATTCTAATTTGAAATGAATATTGTCAAACTTATATCTATGGAAAGTCCTAACCCATGCCTGGGAGCACATGATTCTTAACTGATGGCTTACTTAATGACAAGTAACCCTTTTAGGCTTTAATCAAGGTATATCAGTGGGGTAGTCTCACAGTTGGTTACTTATATTAATATTAACACCGTAGTCTGGGATTTGCGGCAATTGAGTGAAACCATAGTGCCACCAAATTGCCAAAGAAACCGCAGACCACAGGAGGCAGTCAACGGCTGCCAGGACATTTAAACTAAACCAAGGAGAATACGAGCATTAGCAGTTAGACCCGACGTAGGCGCTGTATTTTCTTAATTGTTAACGTCTTAGCATTTCATTAAATTGCCCTCTTGGGATCTTTAAGCTTGTCAGCGTGGAAGAGTAACAAATTGAGCTTCATGGCAGCAACAAATAATTTGATAATCATACAAAATGATTTCAAAATCAACAGAAATTCAAAATGTCTCGACTCAGGCGCCAGAAAAAACACATTTCTAAATTATGTGTACACACGAGAGTGGGTGTGCTTGAGTGTTTGTCTATTTCTAGAATGTGTGTGTGCGTTTGTCACATTTTTATGACTTTAAGTTGAAAGAAGCGAACAAGTCGCTTGTTGATTTCACAACTTTTTCGTTATATGTTTGTGAGCTTGAAGGAAAATCAGCTTGACATTTGTTTTGTTTGTTTAACTTCATGTCAAAGCTAGACACACACACACACGCAAAGACACTTTATGTACACACTTACTTACTCACACAGCACAGCAAATGTGTCAAGCAACTCGAACTTCAACCCGAACTCGAACTTGTCCTTGTTCTCTTAATGTTGTTTCCGCTCCTAAGTCCTTAACAGTCGCTCTCGCTGTTAAGTTGTGCGCCTGCGCGAAATCCTCGTCAATTGAATTTCATAGTTATTTCCTTGCGATGGCTGCAATACGTTTCAGATAAGGACGCGTCGGGCTACTGGTTAGAACACTCCAACGCCCATTTACGGCAATTTAAATCTCAAGCGACGGCACACTTAAAGAATATTACGTATTGCGGGAAAGCAAAACAAGCTCATTCAACCGGCCCACAGGACAACGACTCCTCGTGCGTTAAATGCTGTTTACGGGTTTTTCGCCCAAATGTTGATGGCTTGCAAATATGAGTGTATAAAAATGTAAGTGTGTGTGTGTGACTGTGTGTGTGTGTTCTTTTTGTGTGTGCATTAGTGATGTATAAAGTGTCAGCAATAGAAGAAACACATTATAATTGCGCAGGACAAGCAATTTGGTTGATGTCCACCATCCAGGTGAGCAGCAATTTGTGTGCTTCACATAATGGAATACATTGTTATCGACAGATAGGCGCCATTATTCCATTCGCCAGTTCCTAATGCAATTTGGGACTATTTTATTTTATTTATTATTTGATTTGTTGGTCGCCTCTGGCACAGGTCAGCCCCTACCACACCCATTTTATCTATGTACCAGCATTGGACATGACCAAATATTTATTTTTTTTGTTTTTGTTTTTTTTTTTGTTTTTCTCGTGTTGAATGTCGTGACCAGCTCTCGTCCACTTGGCCTATAAAAAGCTCGAAAGCATTGGGTTACCCCACTTAAACACTCAATTTTTTTAACGGCCCAACTCTTGAGTGCAGAACGCTGTGGCTTTTGTCTCTTACATTTATACACTTTTATAGTTGAGCTTTAATCGAAGCACTTGGAGTTTAAGCACCGAGCACCTCCCACTCAGGTCCTTAAACAAAGCTGTAGGCCCTACCGCCAAAGGAAGCAAGTTTGTCAAGCGTAAAAAAATTTAACTGATTAAGTTGCTACATAACGAAAAAAAGAGCATGCATTGCAAAATCTGGCTACAAAGCAAACAGAGTACGACTAAAAGTGAAACTCGCACAGTATTTTGTTTGTGCTCTCTCGTATGTAAATATGTGCTCGAGTATTAGGAGCGTCCTGTGCCCTGCTTGCACACTTCGCTTATCTAAATTGTTTTATGGCACACAGCTCCCACTTGTTGGGGGCCCAGCCCATTAAGCACCAGCCGCCCACACATATCATGGACAATTTTTCAATGTCATTTGAAGGCAGCAAAAATTTTGACATTAGCCATTAATAAATTAGCTAACATTTTACATGTCTCTCGACTAATTGAATATATGGGAGAGAGTTGAGCGTGAGTGCTTTGAAGTAGAAATGAAAACCCTCTGATTTTGTAGCACCACAAATCAAAATCACAGCCCCCTGAAATCTGAATTAAAAAGACTGCCGAAATATCAACGACAGCAGCTGTGCATTCGCGCGAAGTAATTTTATACGTAGCTTAAACTTTAACACCAGAGCAATCCTTTTGTTTCCACCAACGCGATTGGGACGCCTTTTCGCCGCTTTTCACACATCCTTTAGCGATTTTGGTTGAGTTTCGGTTGAGAAGACAGTGGAAAATGGAAAGTAAAGACTGGGGGACCCTTATATAGAAAAGTACGCCTCTGCTGTATGGGGGCGTGTGTTGCCATTTTTGGAAAGTCTTTTCAACAATTCTCAAAATGTTTGGTAAATGATTTTAGGGTTCGTTGTGGTGGATGCTTGGCAGCTGTCGTTATTTAAATACCCTGTCCTTGAGAACTCAATGGAAGGTTGGCGTCTTTGGTGAAATACTACGCAAGATAATAAATAATTTATGTCTCAACACCTTACAGATTAGCATCAAGTTCTCTCACTCTGTTTCATTTGTTAAGATTAAGCTATTATCTTAAGTATAAAAGACATGAACAAAGAACAATAGGAGAGTTTATATGATTCCCACAGCACAGGGTGACTAACAGTCGATCATTGATGCTTATCCAATTATTTTTCTGTCTGTTTTGATTTCTTAACATGTGTTGCCGCCGTAAACCATTTGATTTTTGGGCAAGCACACACCCACACCCACGCACACACACACACACATAAACCCATCACACACACCCTCAATCACACACACACAAATACAACTACAGTTGCAAGTTTGTTGGGTGAGAAGTGTATTATGTCTGTTTGTACATTGTTATGAATTTTCGTGGCAATTCCAATGATTACATATTGCGTTACATATTTGTAGGCTTAACCCAAAAGGTAAAGCTTTAAAATGCCAGTCGCCTACAATAAAAGCCTCTGCGACTTGTAGACTATAAAGTGGCTTTTGTGATACGGTTACATGTCCCTATCGCTATTTAAGATGAAGAAACAAAGGTTTCTCTTGGCGAGATTGTTGTTTTTCATCACTCTTGAGGCAGGTGGCAAGCTGGCAAACGGCTGATCTGATTTTTAAGCAGAAACTGAGCTTAAATTTTAAAAACATTTTTAGCTTGAGCTGAAAGACACATGTCACATTTTGGCAGTTAGAGAGAAGTTTTTAGTATACAAAACTGAAAAGTTTGTGATGATAATGAGAAATAAATTAAATAAATAAACAAAGATAAGCCCATTTGAAAAGAATGATAGAAAACTAGATGGAGACTAAGATTGGGGCGGATTTATATATTTTGAATGTGCACTCGACATACAAATATAGTCCACTGAAAGCAGGAAAATTATCGTCAGCTATTTTGTTTTTTTAAGCTGTTAATGGTAACTATGGAAGCTTTATTCATTCATTAGTTTATAAGGCTAAAAGTAAAAACAATGAAGATTAACAAAACATTTGCATAGTCAGCGTTGCTTACTCTACAATCTAATTTTTTAGTTCTTAGAATATGCCAGCGTTTTTCCAACTTCAGCCACGAAAGTGGGCGACTGCACAGAGATGGCAGCCAGTAAATTATCACATTATATTTATGCTTGCCTTGTCGTTGACTCGGCAAGCAATTAGTGTAATTACCAAATGAATTTTTGTAGTTGTGACACAAGCAGAAGCACGACAGAAAAGCGCAATTCTGCTGTACTCGGCCGTGTTTTTATGCGGCTGACTCAAATTGATATTAAATTGTTTTTAATTTGTAAGCAGCTTACGGACTCTCTTTCTGTGGTTAACCGCGAGGGTAGACAAGATAGAATGTAGGTTAAGTTTTGTCAGCGACATTATAATAACATCCATCATTCAGGACTAGTAGTAGGATACTATATAAATGGATGATAGGAAACAAATGTTAAGACTGTTCTTTGCTGTGTAAACACGGCCCACTTTTGGTTGCCGAATAATACTATGGTCTGCTGTTGTTTTTATTGGGGTGATTTGATGGTGCGCTTTTAGGGTCCACATAAAACTGGCCTTTGAGGGCCATTTGGCGAGCTGATTTTACCACGCGAACCCATATCTAAATGTAAGCATGTATATATGGACCAATAATAAGCCATTTCGTGCACATAATTGGCAGGGGCAGACGGCCATGTAAATAGCCATAATTAATGTATACTCCTACAATATAAACATAAATGTGACCTGACCAAAATACAAAAAAGTGGCCAAAGCTCACAAAATAGACCAAAAATAAAAATAAAAGAAGAAAGAGAAAAGAAAAACACAGTAACAACGGAAGCTTCAAGGCGGCAGCTACGGAAATTGTTTGTCATCGTATTTCTGGGTGCGAGTGTATCTGTTTGTGTGTGTACAACGTGAGAAAGTATTTGTATGGGTGTGTGTGTGTGTGCTGAGTGCGTAATACTCACTCGGGCAAGTATGCAATAAAGGCTATTTCTTCATTGATACGCAAACAAGCAAGCGATTTGTAACGATATGGATTTTCTCTTGATATATATTCATTATACTGAAATTGCGTATATACTGTATACTGTATCTGTGTATTTTGTAAACGATGTCTGAGCATCGAAGGCATCGAAAATTGCTCGAAAAGAGAAAATTTGTGCTTTTTTTGTGGGACCTCAGCGTCATTCGCTGATTGCGTTGTCTTAATCGCATTGACAGCCAACGCATCCTGCGGATATTTGCAGGCGCTCGCTGATGGCAGCCCACGAATGGAGCGAAAAACATTCCTACTCGAATATAACGAAGAGAATCGTCTGCACGTATCCTTGCAATAAGTGAAATTCAAAAATGCTTAAACGAAAGTGCCTTACCACTTAGTTACAATTCGATGAAAGCTCGATCACAATATAACCATTGAAGACTAATTACATTTGCATTTAGTACCATTTTGTAGTAAAAGCTACTTGGAATATTCTCACAATCATAAAATTCTCAAAACAAAGCATAGCCCATTTGGCTCTTCCTTTTTATGTAGACTTGCAGACTGAGCGTTTAAATTAAATTTGATTAAAATTTAGCTCCTGAGCCTCTTATATATATATATATATATATATATATATTTTTTTTTTTTTTGCATATTGCTAATTTATTCCTTGTGACTGGGTATCGTTAAGGTTTTTGCATAATTTTGAGACACATTGAGCCGCTGGCCAAAGGCATTCCCCGAAACTTCAATCAAGCGCAAAGCCTTTTTATATTTGATAATAGCGAAATTAAATGAATGCAAAATGTTGTGAAATTTGGTTGGCGCTGCACAAAAGATGTCTCGAATTTATGCGCTCCACTCTCTCGAGGGTGCCATTGTCATTGCCAAGTGGTGACAGCTGCTCCATTCAGTGCCCATTGTAGTTGTTGCTGTTGTTGCTCTTGTTGCTGCTGTTGTTGTTAACTTGGTTGTTCTGCTTCTGCTTGTGCTGTCTGAGAGTCTTTTGTGTTCGACGCTGCGACGCTGTGACGTTTTTATTACAAAGGCTCATGAATTTTATTTAGCACGAAAATAGCAGCAGAGGGGTGGGGGATTTCGTGGGGGTGGAGGGGTGACACTGTTGCCAATTTGATGGGCATTTTTGCCGGATCTTTGCCTTGGCCTTGGCTGCACCATGAAGAAGGCAAATGCCGTGACAGAAAGCCAACAAGCGGGTAGCAGTCAAGAAGCCCACACAGCAGGAGGAGCTCGAAGAGCCTCCTGCTCCAAAGAAGGCAACCAAACTATGCGCCCAAGATTACAAAAATTGTTTACACAATGCGCTGCCCACCACAACTCTAATTAAAAAAGTTTCACGTTTAACCACTTGAGTTGGCAGCACACACACACACACACATGTATGTGTGGCATGTGTGGTATGTGTGTGCTCTGGTCGGATATGTGTGTATTAGTGCGTGGCTAGACAATCAAAACTTTTGCTCAAGATATGTAACAACTTCAAAGCTAAACCCAAGCCAACAACTCAGAACAACCGCGAAGCGCACGCTGCTAAACCTCAGATTTCACGGCTCCATCCCTTTCAGAATCCCTCTCTCTCTCTCTCTCTCTCTATCTGTATCTATTTGGAGCAGCTTCCGCAGCGACTATAAAATTAATGAAGCGCCTCAGCTATGAACATACAGCTTCAGGCCACAACAGAGACATTAAAGTCCTCTTTGCTACCAGTTGACATGGCTGAGTTGTTGTCGTGCTGCTGTCTCATTGCCGATGCGTATTTAAATATGCGCATAAAAGCTACGGACGCTAGTCAGGATTTATGCCCAGCGGGGTTCCCTTTTTTGGGGAGCGTCTTGCCCCATTTTGTGGCTAATCTCTGATGTACACTTAATTAAGTGGCACGCTTGCTGATTGCCGACGATCTACGACAGCCACTGGGTGGTCAACCCTTTTCATACCCTAAGAAGCAAATAGGGTATATGCGCTTTCAATTAAAATGTATATTAGTATATCATAGATTTAGACAGGTTTTTGTCATATCATCATAGTAACAGTTGAAGGGAAATACAGATTGATTTTGACCTTACGAAAGGATATACATTTTGAACCTTAAGTAACCATCGAACTTTAGCAGCCATGTGCCCGGCCAATCCAACTAATAAGTATCTTGCGTTTCTAACACACCATTGCCAACTATAATTGGCTCGGATATTGTCGAGATAGAGCAATTTTTCTCAGTTGCGGTGGGCCCCTGGGGGTATGCCTCAATTTTTTTTACTTGACAGCAATTTAGCCAATGCAGCAACCTAATTAGAATATAATGATTAATATAAATATTACTACTAGATTGTTTTGAAAAGAGACTGACAACCGGAAAATCTGGGTAAGTTCTTGAAGAGCAGCATTATTAAATTGTCAAATGTATAATTTAAAAATTGTTCTTCGTAGTGTGAACTTCGGAATGTAAACAGGTATTTATTTTGGCGATTTCAAATATGTAATGTACTGCAAGTTGACAATCGAATTGCTTAATACAGATAACAGATAATGATCTGAATTCAAATACGTCCATAGGTTAATGCTGAGTGCAAGTTGTTGAGCACTTCACTACGGAAAAATGTCAGATGTTTTTGCATCTTAATGACTTTGCCTGATACCCTTTTGCCTCTTTGTGTGCACCGAATTCCATGTAAATTTCATATAGTAAATCCAGTTAGTGTGCCAGGCAAATGTATTATGTATTTTTTTTACAATTTCATTGCCCGCATTTTTATCCCCCTCGTACATGCGGCAAACAAATTGCCAAAAAGCAAACGCTAAAAATGCATGAGCAAGGAGGCGGAATCACCAAAAGGGGGCCAAAGGAGCTCTGTTGCTGGCGAGTGTACACAAAATGCTGTAAAATTCAGTAAAAGTTCACAGCAGCTGCAACTTTGCAATGCATGTAAAAAAAGTGAGCTCGAAATTGAGCGCAGCTCGCAAAAAGAAACGCAAAAAATACTTTCAGTAACTTGGCCAGTTTCCACTCATTTTACACCAACGCTACGATGGCTGCCATGAAGCAATCAATTTGAGCGGCGTGCGTGCTTTCCCTAACGTCAATCTGTGGGATTTGCAGTCGACCAACACCTTTGACAAGGACCTCTCAAAAAAAAAAAACCCGGACAGTTTAGACCATGTTCGTAATTGCTTTTAAACGAAATTCCTTGTCCTTGGCCGGCAGGGAATGACCATTCATCAATCAAGCAATACTCAAATTTATCTAAAAACCAAAAAAAAAAAAAAGAAATAATAAAAGGAAAAAAACAAACAACTTTTGATAAACATCTGCAATTAGTTAATTCGTTAGTATTCAATAAACGTGGAATGCGAACAAGGAGCGTGCAGACAAAAACCATCACCATCATTAGTACTCCGAACTTGCGCATTTCATTGAATCAAGTAATATACACTTGTCATGCAATTGAATGATTACGATTACGGCAATCAAAACAGATGAACGCGAACAGCGCATTTTATGTAAATTGCATGCGAAAAACCACAGTAAAGGTTACGTGTCAATAAACTTGTGGAGATAAGGTCACGCTTGAATTGATAACAGTTGAAATGTGGAAAATATCTCCATTGGATATTAATATAACGCATTTGCCCTGTGGTCTCATAAATAATGCTCTCACAGGAATTGGCAAAGCCACTGAACTTATATAAATAACATAATGGTAACCGAAGACGTTTAACATTATTAGATTTCGAAATAAATACAATAGAATCATTTGAGTTAAACCTCGGAGCGATGCTTCTTATCGATTCAGAAAGATGTCTAGATTATTTCATTAATTACAATTTCCCTTGAATGATTGAAGGTATATTGACACTTGAAGGAATGTTAGCTATTGCGAATGGTCACATCAAAAACTTCGACTACAGTCAAAATTTCAAAATCTATTTAATGATTTACCAATTAAATCAAAGCGAATCGTATAGAAGTTGTGCTGTCCAAGTACGTGGTATATATGTATGTTTAAAAAGTTACTTTTAAACTTTGGGCTTGGGGCTGTATTTGTTGTTGGGTGGCGCCTCAATGTTTTAAGTGCTGCTTAAACTTTTAATTATTACTCACTTGCGACGTTGAATTTGTGCGAGATGTTGCAAGATTAAAAAGTTTGTAGAGTTCAATTATGTATGAGTCACAACTGTTTTTGCGCTAATTTTCGGCGTAAAATGGTTCCCTAGTGTAAACTTTGGGCAAGATCTAATCGATTTATCTCAGCTAGCTTTTCTTTTAGTTTCGACGTCAAAACAAATATACGTCTTTTAAATTTCGGTTGCAATGTTTAAGACGCGCTTCAATTTCAGCTCACTCCATCTTGAGAGGGCTGAAGACAGACGTCGTTTCACATATCGTACCTTTATCCAGTTTATAATCTTTCAGCTGCTGGCCTTAATGCAATGGTTGATATTAGTTCTGGTCCAGCCGGGGTAATCTAAAATCTACCTATGCTCTCTGTGCACAAATCTCGTGATACTACATTTACAGATCCAAGACTGAGGAACTGGTTCAGCGGCATGAGCCAACTCTGATATTGTTGTTCTTCGTGAGCATGCTGCTATTGTTGATATTTGCTTTAAGCAACGAAATACGCTTATTGTCCTGCATAAGTTTGTTTATTACCGTGTTTGTAATCGAGAGTCTGGTGTTGGCCATGGGCTTACTGGCTGCGAAGACTAATTGCGTTCGTCTCTTGATCAGCTTTGTATGCGTTTCGATACTCATGATTTTAGCTACGATACTGGCCCTATTTTGGAGTGTAAGTAGTCATATATATATATATATATATAAACAACATTCAAGTGACGAATCCTTGTTTTGCAGTATGACATCACAAAGCATGCATCAGTGTTGTTTCTGTGGGAATTCTGTGTGTTTATGTTAAGCATCTATGTTGTCGCCTTTTACATAATCCTCAAGCTAAGTTGGGTATATTTTGTCTACACAGCAGTCATTGTCATCATGGTGTTGCCCGTAAGGCTTGCTTGCTTATTTTTACACTTCCCTCTAATGACAATTGTTTTTTATTTTTACTTATGACCACCCAACACACAACAATACAACAATAAACCGCAACTAACATGCCACGACCACAATTGCACTCGCCACATTTGCCACTTGCAGATTCTTGTGTATCATGTGCAGACGATTGTTGGTAATGGTGAAGTGCGGGCCAGTTTGCAGGATGACAAGTTTGCTGCGTTGTTATTGTTCCACGATTTTCTGGGATTGTTTATGCTAACCTTTTACTGGTAACCCACCCGCGGCAACAATCAATAAAAGCCATGTTTCACACACGCTGTTTGAGGGCACATTCATCTCTCTCTCACTCTTTGTCTCTATTGAATCTCTTTCACTTGCAGACATTTGGACATTCGCCATAGGTTTGTAGCCGGCATTGGTTTCTCCATGCAGCCCGTGGGTCCCAATTGGTGCAGCATTATGTGATCCCGACACCGTATCAGTCCGTCCCCATCACAATCCCTCGCAAAGGACGCTAGATATGCACGCACAGTATCCGTCGCACAATTCGGTTCTGAGACGCAGCTTTCATAATCTGGAATGGTGTTGAGTAGGATAAGTAGTGGTCAAGCGAAGCCAGTTAAGTGCACTCAGTGGCAGTTTGTCAATGAGTCATATTACCAATCCCATCCACTCTCCCCATTGCATCCTGCCAATATGGCCGGTAAATGCGATAGATGCTGCACGGATGTCCATTGCACTTTGCCGGATTATTGGCTGTCGCTGTCGCTGCAATGCACTCCAGACAATTCTCGCTGAGTGGCGGTGTTCCCAGTGCAGCTAAAATGAACGATTGGGTCGTTATATGCCTATCGAACAAGTTTGAAGAGTTAAGTCACAAGAGAATTACATATAAAATTGTGTTTGTAAAATCATATGAAGTATTACTGTTGAAGCTAATCTGTTATTAAAAATGTATTGTTTTTCCAAATGGGATCAGCTTCGTCAAAGTGAACACAGTACAACATTTTAATCGCTGTTAACATTTTTAAGTCCCTATTTGTAACATAACTTACCCACGGCAGGTGCGCTGACCACTTCAAAAGGAACTGTCACCTCATTGACATCGTGCTCCTCCGTCTCCGCCTCCGTCAGATCGATATACAGACGCCCGAGATGATGATTTTGTTTTAAGTGCATGTAAATGGCAACCACAATTAGCACAAGTGCAACAATAATGCCAGCTGTGCTCAGCAACTTCCGAAGGCTACACTTTCCGTATGATGCCTCATTGTGTTGCTGCTGCTGCTGCCGCTGGTTAGTCGTAGATAGTTCCACCTCAACGTAAGAGGCAGTACTATTTAACGGAGTCGTTGACATTTTGGCGCACTGCTATGCTCGGGGAGCCAATAAAATTGGCGTTCTAATTCTACGCTTGTCAGCGCGCAACTGAATTGACGGTCCATTTGTGACTCAACAAATGCACACACAGTCGAAAAATATCATGGAAACATTTTCAAAGTCGAGCGGTTTCATGATAAGTAAGTCAGATATTTAATTCTTATTTTACGAACTTAAATCCATGTATAAAATAAAGTCAGCTTGAATACGGTAACGAATAACTATAACATTTATTATACATTAAGATACATTAGGATGAAATTGCTACAAATCATTTTCGGTTATACTTGTATTAAGAACGTTATTCCCTGAGTGTAATAATACTCGTACTAGATTGATACTAGCCGATAACCCCTGAAAATGCTCTCAAATACTTGAATATTTTGCTTTACTCACATCGATTTATAATCTCTCTTGAGTTCGGTAATTGATGCTGGCTGCTTGTCTGCGGTCTCAGAGCGTGCTTTCTCACTATCTCGCCAGCTCGGAGCTTATCTGTTGAGTTTTAATCAGCACATGTGTTATTTTGAAGTATTTCTTGGACATAAGTTTTCATATGATTGTCAAGCTGGGTCGGACATAGTTTTTGCACGCTCACGATGACTATGTCGTCATGGAGTCGCCCGTAAGGCTACTTGGCTTATTTCTACACTTTGTTCTAATGACAATGGTCTATTTTCACTTGTCACCAACAAGACAACAACGAACAAGAACTGACATGCCTCAACCACAGTTGCACTTGCCCTTTGCCACTTGCAGACTGTGATGCACATGATAGCAGAGGATTCGTGGATATTGGACATTGTTCCACGGATTTTCTGGTATTGCTTGTGCTAACTTTTACTAGCTACTCACCCGCGGCTACAATCACTAAAAGTTATGTTTCCCATAAACTGCTGAGCAGCGTATCTATCTATCTTTGGACAGTGACTGGTGGAAGTTTTACGCCAGTGATGGTTGTCAGTCTTTCGCTGCCAAAAAGAGCATAATTACATGATCGTTACACCTTATCTCATCGAGACCAATACATTGCAAAGGAAGCATTTTACCCTGATGCTAAAATGAGATTTTTCTGGGGACGCAATAAGTTTCTGCTTGTAATTGAACTTACGACGTCTACCACTCACTAGACCCCACCAGGTTATTAGGAGACTCCTAAGAACAAAAGCAGCTTTGCACACCACAGAGCACGTCACATGTTCCACATCAATATGGGTATCATCTCTATTTATCGTTGACATATTGGTACTCTACCCTGCCCGGATACTGAATGAAATTGGCGTTCTAATTCTGCGCTTGCCAACGCTCAACTAAATTGGCGGTCCATTTGTGGCCCAACAAATGCAGAGGTACCAGTTAGGACTCACAGAAAAAAAACAGACAGGAAATGTTGTACTCAAGGTACTAGTTAGTAAAAAACAGAAAATTGCATCGGAAATGTTTGACTCAATGTCGAAAAAGAATTATGTAAGACTCTTTCAGAATAAGTAAAACAGAAATTTAGTATTTCTTTTATAAATTAAAATCTATTGTGATACAAATTGAATATCAACTAAAAATCATCTTGAATGCAGACTAGTAAATAATAGATCTAAAAGAGTGATGTATTCATATTTAGATATGTTGATTCGGTATTGAATATACTTAAAATCTTAAGATGAAATGCTTAGAAATTTAATTTCAGCTGTACTTTAATGAATGAGTAAAATTGCAAGGCTGATACTGGCCAATAACGCCGGAAAATGTGCTCAAATACTCAACGATCGATTATCTCTCTTGAGTTTAGCACTCTCGCCTTAGCTTTTGGTAAAGCAATAATTGACGCTGTCTGCGTGTTTGCGGTCTCAGAGCGTGAATTCTCTGTCTCAGCAGCTCGGGGCTTATCTGTTGAGCTTTAAACCGCAAACATGTTGTTTTCAAATATATTTGGCTATCTTTGCTGGCTCTCACCTCACTCAAAATGTCTGTACTCTTCTCGCCATGCTCGAGACACATAAAACGCAGATGTGCGGGCCAGATTAGGTGTCGATTGCATTTGCTATAGCTCGACATCTTGTGGCAAGTTTATATCGGAGTCGTGGTTTGCCACTCAATCTACTTGCTGGGTGGGGCTGGCTGGCTGGCTGGAACACCTTGCGCATTTATATGCACGTACTGTAAACGAATATGAGAAATTGTTCAGCACATTTTCGAGCATGTGGCATGTGGCATGAGGCATGAGGCATGACCATGGACGTCGGCCGCAATTGAAGGGGAGCTACGATACTAAGTGCCATTGGGAACTTTGAATAATTTGTGTGCACACACAGAAGACATCAATCGTTATTTGGGATTCGCAACTTGACTAATGCATTGGGTTTATGCTCACATGTATTTATATATGTACACATACTATATATTTCCAAGGGTCTTCCTATCTGCATTTAATTTAAGCTTTCGATATATGTATGTGAGATGATACTAGAATCCTCTTACAAGCTTCTGACAAGGTGCAAAGCTAAATGTGCACTATCATTCAGTTGATTGTTTTTGTATGCCCTGTGAAAGAAAAAAAAAACACTTTTTGAAATGTATGTTTGCAAATGTGAAATCAAATGTTATTGAAAACTTGAGTAGATAAAGTCCAGACCACAAACAGCAAGAGAAACATGTGTACCTAAATTTAAAATTAATTGAAAATAGATCTTTAGCTGTAATGAAACTGAAAGAAAAATAATATGATCAAACAACTATTATTAGCTTTAAACTATTCATTTTTGGCTTTGCACGAAATATCCAATGCATATCCAATGATTCTTTTCCGACCAAGGTTATTTTTTTTTTTGGCATTTTCACCCGCCCATTCATCAACAGTTGTTTGTGTGTTCTTCGCACATTTGCTGTGTTTCTTGGCTTTTGTGCGAGTTTGCCTTCAAATATCATCATTGTCTCGGGGCGTTTCCGTTCCTGTTAGTCAAAGTAATTTGCGTGTTTTCTTACAAAACACATGAGAATGGCTCCGAGCCGGGCCAAAAAACTGAAATTCAATTATGATACGATTTCAAATAGTGCTTCTCTAAATGGCTTTTTGTTCTCAACGCTAACGGCTGCCTGGCTGCCCGACTGGCAACAATGGGGTGTGGGTGGTTGTGTGGGAGGAAAGGGTTGTTGTCGGCAAGGTCGTTGGGGCGACCGAGTTAGTGTGCATTACAACCAAACCAAACCAACTTAGTTATTATGTAGCGAATTTGTGGTTTCTTGCATATTTTCCAAACGAATTAATCTCAACAGCGTTGCTGGCATTTAACATTGCTCGAGTGGCGAAATTCTAGCTGAGCACTTGCTGCACTCGATTACGGGCCGGAACAAAGCGGTTTGATACCGTTCACTGCCTGCATTTTGAAGTGGCATCAAAATGTGGGACGAGACAGGGTGTTGCTACTTGTATTGTACCCCGAACACGTAGCGAGCTGAAACAAAGTTAATTAGATTTGGTGCAAGATGGTCATTATGTAAGCCAAATGGTCCTTAGTTGAGAGCCATTTTAATGGACGACAGCACAGTGCAGTCAATTTGAAATTTGTATGCGCCATTTTTATGTGGCTTACTCGCCCGGAATGGTCATTTTCCATGCAACGACCCTGACACTGGCACCTATCTTCCTATAGTCCCAATGTAAGTCAGCTCAACTCTTGGCTGTTCTTTATGCACTTCGCGTAACGTTTTTATATCCTGCAGCCATTAATGAATGGCTGAAAAGGGTATCGTAAAGTTGGTCAAATAGCCTAATACATTGGATCAGAAGGACACATTTCCGGGTCTCTAAAGTTTGTTTATTTCAGTGACTATCAAAGCAAGACATGAATTAAATTTACATCTGCCCTCTATAGAAAAGTATATATTTTGACTGTTTGCAGAGTGTGTCACCATCGAGCACACTCAACGGAAGCACTCTTACTTTGTTATATTCACGAGTTGTCGAGTAAAATGTATGCATATTCTATCTTGCAGATAAACAAGGATAAAGTAGGATAACAGCAGGAGTGGCCAAAGCAGCTTCAGGCTGGCAGCAAAAGTTCTATTATTGAAAGGTTCTATAATCTAGATGTATATATAAATGCAAATGACGACAAGCTGCGACAACCATAAAGTTGACAGATTGCAAATGCAGATCGCATATAGAAACTGACTGAGAGGAGCGCAACAGGAGAGAAGCGGAAGCTGAAACGAAATTTGTGGCTGCAAAACAAGTAATCAAGTGCAGGGTGGACACGGTGGAAGCAGAACGACAAACTGACCCCATTGTATACACTGCGTATGCTTAATAAGAGGGTGCGTTTGCGTGTGCGTGTGCGTGTGGAGAGTGTGGGACAGGAAGTTGACCATTAAAGTGGCGGAAATGACAGAGACAAAATGTATCGTTGCAAAAATTGGTTTTGTGCCCGCAGCAACAACAACAACTACGTTGATGTTGCACTAAACGAGTCCGGACTAACGTCAACGCCACCGATACCCCCACCGCCCAACAACACCAGCAATAGCAACAGTAATAGCATCAATAGAGCACGAAACAAGGCCAATAGCAATCAGCAGCCAAACGCAAGCCGATCAACGCCCACCGATGAACCACCACAGGCAGCTCATGTGGTTACCTTCCTGGATGATACGCCAAGTGGCAGCCACAATGGTGGCGTAACCAGTAGCCGTATTGTGACCACTGCTGAGCTGCATCAAGCACACATGCTGGAGCACCACTCTAATCTGGATGCCATCGAGCAGGCCGATGATTTTATCTACGGTCCGGGGGCAGGACTCTCACTATGCGATGATAGCCTGCCCTCGGCGAAGAATTGCTATAGACTTGTAATGCTCGGGTAAATAACAGAGAAACCAAAAAAAAAGAAGAACATTAGTGTTAAGGAATTTTTGAATTTAATTAAAAACGTACTGTTTTATTGGAATTTGTATAATTTGTTTTATAACCGTAACAATTACTGATTCTAATCAAAACTGCTACTCTGCTGACTTTGTCCTCTTTTGTACAGTTCATCACGTGCCGGAAAATCATCGATTGTGGCACGTTTCTTGGGCAATCGGTTTGAGGAGGCATATACGCCAACTATTGAGGAGTTCCATCGTAAATTGTATCGCATACGAAATGAGGTCTTTCAATTGGATATTTTGGATACTTCTGGCTATCATCCGTTTCCCGCAATGCGTCGTTTGTCATTTCTAACGGGTAAGTCGCAAGTCATAAGTGTGTGTGTTTGTGTGTGTGTGTGTGTGTGTGTGTGTGTGTGTGAGTGTGTGTGTGTGTATGTCAATCGCCGCAATCATATCAAATGCACGTTTCATCACTTAAGCTGCCGAGTGTCTGGCGCTATTTAATGTGCTATAAATTATCATAAGAATCAGCCACAGCTGCACAGTCTGCCGTAGTCAGTTATTGCTACACACACACACACACATACATACACTTGCACAGCGGGATTTCGATAGTCCCCATGTGTGTGGGAAAAGGACCCAATAACAAGGCAATAAATTTACATTAAGTTAATCAAGTATTGTTAAATATTTCATTCGCTATCTTCGACTTACATTGCAGGCGATCTGTTTATATTGGTATTTAGCATGGATTCGCGCGAATCCTTTGAGGAGGTGGTGCGTCTGCGAGAGAATATACTGGAGACCAAGTGGGCGGCGCTCAATCCTGGCTCAGGTTTCAAAAAGAAGAGCTTACCGAAAATACCAATGATCTTAGCCGGAAATAAATGTGATCGTGAATTCAAGTGAGTTACATTTTAATATTTGTTGCATTGTATTATCAGAATCGTCTTTAATAAATGGATATTTTTGAACAGAACCGTGCAGCTGGATGAGGTTATGGGTTATATAGCTGGTCAGGATAATTGCTGCACTTTCGTGGAATGCTCGGCAAGGCAGAATTATCGTATCGATGATCTCTTCCATGCACTGTTCACCGTATCCAATCTTCCGCTGGAGATGACACCCAATCAGCATCGACGTCTCGTGTCTGTCTTTGGGGCACCCTCGCCACTGCCACCGCATGGTTCTGTCGGCTCCGGTGGCGCCAAAAAGAATGCGCTGTCCATCAAGCGTCGCTTCAGCGATGCCTGCGGCGTTGTCACTCCGAATGCGAGACGTCCTAGCATCCGTACCGATCTCAACCTGATGCGCTCCAAGACGATGGCATTGAATGAGGGTGGCGAGGGGGTGAGAAATACATCCCGCTGGAATCGCTGCGTCCTTATGTGAAACGCTTTCCGGACAGACTCTTGGCGTCCATGTGATAGTAGTGAGAAGGCCAGGAGAGAGATAGAGAGAGAGAGAGAGAAAGAAATAGAAAGAGAGATCTTAATTTTAAACGCAGCGTTTGTGTGATTTCGTTATGTAATGTAAATACTTGAGCACATACTTATACATTAATAGGTAGGGGTACATGTATGTGGCTTAGGCAAGCAAATTATATTATACATATATGCATTTTGCATTTTTCGCATTGTTATTAAACTATTGGCAAGGCAAACAAGTTAAGTATAGAATACATATTATGCACAATTAATCACAGTTTCCACCCAGTTTCCAGGCCTACTAAATACTACTCTAAACAGACCAAAAGCTAATTTACTATTCTGCAAACAAAAACTCTTTAAATTTGTATATTTTTTTGAAGGTCACATATTTATTTAATTGACGCACCTAAACCAAATATGCAGGCGACAATAATGTTAGAAAGTACTTGGAATTGGTATTTGTTATTCGACTCGGTTTATATATATTTAGAACAAATGGAGAAGATGTGAATAGCTCATAGCTAATTTAATTGTTATTGTTGATTGTTGTTGATGTTATCACATTCTGTTCAGGCGCACACTTAACACACTTTCCACACCGAAAATATCCAACTTCCAACTTGCATATCAGCAGAAAATCACCGATACCGAAAAACTACAACTCTGGTCCAATAAAAAACACTATTGTAAAACTTGTACACCGACAAACCGAACCTTAGGCAAATGAGAAATAGTTCAAGCTAATCTATTCTAAAAACTAAACATATACAAAGATAACATATGAGTATATATATTATATACTAGAAACACATACATCATTTATACATACATATAGTGTTAAACCGAATTTATGTGTAGTAAATTCGAGTTTCAATTTAACCTAAGCAACAGCAACAATTTTCGCGAGTTTAACTTAAATATTTAACTAAAGTATTATGGGTAAAGGAATTAAACAATTTGCATATGAACCAAAGACCAAATTAACATTACTAAATATATACAAAACATATACCAATACTTATATGCCTAATATATATACTAATATTTAAACTGATCAAAAGGCGTTAACATAAAGTTATTTAAAATTTCGACGCGATTATCGCATTATTCCAAGAAGTGCAAATATTTACAATTTTCATGAATGGGACTTACGAATCGATTTGGGGTTAATTTTTTATTAAAAAATAACAAACTTTAACAATTAATGGGCAACCGGCTCGAAACATATTTGAATTTGTTAAGTATAAAATTTACATTTTAATGCTTTGGATTTGCATTGTTTATTATGATCAAATAAAATTTCTGAAATTACAAGAATATTTCAGGTTCAAATGGGCGTTGAAAGCTTTATTCACATTTAAAGCTTTTATGGAAGGAAACTTAACTAAAGCTTTCAATTTTGTTGCTGAGGGATGTTGTTATAGATGCCCTTCAAAAGCTCGCTAAAGCGTATCGAAGCTTTTAAACTTTTCAAAAACCGGAAATAGTAATACAAGCTTAACTGAAGCTTCGTTTTTTTTTGGTTTGGAAACCGAGTGTTTAAAAATGTTACAATTTTTTAACAGCTTCTTATAATATTAAATTATGGAAAATACATATGAACTTTTACATATTTTTGCAACAATATCATATCATATTCAGTTAACAATTCACTTGCTGCATCCATATAAATAAATTTATAACTAAGTCGCTTAAGTCGCTGCTCAGCTCTGCCAAAAGCTTCCATATATTAGAGGCATAACAATGCTGGCCAGAAGCGGCAACGCGGCCAAAACTAATTGTGATGCCCAGGGAGATGGCAAATCGCTGTGGCCAAAAGAGGGTCTGGCCGTGCTGCGCAGCAACACCAACAACATTGCATTTACGCCCAATTGAACAATGAGTGGCTTTCCAGCAGAGAGGAGGCGAGTGGCTACATACTGAACTGTTGAAAGTGCCGTCAATTTTAATTGTTTGTCTGATCGCAGACGGGGGCTATTAATAGGCTTATGGCTTATATGATATACTGAAGCTGGAGCCGTGTGGCTTTCGGCATTAGCTGGTGTCGCTAGTCCGCTACTGATTGGGTTGGCTTTTGTTGTTTTTGCTGACTGCGTTATTGTCGACACTCGATAATCAGTGCGGTTGGCGCTTCGTGAGAGGTGCAATTTGCATGTGTGGCGTTATCACTGCTGTTGTTGTTGTTATCGGTCGAACATTGAGCATATTTGGCATATGGTTGTGTGCATTAAGCGAATGCCAATTACGCCTCCCTCAAAATAGATTTAGTCAACGACAGCCAAATCATAATTTAAATTATGCAGCTGCTGCTGTTGAATATTTTGTTTGCCTGGCTTATGGACAACCCATTTCAGCTAATGACTGATAGTTAAGAGCTTTACAGTTTTGATTTGATACGCGCTGCTCTAAAATAAAATAACTTTTGTATATCTTATCTGATTGATATTTGGATTGCAATCATGAATAGAATTTGACATCTGATAACATTTTTTTTTAAATTGGTTGCGGGTTATCTCTCAACTTTTGATAAAAATTAAACAGAAAAGGTTGAACCGATACCAAAAAATTCATTTGATATAATAATCATAACAGACTTTTTCAGTTTATTGATTTGCACTATTAAATTGTGGTAGTTCTGTTTGGAGTGCGTTTTGAAATTAAATTGGTATTGCTGCTTAGTTAACCAGCAGGTAAATATTTGTATAGGAAGTCTTAGCAACAAAATAGAAAACTTCTTCGCACGTTTCGTTAGCAGCCTTTTCTTACTTACCACAGCATGTTTCTGAGCTGACAGTGCCGACTATAACTATTCGCCTAAGTCAACGCCAACCCACGCGCATCAAAACGAAAAAAAAAAAAACAAAACTTTCTGTGTAAACAGAAACAGCGGCGTCTCTAAGTCTGCAACACCTGTGCAGGTGAGGAGTCGCTTACAGTTGTTCGCACGTTCCTTGTGCTGCTGCTGGTGCGGCTGTAGCTGCTGCTTTTGATACTATAACTTGTTGTTGTCGCTATCGTCAGCGTATTTGCTTATTGTGTTTGTAAACATTGCTAACAACTTGAGTAATGTCGGCGACAACGCGCCTCATGCCCCTCTGCCCCCAAAAAGCAGTAGCTCTCCATTAATGTTACTCTTACAATTGCTAATAGAGGAGGCAGCAATGAGTGTGCGTGTGTGTGTGTGTGTGTGGGTGTGTAGGTGTAGTATGTAGCGCGGAAATACAATATATATTTCGCTAGCTGTGAACCTTTACTGCGTTCACGACCTGCCTCCCCCAGCCAACCCCCAACCCTGACTTATTCCCGCTGCCGGCAAGTTGTAAGTGCTCAAGTTTTTCAATTAAAAGTTGCTACCTTTTTGTGTTACTGCGGCGGCATAACATAAATACGCATGTGAGTGGCGCCATGATGCATGTTTGGTTGTGTGTGTGTGTGTGTGTACAGCTAGGACTTTCCGTTAAAATAGCAATAAACCGCATGGTAAATAGCCGAGTTCAATTCAACTTAACTCAGCTCAACACATGGAAACGGAAGCGGGCAACGTTCGCATTCGCATTCGCTTTTGCATTGTGAGCCAACAGTTGAAAGCGACGACAAGAACATAAAACGTGGCAAACAAACAAAATGGTAATACCAAAGGCAGGTGTTGAAGTCCAAAGCATTATAAATTCATACGAAAATACCAAAACGTCAAACAAATTGCAAGTTTTCAGTTGCATTTCCGCAAAACGCAAGTGAAATAATACGTTACTGTTGCCCCTCGGCTGTTCCCCTTGCAAAAGTATGCAACAAAAAGCATGATATCGAATGCCCGCTGAAGCCCGACAAATTGAAGGTAGGCCAGCGGTAACGTCTTCGCCGTTGCCACCATGTGTGGCATGCACTCCAGGTTATATCAGTATATGTGTGTGCGGATTTGTGTCTGTGTGTGTGTGTGTGTGTGTGTGTGTTGTGTGTAAGTGAATGTGTTTGCTCGCATGACATGTTGAAATGTTGACGGCTCACTGACACTGTGCATGTATTGTTTGTAAGCTTGAATGCATGTGTGTGTCTGTGTGTGTGTCTGGTAGAGCGGATAGCTGCGTTTTTACCCCTTACTACTGATGGGTGTATAAGATAAGATATAAAATGTGTATACTCAGAAATACTGGATCTGTAATGCCACTAGTTTTGTATTGTTATTATTAATACTACTATTGTTCCTACTACTACAATAACTATTCAATACTTAAAACATTAAATTATTTCTACATTTTACAGTGTATTGAAAATTCGCTACTCATTTGCCAATGTTTGCTTTGTGCATGCTTCAATGATTTTGTGGCATTGTGTTGTTGAAAAATCATACAAAGTTATGCAAATTCTGATGTGGCTGTCGTTGTTGACGTCGCCGATGACGGTACCGTTGCCACTACCTATGCAACTAACGTTGCTGCCACTGCTTCCATTGCCGCCGGTGCATCGGTTTCTGTGGTTTGGCATGCATAATTGTTGGGTTTTAGTTACACGTTCAGGTCAGGTAGCACAGGTCGCACAAGTCGCAAAACTCGGTTATTAGAGTGAGGCATAGTCGGCGTCCTTTTGTGTTCGCCAGCCAAAGGCATTTCAATATTTGACTTTGAGTACGTGCAGCATATTCGCATATGAGTACAAAACGAGTACGTAGAACAATGCAATGTATTTTAATCCAAATCACAGTCCACTCCAACCACTGCTAAAAATAACAATAATCATTTCTTGGGCATTTCTTACGCTATTTACATTTGTGCTGCTTCTGCTTTCGCTAGTCCCCAAACAGCCCTTCCGGCTGTCCGTCCAACTGTCCATCTATGTCTGCCTGTATGGCTGTGGGCCTGCGGCTATCATCAAAAAACAATTCTGCGCATAGCGTCCGCAAAATAATGGACGTTAGGCCTCGCTTGATAAGCTAAATGATAAATTGTTTTTATTCGTGACATATGCATGCACATGTGTGTGTGTGTGTTTGTGATTGTGGTTGTGTGTTTGTGTGTGTGTGCCCGCACATACGAAACGTGCCCACATCCACAGCAACACACACTAGAAGCTACTTCTTTAGGGATGCCAAATGCGTAAGTTGTGTGGTTTCACAAGCAGCAAGTTGTGCTAGAGAGTCCCTCAAAAAAAGAAGAGAAAAGAAAATAAAACAAAAGGAGAAACAACAAAGAATAAAGTAAAAACGACTAAAACAAGCAGTGAAACTTGTAAACGCGCCTGGGTACAAAAGTGGAATCTAATAAGCTCACGGCTAAACGTGTTATGATGAATGACATTGTCAGGCGCACAGTTGGAATTTAAAAGTTGCCCAAGTGCCAACTCTTATAATTGAAAAGTGAAAATGCAATTGTCTACAAGAGATACAATGCCATGATTTTTTAATAAGTTCTCAACTTAGAGTGCTCATTTTGATTCAACCTGAGCAAAGTCAACCCTGCCGGGTTGGGTTCCGTTTGGGGCCAGCGTCGAAAGGAGCAATGGCCGCTTTGCTCTTCCGATTTCCTTCACAGCTAATCAACTAATCAAAAATATTCGTATTCATTCATTAAATTAAAATTTCATTCTGCTCATCTGGTTTGATTGCTCTGCGCCTAAGTGGCTAAAGCGGACTGGAAGCCGCAGTTTGAATCCCCCAATCTCAGTCCCAATACGAGACCCAATCGCAATCGTAATCGCAATTGTTGGCTTTCCTTTGGTTGTGTGTGTGTGTCTGTGTCGGCTTGTTTATTTGTTTGCTGTCGATTGTAAGCCTCCTTTTGGCTACCTTACAGCCGCTTTGTATCTTTATCTTTATATCTATATCTGTATCAGTAACTGTATCTCCATCTGGGTCTGTTTCTGTATCGCTTTCAATATCAGTATCACTGCCGACCACATCGTATCCGCCGCAGTTGAAACTATGTTGCTTGCCATTGAAATTCATAAAGCATCAATGCCCTCGGAATTGAACTAAGGGATGGGGTGTATGGGTGGTGGGGGGTTGGGGGTTGGTGTTGGTTTTGGCTGAGTTGGGGGTTTTGCTGCGGTATTTTATGGAGCTCTTCTGTTTGAAATCATTTGCTTTAATTCAAGTGAAAAATTATTTAAATTGGTAATCAAACGTGCAGGGCTGGAGAAGAACGAAGATAATTTCCTTTGTTTTTAGTGATTGTTTGCTAGTTCGGAATTTACAATGGAAATAAATATTGATTTCAATTTGGTTGAAGAATATAAATGAAAACCAATTTCTTGGTATAGAAAATAACTTGCAGGTGCTTTTTGTTGCAGAAACCTACACGACTTTAAAATGTAACACTTACTGTTTGCTGAGACATTTAATTCTATTAGTTTTAAGTCCAGGAATCGATATTATACTAGACGAAATAAGAATAGATTGTTGTTGGCTTCGATAATTTAATTTTTATTTTATTTATCATAGGTAAATGTATTATAATTATTTTATATGCACTTTTTATATGCATAGAAGTGTTGAGCTTACGACTAGAGGGCTTTTAAGTATTTATTTTGATTTCACTAAATGTAGTTATTTGCACCATGCACAAAAACATTTCAATTTCAATGTATATTATACTCAGTGACTTCTTGGGAGTGATTTTAACCCAATTTGCATTTCCGTTTACTCGTGTGTGTGTTTTCTTTTGTTCTGATATCATTAAAAATAATAAGCTTACACGTTCTTACAATTATAATTAATTACATTACAGAGTTGTAGCTGGAAATGCATTAGTTAAATGCAAATTAAATTATATAACTAACTATACTGATACAAGTTATTTTACGGTTTCTTGTTATAGTATTCGTTCTAGAATTACAATAAATAACATTACAGTTATGTACGTGCATTTATTTATTACATTTGTATTACTGCAATTAATGCTATAATTCCGTTATTCTATTGTGTTCTCATATAAAAAAGGAGCTTACTTTTTTGTTTTACATCATTTTTTATAGTAACGAGTATTTCAATGTAGAAAATCTGACTACATTAAGAGTAGAGTATAATAGAAAACGGGATTGGCATAAAACATAATGCACATTTCGAGTTAATGCATGCGGTATAGTTAAAAACGTTGGTTTGTGGCTTAAAATTTGTTTTCTTTTCTGATTTTCTTTCGTACCTTAAACGTTTACACACTTAGAAGTCTTTGACAAAATACATTTATACACGTATACAGCCATGTGAAATGTATCTTCCTGTTTGCTGTACGATCCAGGCAGGAGATAGGAGACTAATTTGGCCAGTAGGTATTTGCTTTTGCTGTCAAGAACGTTGCACTTAATCTCAAATGTTGATACTGTTCTTGATGTGGATTAGCTCACGTCGGTGTCTCCTGGGACAAGGACTAACCTAGACGGCAGTGCATACAAGCAACATGCATCTTGCCTTCGCTGTGACTTAATTACAAAAATTATCTTAGTCTTTTTAGTCTACAATTACGAATACATAGCTCGCTTGTATAAAAAAATGCTTGTTGCCTTGTCAAACATAAGATATGACAAATTATTGTAGTAAATATATGCATATGTATATGTATATACCTACCAATGTATGTAAGTAGTACATAATTTAATTTATGTGTATTCATATTTACTATGCAATTGTTAATCCGTCTGCTTACTTGAGTATTTTTTGGTTTCAGTTTGGAATTCGCTGATTATATGCATGGCCATGATTTACGTTTACATTTAATGTGTGTGTGTCTCTGTGTCTGTGTATCTGTGTGTGTGTGTCTGTGTGTGTGTTTGTTTGTTTGTGTGTGTAAGTGTGTGTTTATGAGAATGGCATTGGTAATGGTGAATGGTGTTCACATTTGTATTGTATTGTTTCCTATCGGTATTTATATTATTCTCGTTACAGTTACAGTTACAGTTACCATTTTCCTTCCCAATCCCCTTTGCTGCTCATGCTTCATAGTAGGTGGGGGAGGGGGTAGATGGTGGCATCTTACAGCCGTAAATTTTCTAAATGCTCGGCATATTCCTCGGCCGTTTGGAACTCCAGCTCGCTGTCACTGCGACCGTGACTGTAACTACTGCTGCGACTGCGACTGTAATGAGCAAAGTTCGAGCTTGGTTGCCATAAAAATGTTAATGTCAAATCAATACTACACGTGTAAGAATTTCATTGCCAAATCCAAACCCCCCCCTTATCGCTAGTCTCCTCAGGGCTCACTTACCTGCTGCTGATGTCACGTTTTTTCCGCCGATCCTGGGAGAGTGCCTCCACACAGAGCACGATCAACTTGCCATCGCAGGGCTGGCGTTCCTGATCGAGCACCTTGTTGCCCAGCAGATTGCTGGCGTAGCCAAACTTCTCATGTGAGCTCGAGTGCCAGGCATCGCAGTAGGTGTCCATGGAGCGCTCTCCATTCGGCAGCGAACCATGCCAGACCAGCTTGAGTGGCCTGCCAAGATAGTTGTTAGTTGATTACTTAGAGTAACATATACAATTTTCATTTTATGCATTAAAAATAAACAAATTCTTAAATAAATAAAGAATTTGAGCTCTTAAGAGACGCTTAACACTCATTTTAAGTAGCAAAATGCTTGTTATGAGTGTTTTGTACTTGATTCAAGTATTTTTGTTCCGTTTCTTTTCTAATCAAAAACAATGCATACTTGTTACACTTACAAGAATTAACTTTGTATGATTTTAGGACTTACCATAATGGATCCGTGAGGACATTCTTGCCGTTAAAGCTATAAATTCGCGGTGCCTGCGAGAAGAAGCCACCTTGGCCATTAAATACGCCCTTCCAGGAATTAAAAAGCACATCGCCTCGGGTATTTACAACTGGCAGCTCCCAGTCAGCCGAACGCACTATAGAGTCTAGATTCTGTACCCTATAAGCGACAGAAAAAACCACAAACAACAACATTAAAAAAGAAATAACAAAAGAGAAAAGCATTCAATATAAGCATGAATGTTGAGTGCCCCGACAAATTAAAAGCGAGTAAGCAAACAACCATCTAAGAGGGATTTTGAGTGTAGTGCCACCCCTAAGCAGACAGCAGGTATTTATATATATATATCACATATATGTGTATGTATATGCCTTTATTTATTTATGTTTTTCTTTCTGGCCGTCCTAACAATAATTTGTGGCATCCATTCAGCGCTGTGTGCGTTTGGCGCTGTGTAAATAAATTGCACGAGATTGTTTTCCAGCGGCTTTTGTTTTCATATTTTCTTCGCTTCTTTTGCTTTCGCTTCAAATATCAAGATTAAATTCCTGTTAATGAGTTCCCGAAAAAATGGCACCGGGCGGTGCTGGTGGTTTTGGCGGTGGACTCAACACTGCGTATGAGCAATGCCATCTCGAAATCGAACCGAGTCAGGTCAGGTCAAGTGCCGCGCTGTGACAAACTAAACATAAAAAACATGCCTAATACGCGTAAAAATCAAAGGACAGATAAGACACACCCCGCCTGCCACACACACTTAACGCTGGATCTGGATCTGGAGCTTACCTGGACGTGAGGAAGGCCTTAAATGTGCCCAGAAGGCCAGCTCGTCGGCCCTGGCGATAGCAGGCAAAGTCCGCGCCTCGAATGCCCTGCAAGTCACCCACATAGGGCTCATTGAGAGCCGCCAGGCGAAGCTATATTGTGTGAGAATGGTGCGGTAGGAGATATGGCACAAAAATTAATTTGAAATTTATGTCAAGCATTTTGAAATCTAATTAATATAGAATTTAATGGTTGCGAATTGTTTGCTTAGCCAACTTGAAGATGAAGCAAAATTGTTGGCAAAACTTGTTATGGGGATGTTAAAATGATAAGAGCGTGTAATAGATAGGTAAACATTTTATGGATATTTCAATTAAAACAGTAAATTGGACAAACAAAAAATACCTACAAAGGTTGTAAGCTAAAATAAATATAGGGTGTTCACTGGGGCCTTGTAATATGTTTATATTTGTACTGAACAGACACTCACCATACGTGGATACCACTGAGAATATAGTACGATTCAAATATTTCAAATCATTTGACATTGGGCATCATATAGTTGACGTTCCCAATAATTTTGTTTGACGACGCAAGCGTGAGTGAATAGTACAAAAAGTTGTAGATTCAAAAAATGTATACTATATTGAAAAGTTTACACGAAACACAAAAAAACAAAAGAAAAAAACTCTCAACTCTGTTGATATAGTCTTAATATGTTTATTCAGTTGGAGTTGAGATGCAATTCTTAAAACATTAACTACAAATACATAGTAATACAAACTTAATGAAAAAAGCGTTTAACTGACATGAATTTACAGATATATATACTAAATAAATAATTGAAAATTTCAATGGAAATTCAGCAGGAATAACAGAAACTACACAAATTGTTCGGTACAGGTTACAGAACAGAACTCAAAATGCAATTTGCGCTAATTAGAAACGTTTCCATTGACCAAACCAAACCAGACCAAAATCAGATTATTTATTTTTATGTGTGTGTGTGTGCGTGTGTGTGATGGTGTGTGTGTGTAAGTATGTATGTATCAGAGTGAGTGTGCAAGAGATGCGTTAATTCGTTTTAGTAAAATTGTATTTTTATTTTTTAATTGTCTCGCACTCTTTTTGTGTTTGCATTCAGTGTGTGATATTTAATTTAATTACCGTTTCGTATTCGGGCGCGGTTGTAAACTGCATTTAATAACAATTAATAATAAATGGTTTTAGTAGTGTTTATTAACTGAATTGCTTAAATTTTCGTTAAATATTAAATGTGAAATGTTTATACATATATAGTTAATTTGAAGCTATTCGAGTGAAAGTTTTTGCTGTATTTGTCGTGTTATTCAAGTTATTCAAGTGCCTTCGAGGCTCTTGTGAAACATGATAACGGCACTTGTTTAACTAGAATTGCTACTTGAATACCAAGAATTAGTTACAACATTTGTTATGAATTAAATTCTGAGAATTTCTTTAAATTTCGTTCACAATTCTAGTCGCATAAAAACCGTACTCAAAATGTGACAGAGATGTAAAGCAGAGAAATTTTAGTATGTGAATGGAATATGACAACAGTTTTCGAGCACTTACCGTCGGAGTGTTGAGCAACGGAGGTGGACTGTTCACCAAGTTTTTCGATTGTAAATTAAAGCGCAAAGATGGCGCCACTGTGGTGGGCGGTGCTGGGGTTGCAATCGGTACCAAAGTGCCCAGCTGTCAAACAGGAAGGGTTATGAGAATTTAGCAAAAGTTCTGATTAAAAGTGATAGCAGCAAGCCAACATTTCTAACCATTTCCCGACTGGGCTCAATCAATAATTCATAACCTTCGCTCAAATCTGCTTGCAGGCAGCCTTCTTACCTCCCCTCATACCACCCTAACATCTGATCGGCTATAAATACTATAAGTATTTAATATTTGAGCAGTTGACTGGAACTAAGTAGCAAGCACTTTGATTAACTATCTATTTATAATATAATTTATATATTATTTAGATAAGATTTACTATTTTGACAATTTTATGCAGGAAAATATCACGACTTGAATGCCTTCAATCATGACAGTCATTCAATGGTATTTCCTAACAATGTCAAAACATAACAAGCCAAATTTATTTACATTTACATACATTCAAAACACAAATTCCAAATAAGTTTCTGTACCAATGTCAATTTTAGAAATTCTAATTTAATTTTTAATGAACTGCTCTTAAGCGCGTGACACTGTGCGACGCTGCCTGACAAAAGTTTTAATTACTATTTTGAACTTTAAGTAGTCGACTCGTGTACTGAAATCTAATTAGAAGGAGAATGTCACCATTGATGCTGCAAGTGGCTTAGACAGCCCAGATGCCAGCTCCTGGCAAAGGCTACACTGACTTCACTGCTGCCAATGAGCTTTTGCTTGATTTACCCCCATTATTCAGAGGGATGGCGGGAGTCTCTGAGCACGTTTTGTTGCCAAAAGTATTTAAATGTTGCCGTCAAAGGCATGAGATTTGAGCTTCATATCTGCTCTCCCTTGTATATTCGAATACATTTCCATTTCCCTTACACTTTTTGTGGACATGCACAGGACATGTCAGGCACAGTTAGCAGTTGAACTGTGGTGGGTGGTGGGTCACACCCACAGCGCTGCTGATATGCTGCTGTGCTGGCTCTGTGCTTGCAACTACGGAAGCGGAAATCGAATCTTGAACAGTTTTGGGAATATATATTGTACACTTTTAGCGTAATCAGGGGCAACAGACCCGTTCCAAGAAAACATCCCATATTGTGGCCAATCTAAAGCTTTCTCAAAATGTTTAAATTTTGTGTGTAATTTGCGGACGCTTCAAGTTTCACTTTTTTGCTGCACAAGTGCTGACCAGGGCAAAGTGCCAGCTTTGAGTCGACAGGCAAGATTAATTGGTAGTGTTGAGTAATGCACCGTTTTTCAAATTGATGCTGAAGAGAGCTAAAGTCAGCTACGGACAAAATCAAATATTCCATTTCCGTTCAGTAATATTTTTAATCTCCTGTTCCGTTTTATTGCCCAGCCAAACATTTATATGTGATAAAGGGATATGTGATGCGGGGGGATCGTATATGCATGTTTTATTCTGTGTCAATAAAAGTTTCTCTTTCAGCAACGTAACTGTGAGATTGCCTGACTGACTGACTGACTTGCTGACTTGCTGACTGGTTGAGTAAATGTCTTCTAGCAAGTAGGTTGACTCGAATTGCCTTCTGGCTGAAAACGGCTGAGGCCTGTCCATCAGAGTCCCCCGCCAATATGACGAGTTTAAGGCACACACACATTCTTCTTCCGGTTTTAGGACGGTAGGCGGGTATTCTTGTTGTATCGTTAACTCGCTTGACTGAAAAACAAGGCGCGAGTCAATATAATTGAATAACGCGACACACACACACACACACAGCTTTTGTGGGACATCATGCTTCGATCCATTTGGCAATCAGTCAGAACGTCTGCAACATTTAATGTGCAAATAAAAAACCCTAAAGGAGCCAGCCACCCAAGACAAGGACAATGCCAAACAAAACCCCATTTTATGGCCAAAAACAAGAGACTAAAATAAACAAACATATGTACGTCACTTGAGCCTCAAACGTTCGCCGTCTTTCTGCCTCCACTCTGCCTTCTATTTATATTGCATTTTATTTTGTTTCGCGTTGCTGTGTTTTCTTCTTTTTTTTTTTTTTGCTAGAGCCATATTTTCATAATATATAGAAAAACAGTCGAATGGTTGGGCGGTTCCATAAAATAATGGCGTCCGCCAGCGACTTTTTGTTTGCCGTATTTGGCATTTGGGAACGCACGCACAGAACGCGGCACTTGTTTGCTTTGAGCCCCGAGCCCAGCCCCATTGTCGAATCGATCGCAGATCCCAAAAGCAATCCTAGACCCTGAGCTCCACTTACCGCTATATACTGCCAGCCTTTGTTGACGCGCACGAGCAGTGCCTCCTCCTCGGTAATGTACGCCAGGGTGCCGGGTGGGCTAAGCGCCGATTTCTGTGTGGAACACCCAAAAGACACCAAATTTAAATGTGTTTAAAAGAATATATAATATATGTGCTGCTAAATTTATATGCTCGCAAGTACGTGTGTGCGAGTGTGTGCGAGTATGAGTATGTGTGTGTGAGTATGTGTGTGTGTGTCTGTGTGTGTGTGTGTGGAAGAGGGCAACGCACCTTTGTCATTTCGTCTATGTTCTGGAAGGTGACTGCACCTGGCACGATTCTCATGTTCATGTTGGATGATGATGCGGAAAGATATGGCAGCTCCTCGCCATCTCCCAATCCCATGCCCAATTCAACACCCAACGGGGACTCCTCATGCTTGTGCGAGTGCGCCGTTTGGCGAGGTGGCTCTGCAAATGATGATTCCGAGACGTGCGTGTTAAACATCGATTTAGCATTTATGTATCTAAATATTTGCATCCGCATTTGTTTCTGTGCAAGTTGATAAGTCAAACTAATAATAACTGCAACTGTACTCAATATGAAAACTAATTTCTCTTTACTTCAACACAAAAAAATCTGTTTAATAATAATAATATTAATGCATAATTTACAAATGCGTTAATAAGTATGCTGAAACTTAGCTAAAATATGCATAATTTCAGATTTTAGGTGGCTTTAAGGTATCTTGTAAGATAATTAAGAAATAAATGTAATCTAAACATTCCTTAAGGGAATCTAAACTTACTGGATATTTGTTGGTCAAGCATACCTTATTAGAGGCACTTACAAAAATACAAGCTCTACATCTCATTTTGGATCATTCACTTATGATTCATGAGTTGGAGTGTTTGTTATTTTTTCTGGTTTTTTTGTTTTTTCTGTTTCGTTTTTTTGGTAAGTGAAAGCATGACGGTGTAAAAATGTTAAGCAAAATGTTTACATGTACTTCATTAACGGGCCAAATGAGATGATGATGATATGCAAATAATGAACCCAATTTCCCAACAACACTTCAATATCCTTGTTGTTCATGCAGGCCGAGGTGATTGGACTTGAAATGACTACGTGTATACATACATATATCCACTATGTATGAAAATATGTTTAAGGAATAGTTTTTGGCATGCAACATCGAAAGATAATAGTTTGACTACAGCAAAGAAATGTGTGGATTGATTTGATTTGATTTGATTTTGATGGTTTACCAGCTGTGCCATCTGTGGGTCTATCACGCAGATCTTGCAGCTCTCGCAGTGCTTTAAGTTCGTCTAAAGATGAGCGCGCACCTTGGATTACGAGTACAATACAGTATGATTTGGAATTGATACGGGTTGGTTTTTTGGTTTTTTTATATGCTAGTGTTATTTCTGTGTGTATACATACATATATGTACAGTTATGATTTATGGTACGGGCACCTAACTATACATATAGGAGTACGTTTTGTATATACAACTTGGATTGTGACACATACTTGTGCGAATGTCCTTATTCTCACCTGGTCGGCCGTAGTAGGAGGCATCACCAAAGAAGCTGCTGCGCGAGTCCATTCCTGGCTCTCCTTTTTGTCCGCTGAGCGTTAGTCCTGGCATGCCAGGTGGACCGGGTGGTCCTGGTGGTCCTGGCATTGGTATATATTGTATGCTACTACTTTCGCTATCACCGCCACCAGTGGCTGGTAGACCCGGAGGTCCTGGCAACCCATCACGTCCATCACCGCCTCTATCACCTTTCTCCCCTTTGATCTAAGATAATAATTATAATAGTCATCGATGTGTTTTAATAGTTGAGACTCCAAATGTTTGTTTTAGGACTTACTCCGTCACGTCCACCCGCATCTCCTTTAGCACCTTTAGCACCAGAATCACCCTTAGGTCCGAGCATGCCAGGCCGTCCCTAGAAAATTCCAGAAACGTATAAGTGGAGGCCACTTGCATGATTTGATTTGGTTAAATATGCTGCCTAAGCACACTTTTCTCTCAAATAACAACAGAATACTAACGGCTGCCAGCAATCGTTACTAACAGGCGGAGTAACTCTGAAATAAAACCAAGTTGAACAATCGCCAAAAACCGTAAAACTTTTGCAGTTTAGAGTGCAAGCATTTTTTTGTTTTTAGTATCAACGGATAAAAGTAGTTCTGTTTCATGATTTTGCTGTTTGGAGCTGCTCGTGTGCCAGAAATTGAGTGAAACTTTCGTTTTGGCTTCATTTCGGTGCGGCAATTCATGTAAATACGTTGCTTGACTTTGATTTTGAGAGGCGGTAAGCGATGCCAGTTTTTGGCAAAAGCGCGCAGACAGCTAAAAGCAAACTTTTCCTTTTGTACAGAGACTACAATTGGGATAGCTTCAGTTGTTGTTGCTATATCTGCTGCTTTTATTGCAGTATAAAGGCTGGAGACTGAAATTCTAGGGTAACTACTGCAATTGGAATCGTGCGCTGCCTCCGCGTCCTAAATAACCATGATGAAAATGCACTTAAAATACTTTTACATTTGAGTTTATTTCCCAGCCAAGTTGCGCATTCTTCTATTTCTTCTTCCTCCTCATGTTATGCGCCGATTTAAATGCGGATTTGGTATTGGATTTTGTCGAGCTGGCGGATTTTGGCCAGAAATTGTCTGGCTCTAAGTGAAGTTTGTGCGCTCAACAACAACAAAAGCGAAAGCTGTTCGAACTCGCCATGAATATGGATGCCAAAGTTACGAGTGCCTTACCGAGTGTCCGATATCACCCGTGGGTCCTGGTTTGCCTGGCGGTCCAATTGGTCCTGTACTGCCAGTGCCTCCGCGCCGGCCACGCATACCCTTCTCCCCCTTTTCGCCTCGTTCGCCTTTGGTGCCATTGCCATCGCCCGGTTGGCCAGCCAATCCAGGCAGGCCGGGTGCTCCGGGCTCACCTTTGGGTCCAGCCGGTCCGTGTGCACCTTTGTGGCCCTGTTCAATAAAAAGGGCATGAGAGAGAGAGAGAGGGAGAGTGAGAGAGAGAGAGAGAAAGATAGAGTGTGTGTAAAATGATTTACGGTATTAAATATACGTTACATGCCCCGTGGGGACGCACTCACGCCTAATTTGGCCGTAAAACTCAATTTCAAACGTTTTGTCGTCGGCAAAAATTCAATTCAAACTCATTTTGAAATCAAATCAATTCTAAAATCCACAATCCCCACAATCAAACCAACTCACACACCCACACACGCACGCACACACAATAACACATTCACACACACACACACACACACATGAACCGTATATAAATTTATGCGCCTGAATGTATGCAGTGCTAGTGACAAGCTCGAAAACACAAAACCATTGGCAAAAGACCCCAGAGTTGGTTCGTGTACCCGAACCAAAACCAGATACCAAGCGATACACAATATTACGCTTTTTGCTACCTACGCCTATTTTCTTCACATGAAAAATGAAAGCGTGTCAACACTTGATACTCAATTGAACAAATTGAAAATGTCTGACAATAAGTCGACAAATGTATATCGAATGTTTTCTGGCTCAAACAATGCCGCAATAATTTTGAAAGCTAGCCTACCTTAAAAAGAAATGCTCATTTTCTCCAACAATAAGCAAACTAAATCGAAAGTTGGATTAGAACTTAAAATGGATTTTAGGAAGTTTGTGTTGTGTTTGAAAAACAAAATTAAAGAACCATCAAACGGAAAAAGTAGTAACAATAATGAATTCATATACAGAGAATTAGGTATCTATTTGCAATATTTGCGAACTATTTTTTGACTATGGACCAAACTTATAATTTCAGTATTCATCTTTCAGCACGGGTATCTTTTAGTCGAGTCATGGCCAGGCAGTCAACCAGGTATCTTGTTGCTTATATGTGTTTCTCCCATTTTGGGACTTTACTTTGTCGAAGTTTGCTAAACGGCTGGTGGTCCACACTTGCCACCCAACATCAATGCCTGCCACCGTCTAAGCAAGTTCTCCACACCGTCTCATCCCCAGTGTCGTCTTCCACATCATCAGCGCCTTAAATGGTTTGCCATAAATTTGCGCGCGCCTACTCGCTGCCGTATACGTGGTTTGGGTCGGGGTTTTGGGGTCTGGGGCTTTGAATATGGGCTTGGGGATTTGGGATGAGCGCCCATAGTCTTGTGTGTGCGACTGGTTTAAATTGAGCTGACCCCGTATGTGCTCATTGCTGCAGGCCTTGCTCCATATCGGCAGCTTGATGCTAACTAATGAATAATTAATAAGCTACACACATACGCCACGAAACACAACCACACCCACTCATACACACAGCCACACACACACACATACACACTCATACGGGCACACAACACATCACATTACAAAGTACGAGCGACTGCTTCGCTGGCGCTCTTGAATGGAGGCCTAATACGTGGAAAGGGGGGTTTGAGCAGGGAGAATGGGAGTTGTCTTTTGAGTTTAATGAAATGTACCTAATTGTGCGTGTATTTATACGTTTAAAATGCTAATTTCCATATTAGTTTCCAAATTGCAAATGCAATAATAAATTTTTTGGGGGGTGCTCTGCATATGAGAGTGAGTGTATGTATTCGTAAATTGGGCGTAAATTCGTCAGAAAATCTAAATCGATTTTTTTTTTTTTGTGTAGCTGTGGCAAGAAGCTTACAGCTTTCTGCATAATTTCTTTTTATTTCACGCTCGATTTAATATGGTTCACCATCGGTTCTTGAACGGCGGAGACAGCGAGAGGTGTGTGTCGCAAGAAAGGCAGTCAACTACACAGATTGACCCAACAAAAAACTTTGCCATGGGCCACCTAAAGAGACCTACAAATATACTTACTTATGTTTATGTATATACACTGAGAAAAAGAATGCATAGAAAATAGGACTATAATCAGAAATGAATTTCTGAAATGTAGCAACGATTGCCAGTAATCAATAATAAGCAATCTATCTTATTTAATAAAACAAAAGATGCCAAATATGATGTCAATAGTAAATATTGCAAGTTCTAGGCTATATTTTTGTTTCAGTGTACCTGCTAATATATCAAAGGTCAAATAAATCTTAACACTCACACACACACACCAGAAAGGGAGGTGTAAGAGCAGCATAAGTAAGTGAAGCAGCATTCACCGTAAGTTGGCTGACAATCCGTGAAACGCCCCCTGCCAAGTTTCTAGTTTCAAGCTCCCAGTCCGCCTCCATGTCCAGCCAAGTACGACACTCCCCCGATCCAGAGAAATGGCAAACAAACTAGAGACATATTATAAATGTGCGAGGATGTGTTGGCAGCTTAAAGTTTTGAGGTTACACATAAAAGAAATATGTACGCCACTTTTTCCAGCTCGCCGACCCTCGCTAACGAGAGGTCCAGTAGTTGCAACAACACACACACACACACACTCCCCCACACACACACACACACACAAAACCTGAGTGGGCCCAGTGGCCCATTGGGAGATAGGGATTCTAAGCTGCTAAATAGCATGAAGCGTAATGGCTAGGAAGTAAGCACCCTCTAAGCAGGATGAGCAGAAATGGCCAAAACTTATTATAAAAATAATACAGAATACAAGTAGAAGTAGAACTGGATGAAGACGAAGAACTAGACAAACACTGACTGAATGACAGAATATTTGGGGTCATCCTGTTACTTACTTATATATATGTATGTATATATATATATATATATATAGAACGTCCCCCTATTCTGTGCTTGAATGTGGGTAAACGATTTCTAATAAACTGGAGAGCACCTCAATCATATCAACTGGCAACCAAATGAGCTATAAGCGTTCACAAATTGCCCCACACACATCAAATGTGGCGACACACTCTCGTAAGGGTGGTTTCCAGTGGAGGACTGATAGAAATTTATGCGCCAAATTATGGACTTCCGGCTACGCAAATGAATGCACTGTCATAAATCTGCGAAATTGTACCTAAATGATGGCAATTTCATGGGATTGAAGCACATATATGACGAGTGAGAAAAAGACAACGAATATATCTCACATATTTGACAATAAAAGAAAGCATATGCGATTATGTGATTGGGCAAGTAACAAATCGTTTCATTCATTCGACGTTTCACAAATAGAATAGTTGCTACAACAACAAAGTCAATGTGTTGCCAAAATTAAAAGAATTATTAAATAAAGTTCAAACCACATGCAAAACGATGTAGATTTTCAAGATTAGTTCAGTTTTTACAAAGTAAATATAAAAGATTTGTTTCGCATAAAATTTGACTATGAATTTTGAAAAGAAATCATTCATTCAAAATAAAAATGTTGTGTTAATCCAGAAATCGATGCCGTTTTGATAAAGTTATGTCTGTGGAAAATTTTAGGCCATGTAATTTTGGGAATGCGTAGTAAGTCAAATTTTTCGATTGTTATGACATCGATTGCCCGTTAACGGTTCCAGCAGTAAGTGCCCCAAAATCAATTGAGTAATCAATAGAGCAGAAGTTATGGTTTGATACAACAATGTTGTGGACACACTTTATAATGCATACAGAGCAAGCACACACACACACACAGGCACACATACATTAAACACTCGAATACACATATCCAATATGTGCCGGATAAGCGGCGGTATTGAACTTTGACTCACCTTTTCACCGCGATCTCCTGGACGTCCGGATTCACCCTTATCGCCGGTCGCTCCCTTTGGTCCTGCCTGCGTTGATGTGGAGCTGCGTAGGTTGGTCATTGAGTTGCCCATTAAGGATTCCTGTGCGATTGTTTATGTTGTGGAAAGGTAAGGCATAGTAATTTGTTAAATATTTGCTTGTTGTACAATTTCTTTTTTCAATACATGTATTTTTGGGGCAGCATTTTTTAAGCAGCAGGCGACCTTTGATGGCACCACTCGCGATGGCCCACAACAATGATACACGTAGTTACATATACATACATATCTGCTAAGGAAATTTGATTAATGATCTGAAGCGCCCCTTTTTTTTTTGGAAGAGTATGTATTGCTTGTGCGTTAGGCGCCCCTAATGTTTTGGGACTAATGATGCCGACGGGGTTCTAGTCCATTAGGTTTTGCGGCCATTGCTTACCCAAAGTAAACTTGTGCTTTCATGTTGTTTTTGTTTAGAGCTATTCTTTTTTTATTGTTGTTGTAGTATTTTGTTTTTTTTTTTTTTTTTTGGTTTAGTAGTAGGAACATAAAATGAAATTGTTAAATGTTTATACCTTGAAAGTCCTGGTAGGATTCCAATTTATCTGTTATTTATGTGTTGATGGTTACAAGAATACATATTTTGTGGTACGATTTGGATTTTATTATAATAATATAGAACAATGGGCGTGAAATTAAAGCGTATTATTATATGATTTCAATTTGATATGGCGTACAAAAGTTCATAATGTTTGGCATTTCAAATTGCAACTTTTACAAAAAACATAATCGCATTTCCCTTGGAATGACACACATGTACAGTCACATGTAAATACAAATGCCACCTCGTCCGTAAGCGTTTTGAAAAAGTTGGCGCCGTGTCAACAATCAAAAGTCATTTCAATAAACTTAAAAGCTTTCTGTCCTACGCCGACAAGGTCAACATGTTTGACAACAACAAGAGCAACATAGCAATTGAAAACGCCCCCTTCCCCATCCGACACTTACCCCTTGTACCTACCCCTAGCCGCTCCACAAACGTCATGCTGAGATAATGATAATAAACCCCCGACGAGCGCATAAAACAATAGGGAGGCTGACTGAGCGAGCATCTGATTTAACTGGCGCGTTAGCCATAAGTAGCTTGACACTCTCATAACCGTAACAGCGCGATAATGATTACGACCACAACCGCACACACACACACACACACACAACCACATGCGCGAAAGATACGCCCAAGCAGGCAACATACGGCGTTGAAATGCGTTGATAAAGCCGGGCCAAAAAATAAAAATAAAAGCTTCGCTTGCACAGAAAGGGTTCAAAGCCGGCAAGACAAATGTGTGTGAGTGTGTGAGAGTCGGATGGTGTGTGTATGTGTGTGTGTGTGTGTGTGTGTGTGTGTGTGAATTCCAGTATCTGTATGCGTGTTAGCGCGTTTAACCGCGTGAACTGCTCGCCATGCGCTGATAACAGTAATTGCCACAAGCTGGCATGCCAGCACTCCAACAGACCTGAATCACAAAACCCGCAGGCAACGCCAGCTGCAACTCCTCCCTCCCCAAACCGTCTTTCCCCGCCAACCACTCTTCGGTGTAGGCAAGCGGTGCTTCCGGGTGGTGTGGGGGTCTGGGCTTGTTTCGGTTTGCGTGCTCAGGACACTTACGTTTCGGCATTTCTGGGAGATGTTCATGTTGTTCGAGACATTTTTGTTGCCGTTGTCGTTGTTGTTTGTGGTTTTAAGATTATTAGCGTAGATAACCCATTTGCGACAACCAACATGCTGGTGGCGCCCACCTGCCTGACATGCCCAAAAATCTGTCCGGCAATTTTTCACAGTGCAGGTGCAGTCATTCGTTTGGGGAAAAGGAAATTGGTTTAGGCAAATTGTGTGGCTAGCAAAACATGACCGATGTTTACCGCAGAGTGCGCCTTCATTAAAAAGAAAATATTGATAAAAGGTGCGTGATTGAAAGCTTCCGACGGATATATAGATAAGCGGACCGGCGACTTTTGCCCTTTAAGGTATGTCGTAAAAGTTGCAATTTTGTTGCTCAAATTCAAAGCATCTGATAGAAAAAGAAACTTAAACTTGTATCGTCGGTTAACCGAAGAATTAATACTCTGCTTCTGCTGATTGAGCTCCAGGCCCAAATCCTTGGGATAATTATTCACTCACTCAATCAGAATGCAAAAGTATAGTTGTAAAAGTTAGTAATAATTGTTATATTATTGTGCAAGTCGGGAGTGCTCGACTCAGAGATACCCTTTACCGAGATTTTAACTTAGTCTATTAAAATAGATACTTAATTTAATATTAAGGCAATTTTTTACTAATATAGTTTCTGTGATGATTAAATGAGCAGACAAATAGACAAGCCGAAATATAAATAGGAGATTCAAATAGTCCTCATCAACTATATATCACCTTTGGTAAAGGGTATTAAAATCGTAACTAAACCAGTTTCGATCTTAGAACTAACTAATAATGTATTTTAAAAGTGATGAATGATCGAATAAATATGAAATAAATTACTTTAGTATGAGAACATCAAATGAAAATTGATAAGGATTATAAGAAAGTGCGATGCATAATATATCTGTACAAATTAACATATTGTTATGGATACGTATAAAATGTAAAATCTTAATGAACCGAACTTAAATGTGAATTTACGTCAATATATATATATATATATTGATGATATTCTTATAATTTGTTTGTAAATCGAATTAAAGGTGTACTTACATCGTAGCTCTCTGGCAAGCCAGGCGGGCCCGCAGGTCCTGGTGGACCCATGACGCCGGGCATGCCGTCAACGCCTGGCTCGCCCTTCTCCCCCTGGATACCTTCCGGGCCGCGAGCGCCCGTAACGCCAGTGGCACCCTGTATATGCAAAAGAGACGAAGAAAAACGACGCCGCCGGCGACCAACAAATAAATCACATTAGTGGGCGTTTATATTGAATATACGACTACATCTACATCTATGTCTGCGTCTAATTCTGTGTCTACTATAGCTGGAATATACATATATAGTCTAGAGAGTGTGCTAAACTATTTGGGGGGTCTGTTGGCTGTGTTCGGTTCTAACTGGCTGTGGCCGATTTACATAATCGCTACGTTTTAGACCGAGCTCATTAATCTACACGGCCCCAGCTGCCCAGACCGAGGAGGCTTGTGGTTTGAGTTTGAGTCAGATCCGGTTTGGTAGGCTGCTTTTTGTATATTGTTGGTGTTGGTTGGTGTAACACACAAAAAATGTGTCTTCCAATGTCCTTAATCTTATGCAAAATGGTCACGCTGTGCGCCATTTGCGTGTTGTGTTCGCCTTTGGATTGTTCGTGTTTCTGTTGTCCTTTGTACATTGCTATTTCTCAGTAGTTGTTGTTGCTGTTGTTGATGTTGTTCTTGTTTCTGTTGTTATAATGTTCTGTTGCTTATCGTCGTCTTTTAAATTAATTGCGATTAGTTAAGGGATTAGCAGTAGAGCAGCAAAATTGTCGCAGGAATTTCCGGTATGCGCACCAGTTCGCCATATTTTACTCAAGCATTTTGTATAAGTTGGATTGGGAGCTGGTTGGGGGTTTGGGTCTGAAAATAGCTGTGTGCAATGACTGTGATATAGGGGTCAGTACACAGCCTACTACACATCGCAGCTGGATATTTTTGGGGCCTTTCTACAATTTGGGGCAGGCATATTTTCATAGCTGTTTTGCTGCTAGCCGCAGAATGTTTTACTTTATTTTTCTTCTTTACTTCCGCCGTACCGCTTTTCTTTTGATATATTGCAATGTTCTGGAGAGGCTGCGTTCCACAGGTTGCTAAGCACATTGTCAATGAGTAAGAGTTTTTCGAGATACTAAACTGAATCTTTCTGTGTGTGTGTGTGTGTCTGTGTGTGTGTTGACACAAAATGAAATGCATTTGCTAGATAGTGCTACAGCTTAAGTACATTTGCCTGCAGGTTTTATATTTTTGGCTAGCCCCATGAAAGTTACCGAGTAGTCTTTGCCTTTGCAACGTGACAGGCACTTTTGAGTCGAGTGGATGTTGAGGCCAACATCTCGTTGTAGCATTGTGGATTTAGCCTTTGACCCAGACACACAGATACACACGCACACACACAAGCACATTGAATGAACGGCTACCTAATACAGATAGTGAGAGAGAGAGAGAGAGAGAGAGCGAGAGAGAGAGTCGTCTCTTTGTGCCGTACATACAACTCTTATGGCTTGTGAAAGACGGTGCCGGTTGATGAGATAATATAACGAGTGCCAGTAGCACCCCAAAGTGGATAAGTGTTTAAGCCTGAGTTGCCAGCTTTATAAAGAAATTTTCGTTTCCTCTTTGCACGTTAACGTTTTTCCTCGTTTCCGGTTACACGCACACCAACATAACACGCGCACACACATACACACTGCAAATTATGATGTTTGACATGGGATAACAGAGCAGCGTGTATTCAAGAATATGTGTATATGTATATGTGTGTGTGTGTGTGTGTGTTTATGTGAGTATATATGTGTAGCCGACAGGCGATAACCATCGCACTCCTATTACAGTTCGTCCTATCTCTCCTTTCTCTCTTTTTGTTCGTTCTTGTAGATTAGACGATGTGTGTAATGAAATTGAAAATGCATTAGATCCATGTCAAATATTGCCTTTTTGCCAACAGTTTCTGCCAACTCGCTTTGTCCCCCCCTTTGCATAAGATGAGTATAGTGTAGTGGCATGTACTTACGGTAAGTCCAGGGGCGCCGGTTTTGCCATCCCTGCCCTGCGCACCGGGCGGACCTCGCAACGTTACACGAATCGTTTCATTGTCCTTGAAGGCCTCCAGGATATCAGACGCATTACATGTACATTCGCCAGTGTATTTCTGCAATTGAAATACAATCACGATTTGCTTTTACTACTTATGTCCAAAATTGCTTATTTTGTCCGAATTTTTGTAAATTATGCAAACCAAAATGTGTTTGAAAAATTAACTTTGAACTATTGAGTTCTGGGTAACATTTTTTTTTTGAGTGCTTAGATTCGTATTTGTATTTGCCAATAAGTCGGAAATAAAGTTACAGCTTTGACTAAAGTTCCAGCTGCATTTGCATTGGGGTTAACAATGTTTGCACAGTTGCAAAGTCTGGAAATGAATGCTGGGTCTATTTTAATACTTACAGCCCCCGCACTTGGTGTCTCGATGAAAGGCGGATATGCTGGCGTTTCACCTTTGGGGCCCGGCGGACCTGGTGGTCCGGGCGGGCCACGTATACTATCGCCCTTGGGTCCCCGATCGCCCTTCTCGCCCTTGACGCCGCGTAATGCTGCCGGAGGAAAGTGGATTTTGGGTAAAGCAAAAGTCATTTCATTAGGCAAACTGGCTAATTAGAAATCCGGACAGCAATCTTGCTCGGAGCTTCAGATGTACTTACGTCTTTCGTGCGTAAACGGCGTCTGTCCGGGGGTCTGTAATCCACTGTCGTCGAAATTGTCACTTGCCTGTGGGCGAAAGGTAAAGATATATACGTACATTAGTGTCGTTGGCTTATTAAAAACTCATTAAGCGGAAAGTGCAAAGTGCAAAGTGCAAAGTGCTGTTGTTGACATGTTTATTAATTCTGCACAACCTGCGGCTGCAATTGCACAATCAACTCTGTTAAGAGCTGAATGATTACCGGGTTATTGTTTAACTTATTCGATATTGCGATTTTTAATTTTTAAAAGTAGCTTATTTGATTTATTCGCCCAAAGAAAAAAAAAACAAACCTGCAACCACCAATTGTCATTGGTAATATCATTTTGATCAATATCTGATTCATCGGGTGGGGAATTCTGAACACAATAAAAATAAATTATAAATAAAAAACCACAAAATTAAATTGGATCAAACATAAATTGGAAAATAAAAATTTATAAGCAAATTATGAAAATATACCTCTTCTGTATCTGCAAACATTTCACTGGTTGATTCGGTAGCCGTCTCATCATCCAATTCCTTCAATTTAGCGGTACAAAATCAATAACACAATTATAATTGGTTCCAAGCAAAAACAAAATAAATGGCAAACCAATATTTAAAATTCAATATTCAAATCAAAACTTGTCACAGGCGAATTATCTTACTTATATACAACTAATTTTATGATGATTTTTGTTCAATATTTTAATATTATGTATTTATGAGCTTAAAATAATAATTAATTTATTCATCGTAGCTGCTCCATAATTAAGATTTAATTGCGACCATTTGAATGATATGGAACTTGCAACTGTTGAACTTACCGTTGACACTGCTGCCGTTGGCTTTGGCTGTGACATGCATTGAATTATTATAGCCTCCGGGTTGGTATAAACATAGATTTTTTCTAAATATCCCTGTGTACATGAAATACACACGTTTGGTATAAAAGCTTGACCACATATCGAAATTCATATTAATAATGCGTTTATAATAATTATTGTAGCATTTATCGGCGAGCAGCACACATGAAACACGCCCATGTTAGGCGCCTGCAATCCCGCATATCCCAGAGCAACTAATGCATCAATAAATATTTATAATAAATCAATCAATTTGTGAATCATTTGAATAAATGCACCCATAAATCTGTTTGTAAATGCAGCCCAGAGCTGTCTCTCAGCTCCATACCAATTGTAATTGCTGCAAATCGAAATTAATTATTGATGTTAATTTCGAACAGCACTTGCCACTTGCCACTTGCCGCATATTTGCCACCCACGCAAACTAATGTGCACTCCCCTTTCTTTCCAATCTCTCACTCACATCAAAAAAGGAAGTCCGTGTGACAATGGGGTGGAAAAGGGTTCAGCCATTACACACAAGTACATAATGCGCACACACACTCACACACGCACACACACACACTTTACCTGCAAGGGGAGAAATGGAAATGGGTGGTGCACTTATCAGTGTAGTCTGTAGAACTGCTAACCGCAGACATTAAAGGACCTACCTCTAGGAGACAATGGACCAGGGACAATGCAATGCTGTTGCATTGACACAGAGACAACGGTTCAGAAAGAGACCGATATCGAACGAGAGAGCGAGATAGAGGAACAACTGAATGCACATCAGCCATAAACCCAGTTCCGAGTTCTTTCAAATAAAACTCGCAGCAAACACTCACAGAGCTAGACCACCAGAGTACCAGGCCCAGGCCCAGGCACAATGCAGCAGCAGTCAACCAGCTATTATTATTGTTGTTGTTGTTGTCGCTGTTGTTGGCTTGGCATAGACTGTAACTGATAGTAATGGCCACGGTGCCTTTATGCATCCCATGTTAAAAGTTTTGTCTGAGACGCCGAGTCGTTGAGTTTTGGGTTAAAAGCGTGCAAGCGGCATTCAGAATGGCTTAATATGCCCAACAGTCGCTGGCTCTGTTGGAACCGAGGAACGAAGGAACAGCAGCAGGAGCAAGAACAGGACAACTGAGGCTACATCACCGAATCACACACGAACAGTGCATTAAATGGCTGCCAATAAACATAGAAATGAGCGTTCTTTGCTCTTTCAGTCCACTTTATTCCCTTTTGAGCTTCTGCTTTGGCTTGCGGTTGTTGTTAGCCATTGTGGAGTCTGCTGAATGGGGCCATTAAAGATTTCGCTTTTCGCTTTAGAGGTATACTATTGTTTCCCACATATCTTTGATCAGCATTACAGCCATATTTCATCTTCGAAAACATGACGATCTCAAGCACATTGTTCAACATATATTCAGAATGAGAACTTGATTCATCTCCAGGAATGTGATCCAAATGAAAATGTATATAATTGATTATTTATATGTTATATGTTGTAGATCAGTTGTGTAGAGCATATCTCCAAGTTGCACACTCTCGATTAAATTTGAATTCTTTCTTATGCTCTGCATTATTTGGGCTTAAAGTACTTGCCATTTGCCGGGTCAACAAAATCAGAAAGCACGAAACATTCATATATATCCGTATATAGTATAGACAAGACTCTGTGTTTGCTGGCCCTGTTTTGTTTTTAAGCATATTCCATTATTTCTATCTGTGAGTGCTTTTGCAACAAAATAAGCCACAAAGAAACTCACTAGAAACGGAAATTAAGTGGCTAAAGGGGTATTTTTAGGGCGTGAGAAGTCGCTCCTTGTTCCGGCTGTCTGTGAACTAATCTGATGATTGCTGGCGTTCATTATGATTTGCGTATTAAGTCAGTGTATTAATTCCAAGATAATCATCCCGAGCAAATAGCTTTAAATTATATGGATTATGTCGCTCAGATAGACATGAGATAATATTAAGCCCTCATATGTTCGATAAACTTCTATTATACATAAATACTAAGAAAAAATGACAAGATCCGATACCAAATACTTCGCTGAAAGAGGCACAGTCGTTAAACGAATAATTTGCCAGTATTTCAGTATCTCAGCTGTCGCCTCGGAATGCGATTCAAAGTCAATAACAAGGCATAAGAGTGCCATGCGACTGCCAAGAGCCAAGGAACACTAACAACGGGGTCGCAAGTACTCGCAATTTGAACCCTTTTGAAGAGGGTTGGCTGTGTAGTGTACAGCAAAACACGAGTACACGAGTACATGATTCAGAAGAGCGATGAACTGCTGATTGGGGAACATCAAAGCAACCTCTTTAGAAGATTGGGTCCGACAACGGCGCAACGAGGCATACAAAGATGTGGGACCATGGTCACCAACGAAAAGGCGTGGGCAAATAAATAAGCAAGCAATACTGAAAAGATAGCAATCCAGAGAAGGAGAGAGAGAGGGTCAAGCACAGACAATGGTCGCTGAGTCTCTTTAAATAATGAAAAGTGGACCCAGAGAGGCGACCAGAAATAAAGTCTTTTCTGTCTGTCCACCCCATTATGTCGTAGGTGAGGCTGTTTGAAGCTGCCAGTCGACTAAACTGCAGCAGCAGCTCGGTCAAGTGGCGCCATGAGCAATTAACTGGGGCTAGGACTTAGGCCGAGAGCGAAAGCCTCTGTTCTCTGGGCGTGCGAGTGGCGTGTGCATTTGATTTTGTCTTGGGCCGCAGCACACATAATTAAGGGCAGAAGTGTGAGTGGAAGTGCTAAAGCGGAGCAAGGACAAACCAAGAGAGCAGTGAGACATGCACGTCGGCATTGCGGGGGTGAAGTGGGTTGCACTTGACAAGGGTTCGCACTGAGAGTAAAACAAACAAATAAAACTCATAGCGTTGACCTCCTTCGCCAGGACGAAAGGTATGCTCAACCTTTTGTCAGTAGTTCGTTTCGTTTCGCTTCATTCTAGGATGCCAATCACGTTTTTGATATAAAAACAAAAAAAAAAACAAAAAAGGACATTGACCGCAAACGGAATCCATGCAGGCTGGCAATTTGTCAAAAATGTGTCAATAATGTAGATCGATTGAAGACGATTGCGGACCCCTTAAAAATTAAGCGAAAAGGGTTCAAATTGATTATAAGTATCCCTCGTACGCCCAAATGGTTCACTTAGGTGGGCATCTCACGTATTTACTTGTTTGTCGCACAAACTCAAGCAAAATATCGAGAAATTTACCAAAAATCTGATAGGCAAAAATCTAAATTTAAATAGTGATTCTCAGAAATGGGTTCGCCTTACGATATGTCCAAAATACGAATTTTTTTATTGTTTTTGTGATGCTCAACGATCAAATCCTTTGACCTAGCAAACTTTTAAATCACTTTTCTTCGCAGGTTGGAAAAGTTAAGAAGTTATAAGAAAGCAGCTTTCGTTAACTTAAGTTATTTGTCTAAGTCTTTAAGCATACTTCTTTGCTTTAAAAACCCAAATAGATTTTCATACAATAACTCAATTTTTCAGCAATAAAATTGAAATACATCTTGAAAGCGTACATATTAAGCTGGTAATGTCTTGTTGAAGGTTTAAGTAGCCAATGTTATTTATATTTTGATTATTATGAGCGTATCAACAATAATAATAATACTCTTTCTTTTAAACAGGCATAAGTGATATGCTGAAAGCCCAAACTCGACCTCACTTTGTCAGCTGTCAGTTGAATGTTGCCAGTTGCAGGCAGGTAGGCAGGTAGGCAGACAGGCAGGTGTGTTATGTAGTTAAAATGAATTTTTAATTAAGCACAAATATTTAATAAGCATAATTTACGGCGTGCAGCAGCAGCAGCAGAAAGCAGCAAGAACAAAGAACTGCTTTAAAACGTAAACTGGCAACTGAAAATGGCGTCGCATTAAGATTAGCATAACTTGTTTTTATAACCGCCCTGCTGCTGCACCTCTTCCCCTCCCCCGCCCCTTCTCCGCACTTCGCATGTTATTGTTTATTGTCTGTGCGCTGTGCTTTGGACTTACATAAGAACAGTGAAAGAGACAACGATAGCGAAAGCGACAATGACACAACAGACGGAAACGGATACACACATACATTTTTGTCTTGTTTGCCTGTCTCACTCTGTGTATGTGTGTGTGTGTGTGTGTGTTGCTGTATTTATATCTGATAGCCTGGCATTATGAGTAAGTGGCAACAGCAGGCAGCAGGCAGCAGGCACCTAGCCCCCCTGTTGCCTTAAAAATCCATCCGTTTGTACAAAAGTTATGCGCAGGTTAATAGATAATTAACCATGCAAATTGCCACGCAACAGTTTACAAATATTCTCAGCGTCATCGTCGCGCTTTTGTGGCACAAAAATGCCGGGTGCCAACTGGCGGGTGTGAGTGAAGGGGCGTGGGGAGTGGAAAGGGGGCGGGAGAGCGACAGGTACACGACACGCGTTCAAGTACAAAGGAATTAAGTCTAATTACTTTGTAATGCTGATTAAGCCAGTTAGGGCGTATTAAATATGTAAACGGAATTCTGACGTTTTTAGCATATTCACGCAAGGATCTCTGGAACACTTAATACCGATGAGTGAGTGTGCGAATTATTTAGCTCTGGGGTGCCTTATGAAACTGAAAGGATGCACGTGCAACCGAATTTTAGTAGTTACATTTCTTTTAATATTTCATAATGGCATTGCTTTTTAAACGTTTATTTACAAGTCAAGAGCAGTGGTAGTAGTACTTCAATTTCAATTTCAATTTCAATTGCAAATTTCAATGGCACAAATGAAAGTGAGACGGGGCGAAAAGTCCAAATTTAAATTCACCTTTATGGCTGCCAACGACTTGGCAAACAAATGCCACTTCCTCAGCCCCTTCCATCTCCTCCACCGATACCAGGACAGGTAACTGTGGCAGCATTGGCATAGTTTCTAAATCACTTACTGTCAGGAGCTGCAGCCGGAGCAATGGCAGTGGCAAGGATAACAATCGCTACGTCAAAAAGTTGCCCACTTTTTGTAATTTTATTTTATTTCCGTTTAAGTGCGTGAGCTAAGGTGCCGCCCCCCATTTTAGTGTGGGTGTGTGTGTGTGTGTATTGCGATTTAAAGCTAAATTATAGCAACATAAAATTTAACGGCCAAGTTGTGGAAGAAGAAGCGCCATTAAGCAGCTTCCGGCAGGTGCAGAGCTTAATTTTGTGCACTCGACTTTGGACACTTGACGGCCGTTTAAAAAGGGCTTCATCTTCGTTTCATTTGAAGTTCTCTTTTTACTTGCCATGTGTTTTTTGCATATAATCTGAATAAATTACTTTACACATTTTGCGGCGCATAAATAATTTAAGATACCCCTCACAAAACCAAAAACTCAACTCACATCACACGTTTGTGAGTCTATTCGGGAATGCTTTGTATGTGTGTGTGTGTGTGGGGCTACGTGTGTATGTGTATGTGTATATACACGTAATTGTGGCAGCAGACGTAAAGGCAGAACAATGAAACGGCAAATGCCAACCTCACAAAAGTGACAGATATTTTTAATTTTGCTAAAACCTACGACTAATTCTCAAACGAGCTGACACAAATCTCGAAAGTTGTTACGCCAACATATTTGCTTGCAGCACCCCCCCTCCTCCCCTTCCCTTACACCGGCCCCCTCCACACTCTTCCACCACAAACAGCTGCTGCAGCCCTGCCCCACTGAGGCTCGACTGGCCCGACAGGCTGACAGAACTGTCACCAACTGCTCTGCCTCTCTACATCTCTGTCTGTGCATCTGTGCTCATCCCGACAAGCTGCAGGTTTTCCCTTTTTCTTTTTGTTTTTTTTTCTTTTTTTTTGTGGCTGAAACACAAACAATGCACACACAGACACACACACATACACTTTATAGAAGACTCGGTAGGAGGATTATGCTAGTCAACAAAAAAAAATAGTAACAGAAACGGAACTGCAACAATGGCGTCGAGCATTTGGTAAAAGCGTCAGCAACAATTAGTTTAAAGCAAGCAAAGCACACACACACACACACACATATATACACATATACACATACATAAACACAAAGCGCACACTTTACATTGCATTTTGCATAAACCAACACGTTATCCACGCATTAGAGGCCTGTGCGTGTGTTGAATTCAAATATACTCGTGCAATGCTGCGTATACACAATCATCCAGCTGAACGAATATTTTGGATTGTTTTCTTTTCAAGTTACCCATGAGCCAAAAGTCAAACTCTGATATTCTGAGTTCGAACAACAATTAATTTCAGTTCTATCGACTCGTCTGACTGAAGCTGAAGGAATATTTTGGATTGTTTTTTTCTTTTGCCAAAAGTAAAACTCTGATATTTCAAAGTCGAACAACAATTTACTTCAAATCTATCGACTCGTCTGACTAGATTACAATTTTATATAAATTGGAATATTACATTTTGTGTTTGGCTTATCATGTCTGCGACTAACAACCAAAGTGACCAGACCGAGGAGAGCGTTACGAAGCAAGTCCCGTTCCACGTTAATACCGAGCTGCACAGCGACATCGAGAAGCTAATGAAGCCACGTATTGAAATGCTGCAGAAAATAGTCACGACACGCATGAGTTCCGAAGCCCCGACAGCGAATGGCATTGAGACCGAGGGATATTGGTGGCCAGAATGCCGGATCTATTCACCAATACATTACATGTCTGAAATGAATGTGAGTTGTACCTGTTTACTGATTCATTCTGTTAAATAATATTGGATGCTTTTACTTCGCAGGATTTCATGAGCCTCACACGGAATGCTCTCATTTGCTTGACCGAGGAGCTGCAAGTAATACAGGCCAAGTTCCAGGACTTAAACGAATCGGAACCATCGGAAAAATTAGGCCCTTTAGTTTCGTATGCCGAGAAATGCTATTCTTACTGCAAAATGCAGTTCTACCCACGCAATCGTTTACATCACAAAATTATAAAAACCAAGAACATCGAGGATCACACAATCCTAAAGATAATCGATGAGATCATCTTCACAACACTACAAATGCGCATGACTCGTTTGAAGAGTATGATTGAGGACTTTTGCGCTTTAGTCGAAGTCAAATGGGATTTAAATGAGAAGGATGCTGCGGCTGCTGCTGGCGCCACGTCACCTAACGAAACATCCGTTTAGAAAAAAGCCATCAAAAAATAGTTCCTTTGTTATTTACATTTTACACGACTAACACAAACCAACACATACAAGCTGGCACATTTCACTGGGCTGTAATAAAAAGTCCAACCCGTTGGTGTATTGGGAATATCCAGAAAAGCTTTTTATACTTCAAACTCAATATAGTGTGTGCCATGTACAGAGCACAGTTTTAAAACGTTAAGTACAACATGGCTAGGGCTGTGCCGCCCGCCTCGATGACACACTTCTGACATATATTCTGCTCAACACTCTTCGTTTTTGCTAGGCAGCCAGTTGCTTCGAGCACCAGCGCCAGTCAGGCGGAAATGCAGCTCTGAAACGGTAGCGGCAGAGGAGCCAAAGAGCCACAGGCGAAAACCTCCACGTGAAGTGTGTCATCAGTTTAAGGTTTTTGTGGACAGTACCAAAGCACACATCTAGCACAGCCGCCGCTTCCTACACTCAGCCAAAAAATATGTTTGCTTTTCAAATGTATTTAACTGCAGAATGAAAAGTCGTAAGTTTTAGATATTTACATGCTTGGCCAAGAAAAAAAACCTCCTTTGAATTTGTAAATGAAGAATCATATTTTTTTTAAAGTGTATCCCCCTATCTGTCTGTATTTTCATAATAAACAAATGGGTTCTATGGTTGGGTGAGCTTAACTTTTGGGGTTGCCAGCAAGTCGCACTTGCAGTCATTCTCCGAAATAAACACAAGTCGCTTATAGTAGGAAAATTGCTCGCAGTTGGTGACAAGTCCCGTTCGCATTTGTGAGAGCAAATCAGTGCTATTTATGTTGTGGCCAGCTTCAGTTGGGGTTGCTGCTTGCTACTGCTTCGGGCTCAATCCAATTTGCAAAAATAACCAATGAACTCAGCAGCACAAAAGTTCAGTTGCAACCTTCTGTGTCTTATCTGTGACATGCAGCTCACTGTGTGTGGCAAATCGACAACGCAACTTGCGCTCAAAGTTGGGCAGTCAATGCAACAAGTTTCGTTCAAATAACTGACAAGAACTTTGTTTGTGCCTATCACTATCAAAGGCCACAGAAGTCAGCGCATCTTCTTGTGCGAAAGTTGTTCTATCTACGACATCAAGTGGGGCTTCAATGGGGCGGCTGGCAACCGCTGTGACCGCAAGGCATATCAGCCAAGGGTTGGTAGAGATAGAAGTAGGGGTAGAGGGTGCAGATAGGGGCTGGCACGTCAAGTTGGTTCGCTCGTATCACAATAAATATATAATGGATGAATGGTTGGCAGGGCGTGTCGACTTGGTTCAGATAGTAGGTAGGTGTATGCTGAAGGGTGTAACTTATTCACTCCCAAAGTGCCATTGCCAATGCCATTGCCATTGCCATTGCTTTAATAAAATATTATCATAAGCGTAACGTAAGATAGTTTTTCATATGCTTAGTCACAAATATGTGTGGGCACGAGTTGGAATATTGAAGATTGGTGCCAGCTACTTGCTACTTGCTACTTTCTGCTTGCAACTTGCTACTTACAACATGCCAAAGTTACTTTGTGGCTTCTGTTTACTTCTGGGGCCAACTCTTTACTTTGGCCATCCTCCTTGCTGGCCTTGTTGTTTTGATACTTTGATTATTTATTGCCAGCTGCGGGAGTAGTCGGCGAGTTGCGACTTCCACATACAGACATTCATAAATATATGACTAGCGAATTCCGTTTGCAAATCTAAATGGAATGTGTTTTCTTGAGTTTTTTATTGCTCAGCCGAGAGCTGAGAGCCGAGCGCCGAGAGTTTCCATATAACTGTCTGTGTGTCAGTTATATAATAGAGCGAGCGTGGATCAGGGAGCAGGTAGCGGATAGCAGGGAGATTGCGTAACATACTAATACTTTGTTACAATCCCCACAGCAGAGGATGCTACTTATCACGATGACGTTACTTTTTATTTACCCCCTCCGCCTTTCAATTTGTAAAAATACAATTTTCTGCTAACAAACACCGCATATCGATAGGGTATCGAAATATATCAGTCTTAAGAACGTGCTGAAAAAAATATTTCATTGTAAAATCAACAACAAATATAGCAGTCGAAGTATAAATAAACTGTAGTAAAAATAAGTATGACCTACTTATGCGTGCTCGGCTTTGAGGTACTCTGCGGCAAAGCGCAAAAATTATTCAATAGCTTTGATAATAAATTCTTTATTTATAGCCAAAAATATAGCTTAACAAAATTGATTAGCAAAAATATCAAAAACTCTATCAAAATTTATAAATATAAAAACAAGAAAAGATTTATTATTATTAGATTTCAAATTAAAAATGCAATTTAATTATATCACTTTGGACGTTGAAATCAACGTGTTTGTTTTAATTTGATTATGATTTTATAGTTGCAGCCATATCCGCTTGCATTTGTGCATGGTTTATGGCCATGTTCCTGACCTAAACTGATTGAGGCACATTCAGGAGTTGCGTGACAGTGTCCACTTTATGAAACACGCACCTCATTGGATATGGGCATAACAAAACAGGGGATTTGACCGTACAGCTTTGTTTTACTCACATGCGTAAGAATTGTGGCATGCTCCCAAGAGCAATTAGATTCAATAATCAACGGAATGGCCCATGTCCTACAAAATGTGCAACACCTGCATCCGCTCACAGGCAAATAACGGTCAATAGGTGTTGTACATGAGTTGAAGTGCTTACATCAGGCGCCCCAACTCTAATTCAATGGGCCAAGTTAAATGCATTTAAAAATAATTGGCTTTCGGATAAAATTCGCTTTTAGTTAATTGGGCACTAATTAATACGCAACGGCAATGTTCATGTTTTTGTTGTTTTACTGTAACAGTCACAGCGTAACCGTGTGTAACGTGTAATAGTAGTTAGATAAACCACAGACCATATAACACACAAGCACCAACACACACCAACACACACTAGCACACACCAACACACACTAGCACACACCAACACACACTAGCACACATATTAACACACGTTTCAACATTTACACTCAGTGAATAGAGTCAGTTGAGGCGTCCAAATAACCGCCTCAATATAATACAATAACAAATTGCCTGTCAATCTACGTGTAACTTTTATAAATTACCGGTAGGAGACGCAGTACGTTAGCAACCACCTCCCATTTTCATCCCCGATCCTGGCACGCTGTCTGCCATCCCCTAGTTTCCAGTTTGCCGTGCAGACGCCTCGCGGCGCTTTCGCCTCGAGTTTCACTCATAATTAACAGCGGCTGTGTGCGAAAAACTAAGGGCAACAAGAACAATAACAACAGCAACTACATGCTGAAGCTTTTGTAATGTTAGCTGCTGCTAATGAACTTGCTGTTAGCGTGCCAATTGGGGGCAGGCTGTTGGGGGGGCGGGGAGGGGTCAAGGGGCACAAGAGGCGCAAGGGGCACGGCCAGGCGACAGCATGCAGAAATGACTTTATTAGCAGCCGCGCCGTGTCGCTGGCAGTACTCCGACTTTTATTTAGATTTTTATTGCTAAACTTTGTTTCGTTTTCCTACGTTGCTTTTTTATATTTTGCTTAACTTGGCTAAAACCGGATCGAGTCGTCAGCATGGGCAAAAAGGTAGCTTTATCGAAGTCAGCCCGTTTACGGCTACGATTTGGATGTCCTTTCTCATGCGACACTTTGAATGTTTTAAATGGTTTTTTATTGCCACCTGGCTGTTGTTGCTGGTATTGTTGTTGTTCTTGTTGTTGTTGACGCTGTTGTGGTTTGTAGCTGCATTAAATTAGTTTAATCACTATGCAGACGACGTTGCTGGCAGCTGAAGGCGAGCCAAGCAAATAAATAAGCGTAAACAATGTCAAAGCACTGCACACACACAAACTCAGCCAGTTGTAGTTTACTGTAACTACCTAAATGAACGGTCTGTGGCAACCGCACCCGCTTCCATTTTGGGTGTCAATAGAAACATTAACGGGGCGTGATGGCCGAGAATTAGCACAACAATTATGCAGGTATTAGCAGACGACGCGACGGCGTTGATTCTACTCCTTGTTACCTGTCACAAATGGTGTCGACAATGGGAGGCGTCCATACCAGAGTAGAGCATAGTATTAAGTATTCGTATGCAAATAAGAATTATGTATGGCAAACAATATTTCTTAACTGGCATATCTCAACTCTTATGCTTTAATATTAAACTAAATACTGATTGAAAGAGATATGCTTTGGGGCTATTGAAGTCACAGAAATATCAGGTTTACTTCTCTGACTTTTATGCATATAATTTTCAATTTTAATTGCACCCTTGCGATGCAAAATCTGCTGCAGTATCAAATTTCGTATATGGTTGGCTTAAATTTGGTCTACACACACACAAACATAGTCATACACACATATATACACACACACGTACACTCACATTCCGCACCGATGCGAGGCCATTAAAATACCACTTGAGTGAGCTTTTGTATGTAACTTTAGCCCACCTGTTAATCCGCACACAGTCCACACTCCACACATAAAAGGAGACACAGATACTAATCAGATTCCGCAAAACAGTTGAAAGGTCATATTACGCATTCGCCCCGTGTACAAAACTTAACCCGAACACATTTACAAGTCGACCATGCTCTGTTCCCAAAGGCCTAATGAGTATTTTTGGTTAACTGGGATTCTTTTGAACACTATTAAACCTAACGAGTTTCTATATTTTTATGCATTGTGTTTTATAGCTATGGTATGCTTAGAAAATCCATTTCACTTGCTATTTAAAAGCTAAAGTCAGCAAACGTATTTTTCGGATAAAAAGTTTCTAAAATTCCATTTAGATTTATTAAGTTTCAATTAAAATAAAATATATTACAAAGATAAATTGCGCATTTGAAAAAGAAACAATTTAAGTTTTATTGTTTTATTTTCCAAGCTGCGTAAAAGAAAAATCATTTTCAGCGTAGTATAAAACAATTAGCTAACAATATTTATAGCCCATTATGCAAGTTTTATGAGCATTTTTTTGGGACAGTGTACCTTGCAGTTGGCACTGTGAATTCCAAGGTTTTTTTTTTGTGCTGAACCGTTGTCAGTTTTGGTCAATTTATCTTGTGTCACAGGGCAGAGAGCGATAAGCGCTTCTAATGTTTTCTGATAATTACAATGGTTGTTTTTTAATTTATACA